CTTGCCTGCTTGATACTGCAATGATATTGTCAGCATAAATTCTTTCCTGATCATTCATGGGAGAAAGATCCACTTGTTTTGTGCCTGCAATACCGAGATGATGGAGACTTCTGAATTGATAAATATTTCATCGACTAAACAACAGAAGCAAAAAAACCGATCAAATCATTTGTCGTCGATATCCCAGTTATCCTATCCAGATCTTACGTAAGATGCGTGAAACTAAAACAAATTCAGAAATGACAAAAAAAAATTAATATCAATACAAATGAAGTGAATACAAGAAGTACCACAAAAAAAGAGATATTGGTAAGGAAAAATATATCATTCAATCTCGAATAATGCTATAATAACCATTATCAATTAATCTTTCTGTTGCTTTTTTAGTTGTCTCTGGAGATTTATTGATATCAACGGGTACATCATCGTCTTTACTGTCACCTGCAGCAGTCTCTGCATCAAAGGAATCAACATGGACACAACCACCGCCGCAGCCTTCGTTGTCTTCTTCACCTTCAAGAAAAATTCACAAACTGGTTTGTACTCTATCAACTGTAATCCTTGTCCTTGTGATTGTCATTTTTTGGATCTTCGTGGTTAATAATTGCCACTGCTATTTTCTTTGTATTAGGCAAATGAATATGTCTCTAAATTTGACAGAATAGAGATCACCAGAAACAATTCCTTGAAGGTATTTCAATTATACACCTATTGCTATGCAACATAAACCAAATTTGTGCTTAAATGCATAGTTATAATATGAGTAGGCTATGATAAAAAAAAAGATTAACTTCAACAACGCACAGGCTTACGTTTTACAGGCATATGAATTGATAATGTTTGTTGTAAAAAAGACAATCGCAAGTAGTTGTAGTTGAGACAAACGTGAACTTCCTCGTCGAGTCTTCAATCTGAGCACATTCTGGACAGCAGATTCTTTTCCTTTTTCCTTTCCTTTTCTTTTTTTTTTTTTTTTTTTTTTACTTTATTCGTACTAAAAATATATACATAAAATATGCATGCACACGCATAACAAAGGGTTCAGATCTCTTAGGCTTGGTTGATTAAGTACCCGACCGAGATCAGAAGGTCTGCAGTTTGAATGCTCGTGGGAGACGCAGATCATTTCCTTGAGTCACACTGAAAATCAATGTCATATGCTTAGCACCTTACTTCAACAACAACAAAATACATTTTATGTTATTGCAGAAGGTTATAGACGTTTTTGATGACTTCGTCATCAGTATGGGAAACATCATAAAATCTCTTAACGGCGCATTTAGCACAGAACAGATTGAGATAAGCAGAGCATCCATCTTTAATGTGGCATATGCATTCGAGGAATTTGTTCTTAATTATGGCAAACTTCACCTGGTTGGAACGAGGTCTTCACAAGAGATCCATAGCCACAAATTGGGTGAGTCAGAACACGAACATCAATTGTCCTGATTAGCGCTGATCCATTACTTGCTTACCCACTAACTGGGTAATGAAATGATAAAATGGTCTTCCTGCCTTGATGATGTAATAAACTATGGCACGTATTCCAGTTAATAAGCGTTATTGCTTGATCAAATCGATCCATCTGCTCCTTCCTTTCACTATTTGCGTTTATCAATCATTTTAGAAGCGAAAGTAATTGCCAGCGATTTTCATCCTCAAAAATATTAAAATGTCTTGTTCTCGATGGCTCTATGTTCTTTAGAGGATAAACCTTTTAACTCCCAAGATCTCATTAGTAAGTCTCCTTACTGTCTGCCATATAGTTCTTGTGATGTTACTTGAGGAATTTGGTATTGGATCAAGTTATATAATTCTCTAGTTAATTTTTTTTAATTCTCATCACTTGTCTACTTGATACTGTATTGATATTGTAAGGAGAAATTCTATCTTGGTCACTCATGGGAGTGAAAAGTTTAATTGTACTTGTTGCGTAGTAAAGTAAAACCAGCATTTCTACAATCATAACACAGTAAGGTAATGACGTCACTACATTGTTAATATTTTTACATGCTTTATTCTCCGTCAGTGCTGCGTATTCAAAAAGGCCAGCGCCAAAATGCGAGTGACTTCTATCTTGGGAAAGAAGAATGGCAAGCAAGCATAAATGTTCCATCTGCAAATTTTGCGAAAAACGGTTTGTATTGACTACCTAGTCAACTCTCTAACGTATTGACAAAATGCTCTTTTGGTTTCTTTTCAAATTTCCATAGATGTTTGTTTGTTAACTTACACAGTCTACGTGATTCGTACTGTTTTGAAATTAACATTATCTTGTTTTTTTTTTCCTTTCCATGGTGTGTGAAATTTCTTTGCTGATGCACACCGTCTATTTGATTCGTAGTCTTTTGAAATTCAAATTATCACGTTTTATCAGCCTGTTATATATTTCTCCTCTTCCCTGTTTAGGATCAGTGGTTGTTGGGATTGTGTACAAAGATCTCCATGATCTCTTGGCTCCAGATCAACCCATCAGGATTAAAGCAGGCAACAGAAGGTAAAATTAATTCCCTCGATGTTATAACCGAATGCAGCGTCCTTCTATCAAATAGAAAACCAAAAAAATAAAAAAAGGAAAACGCAGCGCATTTAACCAACAAGGTCTTATAACTTTTTTAAAACTCTGCATGTTGATTGCCCTGTGAGTCAATGCATATTTTAGCGTCTACAACATTAGTGTGGAAATAGCACTGGTTTGTAATGGCGCTAAGGATGCCATATCCTTAGCAATTACCAAGCTCAACATTGATATGCATCATGTTTAAACTGTGTTTTATTTTCAGACATTTGAGCTCCGGGATAATGGCCGTAGCAATGGCTCCAAACCCAGACAAGCTGCGAGAAAATGTCATCTTAAAGTTCAGAAACCTGGAAGTAAAAGCAAGATCAAAATTAGTATGTGGCGACCGGTCGTTTTGATACAAAGTCGTTTCGATACAAGTCGTTTCGATGCATCGATAAACTCGATTCGGTACAAATTAAAAGACAGTTCGATACATATCGTTTCGGTACAAACTAGTGATGGATAGATTTGGTTGCTTTTAACCTTCATCAAGTCCGATAAAGGGAGGTAAGATAGCTTCCTACGAGAAAAGATTGCATCTCCGTAGGTACGCGGGGTACGCGAGCTGCGTGAGTGTAATTAGGCAATCGCGTCCCAAGTATTTGAATGAACTTGTGAGAGATGAACTTGTTGGTGCTTCTTTATGTTAGTTAGGGTTTATTATCCAGACATCCATTTGCTCCCTCGAACGACCGTATGTCAATTTATTTCAAAGATATCATTTTTTTTTTAGGTCGATAAAGGAGAGAAGAAATGCATATTTTGGAGTGGCCTCAGCGAGGGGTAAAAATTGAAATATATTGCTAGCCTTGTTTCAGAATAAATGGTTCCGTGGATTTTATATTAAGACGACACATTTCATAAGTATTATTCTCGTAAGGTTTTTTCCAGAGCATGGGCAATTGCTACAATCATTACATAGTTATCAGTCACTGCTGCTCTACTTGTTCCTGAATTGAAGCCGTTTATTTCATGAAATTTTATCATATTATTTTTTCTGAATAGCGTTGTTCTTTCTGTTTGTTTATTGCTATCATCTTCCTATTTATTCTTCTGTTGATAAAGTCGTCCTGTATGTCATGAACACAGGCTCACTCTTTTGTTTTGTTTTTGCCTGTCTTTTTTGTTTCGTCACGCATCTTTTTAAGGTAGGCTGTAATTGTGTTTAATGAGTCTATTTTAAACGACACCTGGCCTGCCTTGATATAACCTTTTGCCTCACTCTGGCAGTGAGTATATCAAAGCCGACTCTATGGATAACTGGGAGAAGATAAGAAAATTTGAAATCTAACCTTTTGGTTCCTCGATGGTTTTTGAGGTCATTTCTTGTTTTTGTTCATCATATTTTTTTTACGCTTTTTTAAAAATTTTTTTTTTAGGTCAGAAGGGTTCTCAGGGAGAGGATGCTATGTGGTTACATCTAAAAGCAACTCAGAAGAAACAGTTTGCAGCTGCAATCATTTGACTCATTTTGCTGTCTTAGTTGACTACGATGATAGCCTAGGGGTAATGATTTTATCTTCTAAGCTCTATCATGAATCTATTTATGTGAAATTCGCTTCCAAACAGTATGAGAACAATGACATCATTTAAAGATTTTAAGACAGCCATAAAAAAAATTAACTTTCAGTAGTTTTAATCAATGTATTTTAATACTTTAATTGATTTATATATTTTTTTTGATTTATATACTTTTCCTTCTCGAAGATATTAGCTCATTAGAGTTACTCTAATAATTCGAGTTGAAATTAAGTGTATGTATGTATGTATCATAGGGTAATGCAATTCAGTTTATTTGATAACAAATTTCTTATTTCTCTTAATGTCATTTATTACACAGCTTACGTTGGAGAACGAAGCTATTCTGCAAATTATCACCTACGTGGCACTAAGCTTCTCCATTACCGGGATACTTTTGACAATTATTGTGGAATCCTTCATTACGTAAGTACCCCAACCATGCATACGTCTAAACTTATTCTTTACTTGATTTTGAAGATTTCGGACTCCAATTAAAAAGTACGCAATAAAAAAATGAGTTAATAGAATTAATGATAAATAATTATGCAAATCTCGACATCTGAGAGACAGTGATTCAAATGCCTTAACTGGAAAAGTACCACTTGAAATTAGCCGCATGCGTTGTCATATAATGCTTCTTTTTGGTTTTTTGTGTCTTTGTCTTTTTGTTTGTTCACTTATTTCACCAGAGATTTTGGTCAGCCTCTTTCTCAAATAAGATTGAGTCTTTCTGTGTCACTCGGAGCTGGTCAAATAATCTTTCTCGCCGGTATAAAGGCCACAGAAAATAGGGTAAGTGACTTCTTCATCCATTCACGGTATATTTGCTCTTCAGGGGCTTAAGTTATTCTTAAGAAAGGAGTATTAAAACAGACAAAAACCCGGCTCTCTCTTTTATCTCATAGGCTTTCTGTGTTACGGCAGCAGCTCTCTCGCAATATTTCCTGATGGCCGCTTTCTGTTGGATGATGGTCGAGGGAGTTTATCTTTATCTGTTTGTTGTGAAAGTTTATATCATTGGCGACAAGATGCACACGTATCACGTCATCTCATGGGGTACTTTCATTTCACTTATGAGTTTTTTGTACCTGCCTTTTTTTAATCGTCTCTGTGATTCTGCGTGTGATTCTGCATTCACTTCCTCCTACTTCTGTTAAGGTTTTCCGATCGTCATGGTGGGCATTTCATTGAGCGTTGCGGCTGGAAAAGATGGAATTCAAAGTTATACCAGTGAAAAATAGTAAGATAATTATTGAGTACTTGTCTCTTCATCTTTTGTGTCTTCCCACTCTCTCTCTTTTTGCTACAAAATATTTGGTGTATTTTGATTCTGTTTCTCCTTTGGATGCTTTGTTACCGGTAAAAGGTGTGGGTTAGGGGTTTTATCGCCGCTGTGTTTATTTTATGTTCTCCTTTTACCTTTCAAGTTGTTGGCTGTCCTCGACTAACAACCTGATCTGGATATTCGTCGCATTTGTGGCGCTCGTTGAAGTTGTGAGTTTATAAATGATTGAGGCCACTTTATTACTTTTTATTTACCGGAATTGGCTTCTATTGAATGCTTCTTTTTTCCCCGGCTCCTTTACAAAAAACATGAACACCTTTCTGTTTTTGACCACCTGGCTCAAAGTTTGCAATCTTCCCAATTATAATAACCTGCATGATTTTTTTCGGCATTTCTCATTGTAGTAGTATGCAGGAACGTATACCATTTAGTTTTCCTTAAATGAAGATTTGGGGTTCAATTCACAGAGAGCCGAGGGATTCAGACTTTTTCTTTCTCTGATGCTCGTAACAAGACCGCTAACATTTTTTCTCTTTTCGACGACGCATTTCACATTTCTTACTTTTTTCCAGGTCAACATTTTGATACTCATCCAGGTCCATAAAAAGATGAGCACACTAGTGCAGCCAATGGTGGAAGACAAGCATTTCCGGCAGATACGGTGGGATTTGAAATCAGCATTTTACAAATTAATGATAGTAAATAAAATTTAGGGAAAACAGCATAAAGCAATGTGACAGAATCGTTGTGTCAATCACAAATTCCACTCTAGTTAATCTTAAATAATGAAACATTAAGTGAAGGAAAAACACTCCCATCAATTAGTCCACAAAACTTATATTGCTGTCGTTCTTCAGAGTTAGCATTAAAACATGCGCAATGATGGTGCCACTACTGGGCGTCACGTGGTTATTTGGTCTTTTGTTACCATTACAAAAAGCTTTCGCCTATATTTTCACCATCTTAAACTTCACTCAGGTAAGTCTTTAACAAAAGTTGTTAAATTTTAATCAAAGGTTTGCATACTTAGGCGCTCAAACTACACCTCAGGTAAAAACAGACACCAACTTCAGTCAGATGATATTTCCCATTCAAAATGATTCTAATCGATACAATAAATTTATTTCTCGATTCATGAGATCTGAAACGTACTTTGAATCAATATTTTACTCCTATGTTACGGGGGTTTCCAAGGTGAAGAAATGATCAGAGCATCAAACACCTTTAACTCTATGCAAACTTTTGTCAACAAACATTAGCACTACACTACGACTTATTCAAAACATTATTATATTGACTAATTATACTGGAAAAAAAGTGATCTCGAAATAATTATCTGTTTTTAGGGTTTCTTGATTTTCGCCCTTCACCGTATGCGAAACAGACAGGTGAGATGGATATCAGACTGAGAAAGTGCATTAAGTGAATTGTGAAAATTTCAGACATAAATTATAAATTTGATAGCTTAGCAACTGATATTTGGTTGCCTGTTCATCTACAGATTAGAGAGCGATTGAGGAGTAGGCTGAACACCATTTTTCCATATGCAGACGATGGAAACTTTGCAGAGAAGAGCTCACAACGTAACCTAAGTGATGCCGGAAATGTATCTTCAATTGAGCTTGGTCAGGATCGAGATGTCAGCAAAGTCAGGCCTTCTGTGTCCGCTTGCTAGTCATTACAGCAATGTTTTGAATAAGTCGTGGTTTAGTGCTAATATTTGTTGAGAATTTTTTGCATAAAGGAGGGCAGTGAAAGGTACCCTAGCAAATCGTGAGTATCGCGAAGTATTATCCGATCACGAAATCTCTGCTCAAAGTCCAACTTTTTTTTTAATAGGCGATATTCTCTTATAAAAGATAGCTAGAATGGCTTGAAGCCAACACAGTGGGCAACAAAAACCGCCCAGGGGCCCGTGTGTGAATGGGCTGGAAGCGACTTCAATAAGCAACACGAATACCCCATCCACACCAGCAAAACATGTTTTAGTTACACCGGGTTTAACTGAACAAAACTACGAACCAGAGAACTGAAAATCTGAATTTTCCAAAGGATTCAAGTAGTAAATAACTTGTATTCTCAATGTGCTAAATTTTTGAAGCCGACGAACATCGCTTTAAGCAGCTTCTGTGAAGAAAAGAAATTTAATGAAATAGCTTTAAAACATGCTTATGCTTTGGGTGAATGTGGCATAAGATAATGTCAAGGAGTTTCTAATTTAGTAGCTTTTAAGCTGTTTAGTTTCGGTCCCGGTTTTTTCTTTCGTAACAAAACTCACGCTGCCTGTGCGAGTCACGAAATTTGTTATTTGCTTCTGTATTACTTAATGTTTTTTGCAAATTTATTAGTTGAAATTTGTTAAACATAATGATAATGCCTTTACCATTAGATGTAGATTGAAAAGATGAATTTAGAGGTCTGGACAAAATTTAGAGTTTGGGTTAGCCTATTCGCCCTTGAATTTGAAGTCGCTGAAATTTGTTTATCATGATGTTATTGCTGTTATCATTCTATGAGAGATGCATTTAAAGGTCTGGATAAGATTGAGATATTGGGTCACCCTATTCGCCTTGGAATTACAATTTTCTTTTTCTTTAATGTGTTCTCGTATATATGCCATGAAAGAAGTTGTAGACCTAGTCAAACTAGACTGTGAAATAAAATTGGTATCGATCAAAATAATAGCAAATAAATAACAAGTACATAAGAAATGTAATGTCGCCCTGTGACATTCTGTGGGTAGTTTGGTAAGTAGGCATTTTATATCGTATCCTCAAGAAGAGGTTGCTCGGTACAGTTTTACTTCAAAACATCTGGATTATATAATTATCTGCCTTTTATGGTCCTGAGGGGGGAGGGGATGGAAGCTTCTGACCCTTATATACGATGGAATAAACTCCTAAATACACCTTTAAGTTGCAAGGTGGTCGACAGTGAGCAGATACTTATCAGCCTGGTTGGATGGCCATAAAGAGAAGGTCACGGACATGTAGGTCTTACAATAATTAAGTGAGCTTCTAAATACACCCTGTGGCTATCTCCAGGTTATACAGGGACAGGGCTATAAGCCAGTGTGAATTTAGGGTCCCCTAGCAAGATTCCGATGGAGTGAGCTGGGAACGAAAACTGTGCTGTCTGTTGTGGACTACTCTTTTTGCCCGCAAGGGGCAGGGGGACTCTCTTTCTCTCCAAGCCGAGGGGACACCAAAAGTAGGGGAGCCCCATCAAGGCAATTATTTCAGACTCTACATGGATAGGGCTATCAGCCAGGATGCTTTTGGAATTCCCGGAATAGATCACAGGGGAGTGGGTGGGTTAGAAAACTGCGTTGTCAGTTATGATTTACTTATTCTGCCATGCGAGGGGATGTTGGACGTCCCTTCTCTCCGGGCCAAGTGAGGCACCAAAAGTAGAGCGAGTGAGATATCCCAAGACTTCACGTGGACAGGGGAAAAGATTGACAAGTAGTGAGAAGAGTTGTCCGGCTTTGCAAAATTCAGCTAGATCTGCATCATGTATTTCATATAATTCGCAATTCATTATTAAAGCCTTTCACACTCTTTCGATGACAACGAAGTCTTGGAAAGCACATTACCCCCCCCCCCCATTTCAGATGGCAGATGCAGGATGTAGGGGGGCGGGTGCAGGAATTTCTGATGGGGGGGGGAGGGAGGGAGGGAGGGTCTAAACTTGATTTAGACAACACTTTTTTGAACACTACAGCCTAAATGAGCTGTAGACCCTCGAAACCCTGCTATATTTGCCACAGCAATGGGATAGAACCTTACCAATCAACATTCCTTGTCATGGAAATCGCTTTATTGCCCTATTAGTCGATTTTCCGCTCTAACTCAGTTATGGTTACGAGTTATACTGATTATTATCTGAAGCAAAATTATACGCATTACAATGTAAATTGTAAGATTCGGAGTGTCTCAGCTGATCTGTCCTTCTCTTCAAGAAAGAATTTTATTCCTTTCTGCCTCGCTATTTAGAATTGCTTGAAGCCGATATGCCATATTTCTGGTAACCACTTGAGCGATGTCATCCAGGAGGTTCACACCAGGTAACCAATAGTGCGGAAGATTTCTTCTCTCCAGAAAATCCTGCAATGCTCTAAGAAACCCAAGGAAATGGTTCCCCAGTGCGTCTCCGCTCACCCAGTTTTGCAGACCTCCTCCCTTTATGTAGTGCAAGAAGGCGGTCTTCAAGTAGTATGACTCCAGTGGTAAAGATGTCGCCTGCTTTTTAACAACGGTTTTCACAATTCGGAGGAGCTCGTGCCTACAGCCACCATCTCTGTCCATGTACTCTAGGATCTGCTTCTCCTGTAACGAGAACGACTGCCTCCACAGGAGCTCGTGATTAGAAACAGGGTAACTCCCGTTGTAAGGCTTCGCGACATAGCAGCTCTCCCCTAGTTGGAAGCAAGGAACGAGATCAACCGATAAAAACTTCTCGTTAGTTCCTCTCCTGCAAATGTCAAGCTGTACCGCTGGCCCGTGGTAACGAACAACCAGACGGACTTCAGAGAATGGTGATTTAGCGTCAAAATCATTTACTGCTTGGACAACGAGGCTGTAAAACCAACTATCTCGAAGGCGCACAGGGTCGATATAACCTTCCTGACTTGCATACCGACGGAACACAGAGTCACCTCTTGCCATGAGGCGAACATAGCCAGATATTCCGGATCCAACAACCTCGATCTCTCTCTTTGTCGTTTTCAAAACTACCATGACATCTACTTCATCGGCAGCTTCAGTCTTCAGCCTCTCGTACACACTGCCGGTATACTCCAGTTTTAGTATTGGAAGAGACGAGCGCTGTTTGCAAAACACCATGACTTGACCTTGGACGTAATCAGTCACCAAGCGTCTGGCGCGGGCCATGTCGTCCTCGGAAATTTTGACATACTTTACAGAGAAAGCACGAAGTTTCCCCGTTAAATTTGAAGCATCTCCTCTTCTTGCCTCAGCCACTGCCATGACCTGATACATGAAAGACGACATTGACAAATAAATTTTGTCTCTGAAATATCTAAATATCACCGTAAGCAAGGAACCAATTGAACTGATATTGTAAAATTTGACAAACGTCTAATCGCCCAAGTTGTCTCTGAAGAAGCATGTGTTTCGGACAGGTCGGTGGCAAAGGGAAACAAAAGCTTGTCCAGAATTCGAAGAGAATATGCAAACATTGACTTTCTAAGTAAAAATTTCTCTTAAATACAGCCGTGTGAGCTTGTTATGGAGCGCTCACTCCTCGACAAACCTTCTGGCATACAATACGAGACAATACGATAGATTCATCTTTAATTAAAAATGGCCGCTCTGTAATTTGCGTCGAGGGGCATTTAATCTAGTACGATTATTAAAACTCTTAAAATGGCAGCAGAAGATTTCAGCAACTTCGGATATTTTTTAAAAGGATGGATTTATCTCTCTTATAAACTGCCGATTCTGCGTGAAGGTAAGATGAACGGATAGTGTGCGGTTCTTTTCGATAACAACATATAGACATGACTAAGTCAAATTCATTCATCGTACTAATTTCATTGTTTTACTTACTCATTTCGACAAAGAGTCGATACAGGCCTTGCTACTTGAAATGATTCACTTAGTATAATACCTCATAACCTACCTGATGCTTTGAACGGTGTAAATCGCAAGGGTTTTCCTTATACTAAGCGAGCAGAATCAGTAAAGAGGGTCCTTAAAACTTGGTTAGTATATTATATTGAATGCGAGGTGATGAACAAAGAGTCAGCTCAAAGGTAGGCTGGACCAATAAGAGTTTACTTCCGCTTTTCTCAGAAAAGTCGGGTGGTTCTCGGAAAATTATGTCTACGCAACCTGGCATGAGGAATTAGGAATTCATCACTTGAAATTATCCGTCGCTTGTGAATACCTCGCTTAAAATTTATTTGTCAGTTCTTCTAAGCACTCTACAGGAAGCTCGATGTGACCGCTTTTTCTTGCGCCAGATCTCCCCTCTAGGAAAACTAGGCAATGCTGCCGAGAGTTCCAAGTAAGAAACGTAAATATATTTGCCGTCGGGGTTCTCCTTTCTAGACTGAATAAATTAAATTAAGCGATTTCAACCGTTGTTTTGCAGAGGATGGTCGGGAAATGTTTAAAAGTTCAGGAGGGACTTGCTGAGCTTTTGTTTCACCACCTCGTTGCAATCACTGTCGTGGTTTTCTTAAAGGTGCACGATTTTCGTTAATCACCTATTGTTTGCAAATCAATGGTTAAGATCAACATCGTTCTTTGTCATGACCTTTGTGTTTTCCGTTTAAAGACAAGAGGCGCAGTTCCGGTGAACTTTCCGAGAAAAACCGGAAGTGCTTACAGGCAAAATTAAGCGGTTACAAAGCCGTTGAGCTGTTGTGGTTGGAAGCAAGTAACAATTCATTTTCTTATCTAGCGGTTTTCTTCTCCACAGTTTCACTCCATCGACTTTCAAAACTTTGAAAAGTAAGGTAAGTCTTTTGCTATTTCTTTTAAATGCTTGGAATTTCATCTGAAGCACGTTTTACCGAAAACGTGCGCGCCAACTTCGTGGCTTGTTCAGCCGCATGGCTGGAGTTGTATAATTTCATTTCATTGTCTTAAAGATGTCACAATTTTTTTTTAATATGTTATTGTGAATTTCTCAGTGGCAAGGGCTCCTCGAAAATAAACAAGAGCAAGGATAGCTCCTTAGTTAGTTTGATGAAATCGTTTTGTGGTAATACGCGGCTTTCACGTGAATTTAAACATCAGTCTTAAAAATAAATAATTCAAATGCACGTGTCAGATCAATTTTTATGAGGGAAAGCTTTTGTAGGGTGTGACCAGATCAAGTAGGCGAATTTCACGAGTATTTATGCTTTGTACACTCAATTTCATGTAACACGACGTATTGTTAAATGAGAGACAACTTGACTTCAATCGTTGAGATCGCAACATATTGCATGGAGGTCAAACTCAAAGGTAGCAGCACAAATATAATTAGGAATTTACTTAGGTGATTATCTATCTTGGGAGAAACGCTTGAAAAACATCGGCCAAAGAGTCTGCTACAAGCTAATAAGTTTGTTAAATAGAATATCGAATTTTACTATGCAAGGATATCCTTTTGATAAGTGATAAGGATACTGTAGTCTAAATAAGGAATTTTCATCATCCAATTTTTGTTCTTGTTTTTATGCCTTTTTAACAATCCGAAAAAAAAATTATCCACAGCGTTATGATTTGTGGAAGGCGACGAGACCCAAAAAGCCACCAGGCTTATGGGAGAAGCCGTGTCACTTACAATAAAATGTATTTGGGAAAGGATAAGTGCTGCGAATGTGTGGCTTGGCCAATTCAGTGTTTATATAGATAAAAACTTTTGGATTTTGTCTTAAAGCTAAGAAGATTTGACTAATGAGGGACTGAAACAGGAAGAGAGTTCTAAATTAAGGACCTTGGTAAAGAATTGTTAATTGCTTGAGATTTGTACGAGACAAATGCCTTCGTTAATTACTGGCAGTTGTGGTACCACAGCAGTGAATTTGGCTATTTGTAACAAAAAGATCAAGAAGCAGTGGGGGCAATAAATATTTTTATTTATAATGAAACATGAATTTGGCCATGTCAAACGTACTGACTCCGAAAACATCCAACATTTCTAGTTTTGAGAATAAAAGAGAAAGGTGTTCTCGACAGTCTGAGTTGATGATAGCCCGCACAGCTCGCTTTTGCGAAAAAATAAATTCTATTTAAGTTAGGTACGTTTGAGAACGACCAGGCGGAGTTGCAATAGACGATATAGAGATAAATGAAAGTGAAGTTCAAAGTGAGTCTGGTTTTAAGGATAGGAAAAAGCGAGACCTCAATCGGTATATTACCTTTTGATTTAGCGACATGTTTACCTACATAGCTGATATGGTGTTTCCATGTGAGATGATCGTCAGTATAGACCCCAAGGAATTAAATTGTATTGGACTGTTTTAGGGGTTTACCTCCAAAGGAGAGAGAAATGCTGGAGTTAAATTTCTTCTGTCTGGGTTTAAAAAATGATGAAGTTAGGTTTCTTTGTAATAACTGAAAGCTTATTACATTTTAGCCAAGCATCAATATTGTGAAGTTTATCATTAAGTACGGATTCTAAGAAATTTGGGTTTGAGTGAGAAGAAAATATAAGGCTAGTGTCATCAGCAAAAAGCCGAGGGTCTGTTAATTCAGAGGCATTTAGGAGGTCATTTATGTACAGAATAAAACAATAATAAGCCTGAAATAGAATCTTGATGGACACCACACTTGATTGTTGGCATCGAAGAACAAGCTTGATTGAATTGGACAAACTACTGGCGGCAAGAAAAGTAACTTTTAAACCACTGCAGAGCCACGTCACGGATACCATAGCGCTCCAATTTGGAAAGAAGATTTGTCGAAAGCTTTGGAAAGATCTAGGAAGACACCAACCGTTTCGTGTTGGCCGATTGCAGAAGCAATATTATCTACCAAATAAATAAGCGTGTGTAATGTCGAGTGATTTTCCGAAATCCAAACTGACAGCGTTACTATATGACTATTGTTTCGGAAAAAGGTAGGATCCTCTGCTTTGTAGATGGAAACTGAATTTTAGCGATGTTAAGTTTTTCCGGAAAAATTCCTTTTCGCAGTGAGAGATTATTACGTGGTTAGATTGCTCTAAAAAACATGTTAGAAGATAGAGATTTTACAAAATGGACTGAGCCATGCGTTCAATATTAGACACTTAAAGGAACACGTGTTCTAAAAATTATGCGGTCCAAGTTAAGTCTTCTTGCAGTAGAGACTGGAAGGCAAGTCCTTCGCGCAATGTTGACCTTTGCCAGGAGACTGGGCACCATTAAGTGTGCACGAGCGGCTGTCATGATTGTTTCCTTCGTCCGCCACCACATAGTCACAAAAGTGTAAATGTGCAACACCTTTCAATTGGATTGAATTTGAAAAACGTCAAATTGAATTGGGTTCTTGTTTGTTTTCTTTTAATTGAAGCTACCCTTGTTCCCTTCCCTTGCTTGGTTTTATGGCAATAAATTTGTACATCATGGAAACGTTTTGTGCTTGTCGATGAGCTGGATCGAACAACACTTAAATATTTGTCTCGGAGAGAGTTTACTTGATGCCCTTTAACTTTTCTTGGATTTGAAATTATAGTGGCGCGTGTTATAGTCAAGTCCGGTTTAAAAGATATTGATTCGTTTTGGATTCAGGCTCTTTACCGATAGGCGAAGCACGAATTATATATGTCTTTCATTATGGTTGGAAATTGCGTAACCTTCGAATACCGCTTGTTCAAACACTTTCAATCATCAGAAGGTTAGGAGGCGTTCATAAGTAAATCGAAATTCGGAAAATTTCAAGATTATTTTCCACTCAATGTGTCTAAGTTGAGACTGGTTAGAACCAGTTTGGCGCAAGGCGATTCGTGGGCTATTTGAAATCTAACGGGATCTAACGAGCGTTAGGAGTGATTGTTCATTTCGATTCTTTCCGTGCTTTAGACAACCATGTGGCTTTGGGATTGGTTGGTACAAGACGACACCTTAACAGGAAAACTCCGAGCTTTCTCGGTGAGGCATGTGAAGATTTCTGAGGAAGACATGACTCGCACCAGAAAGTTAGTGAAAGACTATATTGAGGACCGGATCATGGCGTACTGTCGACAGAATTCCGAGCTTCCGATACTGAATTTGCAGTATACCGGCAGCGTGTACGAGAGACTGAAAACTGAAGCTGCCGATGAAGTAGATGTCATGGTAGTACTGAAGACGTCGAAGCCTTGGTTTTGGGGCGATCCTGAGGTAATGAAGGAAGAAACAGGCTTCCCAGGCTACGTGCGACTCAAAGCAACCGTGGACTCGAAACTTCGCAGATATGTTAGTTCAGAGGGGTACATAATTCCCGGACGACTCCGCGAGCGCTGGTTCTTCAGTCTTGTTTCACGAGCAGTTACAGATTTAAGAGTAAATTCGCCGGGGTCCAACCTCGACTTCGTTGTACGTCAACATGGGCCTTCTGTTCAACTGGATATCTTCAGCAAAGAAACCGGGTGGAAGCTTTTGTCAGCGGATCTCGTCCCTTGCTTTCAAATTGGGACGGATGAATATTTCGTGGCAAAGCAACACACTAGAGACGAACGGCTTTGGAGGCGGTCATTTTCACTGGAGGAAAAACGGCTGCTGAAGTGCATGGATAAAGATGACCATGGTTGCAGACACGAGCTCCTGAGGATTGTGAAGACCATCGTCAATAGGGAGAGAACATCTCTGGGACAACTGAGGTCATACTACCTGAAGACAGCCTTCATGCACTACATCAAGGAGAAGCCTTCCAATTGGAATGGAAGGAATTCACTGGGGGAACACTTTGTCGGATTCTTGGCTGCATTGCAGGCTTTCCTGGAGAAAAGAAACCTGCCAAATTACTGGCTTCCTGAAGTAAACCTCTTGGATGAGATCCCCAACCCGGTGGTTGTTGGGAATATGGCGTATCGTCTGAAACGAATCCTCAACAGCGAAGTAGAGCGAAACAAAATACTTGAATAGCAGAGAGGACTCTATGAATGAACTTATCGTTGACACTGTTTTAGTTGAGTGCTACTTGTCATTAAATTTTCATTGAGTCCATCAAAAATTCACATACAATTATTTTGCCAAATCAGTTATTTGGTAAGTCCTTTAAAATTTGTTATAACCAAGGTTGTAAGTGCTAAATAATAACCACTTCCTATTTCATTCAAATAAACTCAGACTGCTTAGCTAATTAGTAAGTTGCAAGTTTCTTTTTTCCCAACACTGCTATCTTAGAAAGTCCATGGGAATTGACTGTGGTTGTTAGTACAACATACATCAAATCAATATTATTTCCTTTGAATTTTCTCTTTAGAGGTCAACGCACACTCGCCCTATCCAGCTGCTGGGAGTTTTGTCTGTCTGCCTGCCTACCTGCCTGCCTACCTGCCTGCCTGTCTGTTTGTCAGTCTGTCTGTCAGTCTGTCTGTCCGTCTGTCTGTCTGTCTGTCTGTCTGTCTGTCAGCCTGCTTGTCTGTTTGTCTGTCCGTCCGTCTGTCAGTCTGCCAGCCTACCTGCCTGCCTGTCTGTCTATCTGTCTGTCTTTCTGTCTCTTCCTGACATTGCTTTAAAGTTAGCGCATATCTTCACACCCATTCTAATCCATGAATATGACGATTCCTTTGAAGTCTCGGTTCCATTGTATAGTAGTTAGCTGGTGAGCTACGGGAGTAACTAATCATTTTCTAGCGAGATTAGACACCCAGCCATCCGGTTGTTCGAGGGGTGGATAACAATATCCGCGCTGGATAAATCTCTTTTCGATGGATAGCGCAGTACATTTTGATAACAGCCGCTGGAGAGCGACTTATCTGTTGGATAGCGTTATCTGCCTTTTGAAAAACTGGGCTCAGATGTTTGCTTACTCACATGCAGGGCACAAAGGAAGCCTTTTTTACAATTTAATTTTCGATCGCGAGATTGTGAGAACGATTAATGCATTTTACAGATGAGTGTATAGATCCAGTGGAATAAAATCAGAGTAACTTTCCTCTCCCCCCCTTCCTCCTAAACAGCCTATCGCCAGCTAATTCTTGCAGAGAAACAAAGTCGAACAAAAAGATTAACTGCTGAGCTTTGACATTGATGTAAAGATCGAACCACAACGCAGTTGTTTCAACCTAAAATAATTACCAACATTAAAAAAATTGTAATTTTAAAAAGTTCACTCGATTGGAAGTAAGATTACACAAACATTAGGGCAGTTTTCTATTGGGCAGAATAAAGGTAAACGTTGTTATTAGCCAATGAGAACACAGAGTGAAAACATGCAAACTGCTTGAAGCGCGGGAAAACGCGAATGACCAAGTCACGATTGGTTTTAGTTTTGCATCTGATTGGTTAAGGGGATGGCGCGAGTTTTCTGGACCAATCACAGAGGAAACTAATGTAACGCAATCCCGGATTTCTTAGACACAAAATTGACGATTGCTCTATCATTATGAATGCAATTTTAGGACACATGGAATGAACATATAACAAGGGTTAACATAGTTTATTCAGTGTACATTAAAATCACAGTAAGTGAAAATGAATTGATTAAATTTTAACATATAGTTACAATCTTATCATCGTTCATAAGTGAAAATCAATTGTTCAAAATTTAACATAGTTAGAATCTTATTATTGTTCATAATCATTTTACAATTCTAGTGCCCATCCCATTTTCCCCCAATTTTCAAAACTGAAATAAATTATTATTAACATATTTGCGTTGCAAACTAGATTCCCCAATATTTCCTCTCCACAAGCATTGATTCAATAACATTATCTGAAGCTTAAAATTTAGATTTAGAGAACTACGTGCATTTATTCGTTTTTCTTCGAGAACTAAGAACGTTATCATGTGCCTTTTAGGGCTCCACACTGTTAGTCCCTTATATCCTTTTTTTTTGTTTTTCTCCGCTATCAAGAGTATTTGTCTACATCTGCCAATGTCCTTAAAATGACTACTATTAACTGTGTCGTTTGAATAAAGAAAATTATTATTTGCTGTGAGTGAAAAAGTGGGGCCTTTAAAATGCGGCCTAGTTACCTAGTATGACAAGAGAGGATGTCGAAGCGATTGCCACCACCCATACTAATATAACTGCAAGCGTACCTCTTTCACCAGTGATTACCCAAGATATAAGAAAATAACAAATAGAAACTGATCGGTAGGAAAATCCTCGATCTCAATCTTTAATCTCGTCCGCAGAGCCTTCTCTGCCCTTGTCTTATGCAATGGTTTCGAACGCTGGTTAAAGAACAAAGACTTCAGAAACGATGCAAGCCGATCTTTGTCACACCTTTACCCACCGTTATTGGCCTTTCATTTCGTTATCAAACTTAAAATGCTACTTCTGAGTGGTAAACATTTCAGTTCGACACAAAAAATATTCTTTGATTAATGCAATGCTGCAAAAACGATTCTGAAATCTAATGAACAAAAATGTGATCAATAGCATAAACTAACATTAGGCTATATTGATGTGGCGGCTTCAAGGTTAAGCCGGAAGGAAGGGAAAAGTTGGGGGAAGTCAAACTAATGGGAGCCTGCTCCCGATAGCAATATTGACATCGTCTCTGGGTACCCTGACCTTTGTCAAATAATGAAGTGGGTCTACCTGGACCCCTCTCTTAATTTCTCCTCTAAATACTACTCTGCAGGAGGAGGGACATGATGAAACATGCGGTACTTACCTTCTCACTGGTCATAGTTGTGATCATTGTAGTCAGGTCACTTCGTAGTAAAAGGTCATTCAATGCTATCTCGAAATTTAAATTATCATAACTTGCAATATACAATTGTCCGGTGAACATTGTTATCCTTAAAAGCTTTACCCAAAAACTATTACTCAAACACAAAATGTGTGTCATAAATCGTGCAAAAGTTATAAAGCAAAGTGAGAAATACAGAAACTTTCTGTTTATCCTTACGCCTAGCATTTTTTACAAATTAATACTAATTAAATATTAGCTCTGTTGAGCCCTACTGAAATCTAATTTTTTCAAAAAGTAAAATTATTTTTTCACATCCACAATAAGCTGTCATATTGAATTGCCAACATGTGTTTTATCGCAAACTGACATCAGATGCGAAGCCTTTCCTGCTGCAACCGTGAATAAGTTGAGCTATGTCGCAAGCAAAACCATCTACAACAGAAATTAAACACTGGAATAAACTTATAACTTGTAAAATAAAGTGTAAAGAAATGACCGTTGATAAATGTATACATCTATATACCAAATTCCTGTCTCTTACAATCACTCATCACTTATCCCGGAAAATCATAGCATGTCACAGGCATTCAATAAGTAAAACGGAGCACCCACGGTAGTAAACGGCGAGGCGGCGGTAGCGGATCGAAAAAACGAGGGAAGTTCGGTTCATTTCGCGACTCGACCCAAACATCTCTCGTTTTTTGCACTTCTCCGCTACAATCGCGCTGTTTATTTTAGCACTTCGTTTTACAAACTAGACACCTGGAATAATTACTTCATCGTTGAATTTTCCCGGCAAAAGGGACAACGATTTTATCAAAAGAGAAGTTAAACAAGACGTTAGAGGCAAACAGCATATGGCAAACTTAAACTTCTCGCCCTCTGCTCAGTTCAACTGTTTGTACACTTAGTGGGATATGATTAAAAAGATTCAAGCAGATCATTTTTACATACTTCCTCAAGACGAAAAACTACAGTGCATCCCCATCACTGATCAATAATAGTAATAAGTAAAGGCCAACCTGTTTTGCATTTCAAAGTTCAGTTCGAACTTCTCGTAGGGTTGAGGTACTCATAGACCACTTGTCTTTTTTTGTTTCTGTCCAATATGGTTAATGCAATACACTTCAAATCGTCTAGAAACCTGTACATATCATAAACGTTACATCCATGATTTTACTCACTTGCAAATAAGGAGACACTGGGTACTAGCAACGGTGCAAAACTAACTCTGTACTCTTTTTAAAAAAATACCTCCTCCAAAAATCTTCTGAGGATTACTTAATCCCCTGACCCCTATGAGATAATTATTAGCATCTAATCTCCCCTTACAATATCACCCGTGAATCAAATATTACGAACACAAGGGTAAATTAAATGATTTCCAGCTGGAGAAGCTCTTGATTGTTAAACAAATTGTTGTTGTCAACTTTTTAGGAAATGCAGAGAGAAGAGAGTGAAGAATTTGTATACTGATATCAGGGTGAAAAGGATTATGATGTTCTATGGAAATAACTAGAAAAAGAGTCCTTTATCTGAAAAAGACCCGACTCATCCGCTGGAAAACATTACTGGAAAAATGTTCCAAATGTTTGTAAACGAAGCGTTTTTAACCTTAATATAAATGGGAGAAAGATAACTGAAGTACGAAGGTCAGCTATTTCTTTGAAAGATTTGATTTTCAGCGTTTCCCCAACCTTGATCTTGTGAACCAAATATTTGCCAGCGTTGTGAATTCTCAGTATACCTTCGGGAATTTTGCACATAGATGAACTGTGCGTGATACAACAACAACAAGAACAACAGTAATAAATTGGGCTACCTGGAAATCGCTTTCTTGGCAACTGGGTCATGTTGGTACATGGCGTGAAAATCAGCTAAACCGTTGGTGTGCCTCTCTGAAAGGAGCTTGTTTATGACTATGATATCCAAACTGATGTTTTTTGCCGGTAAACACGCCAAGATGTCTCTTTCTTCCCTCCATTTCTAAGGAAAGGAGAGTAGATAGCACAATTTAACATGCAATATATATTATACTTACTTTTAGCTTTAATTTACAGGAACGACTTAGAGCTGGTGTTGCGGTTTACCATACTATCCGAAGTAGTATAAAATGTAAGTAAAAGGTTGTCCAATTTTCGAGATTCTTTCTGATCCTCTATATGCGGTCACTCTCGTTCCTCTCTACCCCAGTAGGATCTTGAGTCTCTCTCTATCCCAGCTACCGCTGTGCAACAAAATTTAAAAATCAAAGTATCATGTCTAGGAATGGTATCTTGCTCAGCTTCCTAAATACTTATGCCCGTGGTTATTGCACAGAACTTACAGAGAAAGAGGGCTTTAGATATAGACATATCAACCTTATCTCTTGGCGGTTGTCCTTTCAAGATGGCCGGATAATTTGGAAGAAACGCATACTCGTCATACTGAGAAACGTTAACCGCGGCATGTCCAACTGTGCTGGTGAACATTATGGATGTTAATGTTTGGCAGAGCTGTTCTGTTGTTTCGAACCTGCCTTCACCCGGCACGCCCTGAAATGAACATCAATTATTTGATTCTTCAAGCTATTATCATGAGTTTTTTCCAGGTCAGCAGTGGCCAGTTGATATCGAAATATCTGAAAGCTCGCGCCGCCTATTCAAATAATGAATTACAATCGGGACTTTACCTTTAATACGATTTTTTGTCTAATTCCGCTAATTTGCTTGAATTATCTTTGAAGTCTCCTCAGTAAATTCTGATAATTTCCTTTGTCCTGACTGGTCATTGGGATCACTTTCAGTTTTTGTTTTATACCATTCGGTGGAGAGAAGCTCTGTTGTTATAAGTAATATATCAAACACGAGGAAGAGTGTTCCATCCGATATCCAAACACCGAGAAGTGGTTGAAAAAACGAGGCGCAGCCGAGTTTTTTTTAACCAACTTCAAGGTGTTTGGATATCAGATGAAACACCCTTTCGAATGTTTGATATAGCTTCTCAAACCATGCATTAACAATTCTTGGAGAAAATCAAAGCAAAAGTTCACCAAATTTTATGATAATTAAGATCTCATATCCAGACCTCTTTCACGGTTACAATTTCCTTTGTTTTCTCAGCATGAATTATTAATGAGTTTGAGAAGTTACATTGAAGAGCCTTCATGAAGTTGGTATTGGAATAACTAACAAATACATCAACAAAAACAATGATAACAACAAGCAGAATTTTCCCCTTAAATGAAAGAATTAAATCAGTTCAACAAAATAGCAAATACAAAGAATCTGATTACCAATCAATGTGAGTCAATTTAACTGACCTTTATACCGCACCCGGGATTTCCATCTGCCACTAGCTCCAGTCCCCAAGCCTGAAGCTCATAATCGTCTGTTAGTGTTTCTTCTTCATCTGGTTATAATCAAATTTAACGAAAATTTTTAAAGGTCCACAGAAAAAGGTGAGGAGCGACTTCTTAACAGTCAGGTTTCAGATTCAAGAAAGATCGATGTATGGAGTTATAAATTCCAATTGGTAATGTAAATGCGCTATGCTTTTTCGGCAGTGCTCAGAGAGACTTGGCTAACGGTGCAATTCAGCAACATAAACTTATTGATGAATTTACATTCTAATAAGTATGATAAGAGACCATTTACACATATGTAGAAGAAATACAAGAACTTATGTTGAATATTAACTCGAATTTATTTTATAACTAACACATAGTTTATGACTAACACCCAATTTAATTCTTAAATGCAGTTTTAATTTGCCCTTTAAAAGAGTAACGAGATTTCTATAGGGTCTTCGACCTTTTTTCTGCTAATACTGTATTAAGAAAATAACGTGCATAAGGATCAATGATTTTCCTTACCATATCTCGCCTCCACAATTGAAGTGACGTACTTGTTGATGGCATTATACAACATGAGGCCATCATCTCGGTAAGGATAATCTGGCAGTACTGAAGGATCAGCCACCTGTTACCATAACAACAAAGGATTTTTTTTCTTTTATTACAGTGATTATCTGATGATATATAGAGATAGATCTAAGATCCAGATCTTCCAGTTTCAAGAAAGATCGATGTATGGAGTGATAAATTTCTGGCAATGGAGAGATTTGTTTTCAGAAACGCGTTTGGTTTGATCAAGTTTGTTTGGAACTTCGATCACTTTACACTGATTTAATTGAGTCTCCAGATATACTTGCTTGTTGTTGTTGTTGTTGTTGTTTTATTATCTTTCAACTTTTTTTTTGTCTATTTTCATTATTGTCATCGTTATCATTAACATTGTAATGGCACCTTTTAGTTGGCCCTACAAATCGACAAAGGTTTGACGAATATTGTTGTTGATAAGAGTACAGGTCACGCTAAACCACCGTCGATTTTCTTTTTACCACGATATCGACGTCAACTGAGTAAACTGACGATTCTTTCAGTGCGTGACCATTGCGTGACACGTTGACGCGAGCAGCGTTGTCTGTACTCCTATCGACAACGACAAATTGACCAATCAGATTGCGCATTACTTCCAAATGTGGTAAAAAAGGCCTATAACCTAGATATATGCTTCTGATCATGACAATTTCCTACTACTGGAGGTTACAACGAAGAATCCAGAAAAACCCGAGGACTAGGTAGCTATTAACGCAGTCGAACTAAAGGGACGAGAATGCCGGGAAAGATTTTTAAATGGCATCGAATAAGTCTATTGCTTGATTTCCCATTTTGCCACGCGTCAAACCAACACCAATCTTAATAGACGAAGGAGGTGTACAACTGTGAATGGCAAATTTGAAACCGTGGTTTGTGGTCCGCGATAAACTTCGATCTCTAAGGTGTCTATTGCTTTTGTTCTTTACACTTCTTAATGAAAACTGAACAAGTTTTTAAATATAAACTTACTCCTCTTTGCTCAAGGTCCGCCGGTAGAGTGCCATGCACATCCATTCTCCAATCTTGCCAACTAATCAATAAAAAAAATGGATAGATTTAAAATAAAGATAAGTAGCTACGAAACTTTTGGAACAGTCTGATAAATCATAAGCTATGGTCGCCTGTTATATGCAAAGTCTGTCCGAAATCATAAGATTGGTTTTTGCCAGTTTGCTGAAAAAAGAAATTCACTATATTACGCGGGAATGCTACAAGGATTAGGAACTGTTTTCACCATCGTTCTCGTTCAAATTTCCCTCCAATTTTTCAATGAGGCCAACCAGGATCTTGACAACTTAATGACTCTACTTAAAGCAAAGGATCGTTTCGAAAGAAAAATTGACATCAGTTCTTAGAACTTCCCCGTCTACCTTGCAAACAAGATGGTCCGACCCGACAGTTCTTAGAAATGCAAAGAGACCCATGAGCAAATATAATACATAAGCGAGGAAAGTGCTTTGAAAACCCCTGCTAGTTAAAATATACGGGCTTATTCATCAGTGCAGAAAGTGAGCCACAAGGCACCTACCCTAAGGCTATAAGATCCTGGGTGCCCTTCGCTCCGAGAGTTGTCGCGCTGTCAATCCAAGAACCTGGCGCGAGCAATTCGTTTACTTCAAAACTGTGAGAAGAAGAGTGAATAATAGAGTTGATGAATGGCGTACTGAGAAATCTTCACAACTAAGTTTAGGCCAACCGAAGAAACTAAACACAAGAAACCCAAACTTTGAACCCAACTGCTTCGTGCTTTGCACTCAACAAATTATTATATTAACGCAAAAGGTTGTTAGCGCTATATAGTGGTTAGATTAATAAGACGAACCATTTCTAAAGGCAGTTGACTCCGTGGCGCAATGGTAGCGCGTCTGACTCCAGATCAGAAGGCTGCGTGTTCGAGTCACGTCGGGGTCAGTGGTTACTTTTATATTTTTCAGTTTAGAGAGTTTTGAAGTCTCTTCCAAAGCCTTTTTCGTTGGCCATTTATCCCATCATATTAAGCCCTGGCCTCCATCATAGGTTTAAATCCAGAATAATAAAAAAGACTAATCTACAGTTCTAAAGAAATATCTCTGGGAAATTAATCAAGAAAACTTTTTATCTATCGAATGTGAATAGTTAGATCCTTAAACCGACCTAAACCCGTTAAAGTTCTGTGGAAGTATCACTGATGTCAAAAACTTACCAGTTCACGGGAATCACGTGACGTAAGTACGGTGCTAGTAATCTATAGATCGGATGTGAAGGAGAAAGCTGACGATGTGTTGCTATGGAAACTGCTTCCAAAAGAAGATGGGTGTATCCTTCAGAAGAAAAGAAAAATGAACAGCACAACCAAACTGTAAGTAAAGGAGTTATGTGCTGCTGTTGATGTTTTAGTTGTGGTTGCTCTGAGACAACTATTATTAGCAGAAGTAGACCAAGAGAAATCCCTTACTGGAGTTAATTAATTTTAAATGGATGATATTTTCCCAATTTAAGAATATCTAGGTCATGTTTGTGCGAGAATTACACAGAGTTATGATTTTTTCCTATCATCTGTTGTGGCAGTCAGGGAAAACTTGAGAGAAGGAAAATGAACGCAATAAATGCTGGATCTTTTCCCAGAGGGTGTTTAGGGAGCGATCATGGAGTTGGAGGATTTAAAGGGGGGAATATAGCCTTATGGGGGGGACTAGGTAATTTTACTGTGACACGACATAAGCAAAATCCTCCGACCCCTCCCTCCTTCCCCCAGACAATAATTAATGACCGGTTTTAGAGTGTTCTGTGAAACCCATTTATTATCGCGGGCTTAGCAAGGGATGGTGCACTCTAGGATCGAAAAGCCTCTTTTTGAAAAACTCAATCAGAATGACTTGGCCAGGCTTGAACCCGAAATTTCAGAACACTGCATCTTCTTATTAGTGCGTAAATGGTACCTACAAGTTTGTAGACTTGTTTATGTACATTGCTATACTGGTCTGAGCACAGTTGTTCAAGATAAAATGTCATTTTATATAGCAAATGAAGACACGTTCAATTTAGATCGCGCATGTTGTATCAGTACCTAGCAGTACGCATGCTCTGTGATACTGCGCATCAGCGTTGTTGAACCACATCTTTGCTAGCACCCAGGTGTACCAAGGGTCGCTGGGAAGGAAAACCTAGCCGAGAAATTAAATATGTATTTGCCAAAAAGAAATACAATTAATAAATGAACAAAAATGATAAGTTATATAAAATATAATTGTAAAGCACTTAGGAAGCGGTTAGAACACTCAAGAAGTAGGGAGAAGCACTAGACTACGCCTCGTGTTTCTCTCTACACTTCTTTCGTGCTCGAACAGCTTCCTGCGTGCTGTACAACGGAACAGAGCACAGTCAAGGCTTCTCTATTTGTTAAATAGCTCGAGAGACACTCAATGTTTCAGTGTTGCGTGCGTATTCACATATGGCACTGAGATTCTTAAAAGAAGCGACAAATAAGCAGGAAAATATCCTAAACGACGATGAAAACCGCGTTAAATTTGTTTAGTGTTGATAATGCACGGTGAGATACTTAGCATTGGTGTTTTTCGCGATATTTATAACTGCAAAATACTGACTGGATATTCATACCGGATTATCCTCTCCTCTCTCCTGATAGAGCTGGATGGCGATAGGAACAAGATAACACTTCGATGGACTCAGGAAGAACAGTGCCATTGGAGACACAACCTAAAGAGATCCATGGAGAAATAAAACTATTACAAAATGATAATTTGGTTTTATCAAATGAGTTGATAATATAATTTGCCACATTAAACAGTTTCAAACCTAACTCATCGATTGTGAAGCCCCCGTGGCGCAATGGACTAGCGTGTTGGACTTCTAATTCAAAGGTTGTGGGTTCGAGTCCCACCGGGGGTGGAGTATTTTTATTGTCTCAAACATTAAGTTCTTTTTATTGTTGAAGCAGGAAAAGTGCCGGTCAGTCGGTCTTTAGCTTATGAACTCTGTGAACTTACAGTTTTGTGTTCTTATAGAACTATTACTCTCCGCAAAATTCACTCCAAAATGAAGAATTTCAAATACTTTTTTTGGTTTGTTCGTTTTTTTGTTTTGGCGTCGATGCAGATGTTTTAAAAAGATCGTATGAAATTTTGTAAGTATCTTAGTAGGAATTGGCACCTTTGTAATTTGTTTTGATTCAATTTACTTTGTTTTGTTTTCCTTTTTTCCTCTTTTTCTAACTCGTTCTTGAATCGCACCACGTATCTTTTAAAAACCCGAAAAAGATCTAGCGATAAAAGCAAAAGACAGCTCTTTTCCTCAGTTTACCGAAATTATAACCCACTTGGGATGTTGGGAGAAACACAATAAAAGTTTGTAAACCACGAGCCGGAGACTAGTGTTCTCCGAACATTACGCCGGTAAAGCGATGAAAAGTGTGATCTGTTGCTTTTATAAGATAAACCTCAATTTTCTATGTGTTTGGCGGTGCAATGACCGATAGGTTTTTGACCAATCAGGGGGTTGGTCTTATCACGGTTATTTTATACGAACAATAAAACTAACCTTTCTTGACTCATCTAATTCTAACCGGGCCAAGATTTCTAAATCGACAATAAAGATCCTGTTTGCTTCCAACGCCATTTCCAACGTTTGTCCCTCAAGAAATGGCTCTAGCATCGCTGACGTAACAGCAAGCCTACGAGAAAGCATTTTTTTATATAGGAAACAAACTGCTTACTGAAACATAGGCATATCGAAGTATAAGGTGGGCGTGTTTTGCAAGCATTTATGGAGGGTTTATTAAGAAGCTTTAGTCAGAATTTCATGCAACGAATCTCAAAACACAGACTCACTTGTCAGGTACTTTGGTGCAAAGACGAATGAGCGTTGGATTACAGCCACACAATCTCTGTCGAGCGAAATGCACATCATCTCTCCAATAGTTACGTCCCTGAGGGGAAAAAAGAGAGAGAGAAAAAAGAAGAAGAAAAAGGAGGTAAACGACAGGCAAGATTATGATTGAATTAAAGAATTTTCTTATCAAATATTCTTCCAAGAAATTTCAGGAAACTTGAAATTAAGTCACTCTCGATTGCAAAAACATGAATGATAAGACCCAATGGCTTCATGGGAAATGTTTGCACAGTTACATAATCACTGCTTCACCTTTTGGATTATTCAGGGCAAATCTTCATACACCTTCATTCTTTGATTCATTTCCATCTGACTAAGTGGCAGTTTTTTATATTTTTGCTTGTCGTCTTTAAGTTTTTCTTATCTTCTTCTTCTTCTCTGATAAATTCAATAGACTCGTCAGCACTACCGCAGAATAACAAACGATTTCGTACAACGGATGATATGAATATTCAGCTTGTGCTGTAACTCTGTATAACAATGATCATTCACCTGATCTGCAAACGATCAACCTACCGCTGGTTTGCCAAATTTTCTGTCAAAAATTTCGTCAAAGTCATGAAGCGAGTTCCAAGGTTCATAGCCGTAGTCTGGCAGATTGAAAGCGTTGACTAAACTAGATCGCCTCACAATGATATCCCACTGAAAATGAAGAGGAAAATTAGATTGGTGTAAATTGCCATTTGTTATGATGTTCTTGTGATCGTTTTTGAGTAACCCGAAAAAAGAGAAATAAAGAGGATCAGGCAGATTCACAATCGATATCGACATCTGTCGTTTTAAAGTGATCTCAGCGTTTAGTTAAAGTACTGATAAAAGCTTCTCGTAAGACACTGTGGAATGCCATTTTTTTAACATGGAACACTACGTTTGAGATCGAAGCATCATAGAACAGGTATTTCAACCAGTAAATGTTTTCCGTTTACGATGCATAAACCGTGAAGATATTGAAAGGGAAATAGGTAATGTTTTGGTCAAGGCTAAATAAGAGGCAAACCGAGTGAAAAAAAAAAAAAGGAAATAGCTGAAACAAGATTTAAATTAATCACTGGGTATTTTGTGAAGCCCCCGTGGCGCAATGGACTAGCGTGTTGGACTTCTAATTCAAAGGTTGTGGGTTCGAGTCCCACCGGGGGTGGAGTATTTTTATCAACTAATTTTCTTAATCAACTAAGTTTCCTCTCTCCCCAATTGAAACATGTAAAATGCTAATCAGTCTTAAGCGTATGAATTCTGGGACAAAGACTTAAAACCTGTGTGTTCCAAAGAGCTATTCATCTCCTCGAAACGTACTCTAGAATGATGAATTTCAATGCCGTTTTTTATTTGCTCATTTGTTTTTTTGTTTTTGTTTTTGCTTTTTTTTGTTGTTTTTGTTTTTGTTTTTTATTTTTAGGGGTGGGGAGGGGGGGGCGCTGAGAGATGAGCAGATTTAAATCTTTAAGTCGATCGATTGAAATTTGAGTAACTTGAGTGGAATTGGCATCTAAGTTAAGCCATGTTTTCCAATGAAGTAATACTTTATTACCAAAGTGACACTCCGTTTCGAAAAACTAGCCTTTTCTACCTGTTCTCCTATAGTTAATCTGTCCTGAGATAAAGACAAGTATTCTTTACAAGCAACAAAGACTTTATGTCGTCTATGATGCATTGTCTGTCATAAATACCATTCTCGGATCAATGTCAATATCTGAGCAACTGCAGCGATCACTCCCCTGACCCGAAAACAGTAAACTGAAAAAAAAGGTTAGGGTTGATGCTGGGTTAGGGGAATGGTAGGTGTATAGATGCTCAGATACTGATATTGATCTGCGTTCTCGTCTGGCAACAGCATAAAGACTTCAGAAGTGACTTCTAACTTGGAAAAAAAAAATGTGACACGATGACCCCGACGTGACTCGAACACGCAGCCTTCTGATCTGGAGTCAGACGCGCTACCATTGCGCCACGGAGTCACCTATAGATACATTTATAAATAGGTTGGAAGCAGCTTAGACAAAGGGCTAACGCTCGAAACCTCAGCCTTTTAAACCTTTTACGGTGGCCAATTTACGTTTTCAACTTTCCCTGATAACGTTAATTGGCCACCGTTCAGAGTTTGAAAGCTGACATTTCGAGCCTTAGCTGTTAGTCAGGGGGCTAACACTCAAAACGTCAGCTTTCAAACTCTTAACGGTGGCCAATTTACGTTTGATTGATCTCGTCGCTATACGAGAAAAACCTTTTGCATTTATCTCTGATTTAGTTTTCTCGGTGAGTCAGACAAAACTGTGATCTCAGAGACTCACGATTAGTTAGTTTGACCGCGAAAATAACAGAAGTTGCATCTAGAACAACTTTAAACTTCATCGTGGACCACGGCCGAGAATTGATTTGAGCACTGAGAGGAGATGAAATCTTTGGTACGGATTGACTTCATTTAAAGTTAGCATGACTCAACCAAACATACACAAAACCAGTCTGAGAAAAAGATGCGCAGGCATGGGGAATGGTTTTAAAATGTAGGCTATTCAATAATTATTCACCGAAATAGAGGTGCGGCAAGGTAAATATCCACCACTTTTCCCGGCCCGCCGCTGAGGTGAATAATTGTTTTAGTATATACCACACAGAAACAAAAAAGATTACTTATTTTCTGTCACAACACCCAAGCCTGGTCGGAAATAAACTGACGACGCGCGATTTTGTCTCTCCGGCTGCTCGGAAGTAAATAGTGCCTGCTTATCACTTCCTAACCAGCAAATCAGCGCGTGCGAAAAGCAGTATCCACTTGAGTGGTATATACTAATTAAAAATCATTAATTTACCGAAGTGGAGGCGGTGAGTGGTGGATATTTACCGAATTGCGAAGCAGCGAGGTAAATATCCACCGCGACTCACCGACACTGAGGTGAGTAGTTGTTATCGTATTAAAATAAGTGATATAACATGGAAAAAAAGATGATTTTAACTCATTTATTCCTGCAGCTATTACAATATTTTAGGGCGCAAATCCCGCACGCGTTGCTCGGAGAGAAATAGCAAAGAATATTCGGAGTTTAAGTAGCCAATCAGGGTGCGCCTTCAAATCTATCCACTGTTTTAGCACAACTAATTTATGCAAATTCAGAAGTTACCATTTTTTCTGAGTTTTAAGCGACAAACCGACCTTAGCTGCGCTAAAAGTGATATTGCGAGCTGGTACTAACCTGATGATTGCAGCTAAAAACCTCTTCTTTCGGGCAGAAGCTTATCTGAAAAAGGCAAAGTACAAAGTACCATTAGCGTACTTCTGGTATGTCTATGTTATAACATGTATACGTTAGTATAAATTCAGTAATAAACAGACTAATGACACTATAAAGCGGTAGCCTTTGCAGTATGCAGAGGATATTCCGTTTTTTCTTACGACTCCGGAAAATGATTACAAACTGGCCCTGAACTGTGATAGCTCTTTCAAAAAAACTGCGTCAACATCTCCGAACAACCCAACATGGTAATTGAACCCCATCGTTTTTTCCGACCTAGCTCTAAAATTACTAAATTTTCTTTAAAAAAAATTTCTGCCTAGAAGTTAACCTCAGTCCTTAACAACGGGGAAAACTCTTCTTTTGCGAAGATGATGCTACGCATGCCTTTCAATTCCTGGCGTGCTTATGGCGTTGGCTCCTGATTGCGGAAGATTTAAAAAAAAAAAAGACGCGAAGCTCAATTGCAAAGACGCACGCAAATCAACACCGAATGACAGGTCAACTCGTGAAAGAGTTCCAACGGTCAAATATTTGCTGAAATGTATCGCTGGTGATCTGTGATCAGCACAACTTGGAAAAAATTAATAATTTTGGAAAGTCTCTTATGAAATTCCGTTTTTTCCTGTTCCTAGGTTAATTACATTGTGCCTACATATGGCCATTTTCTATGCAGGAGTTCGTCCTTTTAAAGATGGCAGCTTTCCAACAAGTTTAGGCAACAGCTAACCAGACTTCGAAAATTTCTCTCTTTAAAACATTTTGCACTCGGTTTGACTAATAAGTAATCACAGTGCCTTTGTGCAATTAAGATCATTTTACTTCTCATTCTGAAGCTTTCCAATTTGCGTGGAATCTTTCCTCGAAAACTTTCTAAGCTCAAGCTAAGTTTTTTTTTCTCCCGGGACGCGCACCGAGACTGGGGTATATGAAGCCATGGCTTGCAAGTATTGAATTTTGCGAGTTAATTAACGAAGACTTGATTAGTAGTGTCCCATGTCTCACCTGAGGCGGAATTCCAGGTCGTCTTCTGTAATATCGATACATAGTTCTTTTCCAAAATAATTCCGTTTCCCTTTGCTCAGTCTCAACATCAAACTGAGGTAAGGTGCTATCAAACATCCTTAAAATTAAGGGTTGTTTGTTCTTTATCCATCGATGGCACGGAAATATAAAATCTTCGTAGTCTCCTGCGGTATAGCGTCGAATTTCAATCGTTTCAATGAACCATTCTACATAATTTCTACGACCCGTTGCATCCCGTCGGACGAATTCGATTTTGCAAAAGCGTCCGATTTTCACTGGCTCGCAGATCTTAAAAGTATCCGTGTGGCCTTTCTTGAACACCGTAACACAACACCCTGTCAGGCATAATTCTTGAGATCTATTTCCTTTTTCGTCAATGATCGTCAAATAAGCTGTATTGTGCAATCCACCACCTTTCGTGTCTCCAGTTTTGACGGTTATTACCAGACCTGGGATATCAAAACAGCTGAAGCAATCCACCGTGTTTCCCATTTCAGTAATTCTTCGCTTGGTAAACCTGCATCTTAATTTCAACAGGTGTCAGAGGCAAAGTACGGGCGTAGATTCGATGTCAGTCAATTACCGTCAGGAGATGGCAAGTTCCAAGAACATTTTCGATGCTTTTCTTGCATTTAGATGGTGATTCTGGAGAAGAGTGTTGTTGCTAGCGTCAGTCAAATGAATTGCCAAAATATCTCTTCATACCACGGTAACTCGCAGTGAACGGTCAGTTGTTTTAACCATGGATACCAAGAAGCTTTCAGCCACTTAAATGGCGTCAGGCACCCGCCAGCTCAATTCATCGTTTTCATCTGTCAAAACTCGACGCTTCGACTAGCTCGGCGTTCCGTTTGATAAGCTTTTAGAAGAGCTATTGTATTCTTTAATAGACAGCGATGTAAAATAAATAAACAGATCGACACATAGCCAAAAGCAACAGGTGGAATCACCCTCCTCATGAATTTTTAACTGTTTTATTTTACAGAAAACCACATTAGGATATTATAAACCGAGGTACGTTGAATTAGAAAATATTTGACATATAAAAAACTTGCGGTTTATTTTATTCTACGCATGTGAACTATAGCTACAAGCAACTTCATTAAAATTATATCTGTTCAAAGTCCTATCTACTGCATGCATGATTTGGTGGTTTTGTATCTAAAACCCCTCTCGCGCAACGTCCCACCAATCACGTCTTCTGAACATCTTTCATTCTGTTATGGTTTAGCGAAGCAAGGGAAAATTTAAGCTGCAAAAGATTTCTCGTAAGGTCGTGAAACGTTCGCCCCTAAAATAAAAAGAAGGAAAATTTCGCAAATTTTTTTCCTTCAAAGCAGGAAAATTTTAATTAACTGAATGAAGTTTCGAAATAAAAAAGACTCTTGCGCAAGAAAACCTGTAGAGTTGTACATTCAGTGTACTGATTAGGTATGCGGTACAACAGGTGTAAGCCTTATATTATTTTTTTAGCCCAGTCCCTCAGCACAACTAAATGTCAGTTGACTGCCAGGCTCCTAATTAATTAGCCGGTTCTTTGGCAGTTTTACAGGCTTTACTAGTGATAGAAATAGATACAAGTCATACTAGTTTGTGGCAAAACTGAAAAAATTTGCTAGGTCTGATACTGGCAATTTCAGAATTAATGAGTCACAAAAGGTGTGAATTGTTCGCATTTAGTACTTGCAGATGTTTAAACGACGATGTAATGAAGATTCATATTGAAAGAAAAAGGAGATCCAAAGAAATGGTGGTCTCCTTGAGAAAGGATGAATGGCCGAGTCCACCCCATTAATTAGTATAAATTATAAAATTTCTACTTCTTTTGTTGTGTGACGGCCCTGTGGCCCAATGGATAAGGCATCTGACTACGAATCAGGGGATTCCAGGTTCGAGTCCTGGCAGGGTCGCGCCGTTTCATTTTCCCTCAATCTTTTCTTTTTTTTCTTTGTCCTTTTTCCCTCTCTTAAAATATTCTCTGTTTTCCATACCGAATAAAGGAAGGAAAGCAATAATTAATTCGGAAATTGGACGAACTTCTGTCATAATCCCCATTTTTCCGACCAACCAGCGAAACAAGTTGTGGATTGATCGACTGACGCGAGCAAAATGCTTCCCTTCTTCAGTTTTCACTGAAATTTCTTCCCCCTTAACAAAAATCGGTCCCACATTGGAAAAAATTTATGCATGTAAATAAGTACAGGGGCGAGTTGGCTGTGCAACTAATCTTCAGTATTTTGATATATCAGCAATAATAGGAGGGTCAAAATTCTTGGGTGTTAAAGTGGAGAATTTCATTGAAGGAATATTTGATAAAGGATTTTCCCTTACTGAACATTTTCTGTCACCAATTGCATCCTTCAGTGGAAATAGATGGCACATGGAAGATCGAGAAGAAAAGGAAGCGAAACCTAGGATCCTAGACTACATGCGTGACCTATTGTGTTATTGCACGTGACTTTACAGTAAAACGCCACTGATCGTGAGTTGACAATGGTGTACTGCAATTACCAGTTGAGGTATGGCACCGTTCAAGAATAAGTCGACAGTCTCGACTCGAAGCTTGAAACATTCGAGAATCGAGGATGATGGAGAATAAAAAAGAAAATTAATCGCGCGAAAATCATTTTGTCTTCCTGTCTCGCAACTCAACTCGAACGTCTCGAAATTCGACTCGAGCCTCGAAGTTTTCGAGAATCGAGGATCCAGTTACGAGGGACGGACAACTCACTTTAGAGTGGTACTGTATGTGACCGACCTTTTATACTTTCTTCAGCTTATTGAGATTGCGAAGAAGGCAGCCAATGTAAAAACAACAACAACTACAAAAACGAAGTCCCCATCATCATTTAACAACAACAACAAGTTTCAACAGTATCATTAAACCAGAAAGTAATGAGAATGAAGAAAAATATCAATTTGGCAATATTTAGTTGATCTGATACATCATCATTTAAGAATTGTATGGTTGACAGTAAGGAGAATGACAAATTTGATCTGGGAGTTAAAGGGTTAACTGTCCCTAGGACAGTTACATTGCACAGTGAATCTGCTTTCATTTTCCTCATTTTGTTTGTTAGTTTTGTTTTTCCCTAATCACAAGAAAAACCCTTGGACAACCTTGAGTGACTAAGACAGAATTTGTCAATTCAAAATCAAGCAGGCACGTGAAGAGTATGGTGAAAAATATCAACTTGGGGATTACCATTTGATCTAACGCCAAATTCTCAGAACAAACTTAACAAGGAATGTATGACTGATATTTTAATCGTGAAAGGGTTCAGCAAAGTAGGCAACTTCTAAGAGAAGAATAACATTAATATATTCCATAAGAGCATTCCTTTTCAATAAAGGATCATTTGCTTTACTTATTAGTTAGTTTGTTTTGGTTTTTAGCTTTGATTGTTGAGGCATTTTGCTTTGTTTTTTTGCTTTTTTCTCTGTACTGTGTGGGCTCGTGTCATACAGTGAAGAAACCAGAGCTTGCTAATGATGGGACAAAGGCTTTTATCCTGCAGGTAAACCTTTACACCCAAACCGGCATTGGTATGCATATTCTCCATGCTGTTCTCTATACATTTCCTAAGGTGCTGATAAGGAGAATTTGTTTAATAATCAAGAGCCTCTTTGTTCATTTCCTTTATTGCTGTGACCTGAATGTTTGATTCAGGGGTAATAATTTCAGGAGAAATTAATGCTAGTCACTTCAAGGTCAAAGAGTTAGTGGTTCAGTGCAGAGTCATGCATGGAAGCCACATTTTTGTATAATGTTAAAGGCAAAATGCCAGCAAATATAGCGAGACGTGAACTTCAACAAGGTACCTTTATGTAACTAATTTCAAAGTACTTTTATTTTAAAGGCAAGACTTATAAAAGTGCTTAAAATGCACAATTTACAAAAAGCACAAGCACGAGTAGTCTTACCAACTTCCCTATTGCACCATAAGGAAAAAGTACATTTTTAACAAGAGGTTAATGCAAGAACTTTCTAACCAAGAACTTCAAAAAATAATGTATTGATAAATCAAATAAGTTTTCAGCAAAAAATACAAAGACCAATGTAAAAATGTCTCTTAACATTCCAATAACTGAAAATTAATGTAGACATGAACTGGTTATAAATAATTGATCAGTCCCTGACTAAGCTAAGATTGAAAGCCTTTGGCAAACACCTCTTAAAACAATTGCGGCTCTTTTTAAAAGTTGCAATGTTAGTAACAAATCTCTCGAAATTTTAATTATATCCAAATGAGCAGAATTGCTTCAAACTAAACTTTATCAATAGTAGTAAGGTTCTATGACTTATATCATAATTCTTGTTTTTCGTTTTTGACACAATCCTTTGTATATTCTTTGCACAAATAGTCGAAGAGGTCCTTTGTTTTCCTGTATTCTGCGTAAATTTCATCTTCTCCAATGTCTCCAACCAAACCACCACACTTCTGGGCAAGTCTAGAAAATGAAATTAAAAACTTAATTGTATTTTACCTCAGAAAACATGCAGAGAGCATGTACTTTAAACAAACATATTCCTGGTGTGGTGATCAAAAGAAAAAGAAACCAGGAGAGCAAGGGGGAAATTCATCATAAAATAATTGTGCCCTTCTACGAATTTTTTTATTGTGAAGGTTATTAATGACACATAGCTGTAGTTTATGTTAAGAGTACTAAAACATCTCCAAAAAAGAGAGGCAAATAAAAAAATTTAAAAACCTCCAATTCCAGCACAATGCCATTTAACAGGACACTAGTACAGTATTCCTTTTATAGTATTTCTATCAGAGAGGCAATTGTGTCCATAACTCTGAGATCTGTATTTCTCACTTTTTTGCTTTATTCTTCCTCCTTCACAAACTGATAGCACCTTCTTGCTGATAAATTTCAGTTTTTCTATGACATGTTTGCTCAGTAAAACATTAACATTTTGAGAAGAAGTTAGATGTTAAAACCCTTTGGAAGCTTAGTGGTTACCCCTTTGCACACTCACAAGGGTGTCCACATTCTGCATTTAACTGTTCTCAATACATTTTCTATGGTGTTGACTTGGAAAATTTGTTCACCTATCCACAGCTTGGCAATCATATCCTTTATTCTCATGACCATAATGCTTAATTTAGTAGTAATACTGTAAGGAGAATTTAGATGCCAATTACCCTTCAGTAGAAATAGTTAAAGTTAACCTCACCTGCCAGGCCATTTGCCTCCCCCTTGCATCATACCAGGAAAATCTTTTGCTTCCAAACCTGGGCCAGATAAACGATTTACACCCTTAACTGTCTTTATCCCATAGCTGAAAGTTAAAAGAGGAAAAACTAATTTGAACATGTTATATTGATTATAATTTAAACATGTTACATTGATTATTACTGAGTGTATTATATTTGTTTTCTTTTTCTTTTGTACTCTGACCCAGTATTACTACCACATTGCCTATAGGATATATACACATTCAGATAACTGAATACACTTCTCACTCTTTTTATTGCAGCTGTAAGGTTTAATATTCTGTCACACTTGAGACCATTTCTCACCTCAGTCTACAAGCTGCAAGCAGTGTTCACCTTATCTTGTATTTAAAACAAGAAATAAACTTGTAAACTGATACAATGTCATTATGAACTCAGTTTAACCTTAGATATGCTTTTTACCCTTTACACCCTTACATCAGTATATATTTTCTTCATACTGTTCTCAATGCATTTCCTGTGGTGCTGACAAAGAGAATTTGTTCAACAATCAAGAGGTTATTTAGTTGGTGATCATTTCCTTTATTCTCACGACCTCAATGTTTGATTTAGGGTTGCTACTTATAGGAGAAAATAGTTACTAATCACTCTTAGGGGTTAAAGGGTTAAGTAGATACAAACGTAAACTTAAAAGATTTAATTGCCTTAACAATCTCTCTGATCCTTGCAATTTTAAAGTCCATCCTTGGGGTGGGTGGATATGACTATTTCTTGAAGCAAGTTTGGGTGAGGTGCTGGAATGATGGTTAGAACTTTTTGACTTTAGATAAAGAGGCCTCCATTTGAACCCCTGCTGGATAATTTTGTCCAAATCTTTGGCAAATAAATTTACTCTTACAATCCATCTCTCCACCCAATACAGTTGAACCTGTCTTATGCGGTCACACTCTGGGAATAGGGGATGAGTACTTAGACAGGTTTTTCACAGATAAGGGGTATAACGGGAAAAAAAAAAAATGATTAAAAATACAATTTTGTACCATAAGAGACCACTTAATGTACAGAGACTTGCTCAAAAATACACCACTAACATTGATTTTGCGAGATACATATGGATAAATTTTACTTGAAGATTGTTCTAAGTTTCACTTGAGCAGTCCCACTTTCAGTGACTGTTCAATACAGGTGAAGAACAAAAGAAACAGGCCACTGGGACACAGTAAAGGCTGATCATGACTGCTTAAAAGAGGTAATTGGTAAATAGAGGAGGAAATTACAGTAATTAAAGGGACAAAATTCTGTACTATGAAAATCAAGTGGTTAATACAAGGGGACAGCTTCATACAGTGCCATTCAATACAAGTTTTATTGTAGTTAAGACCAGCTATGGCAGAGTGTGCGGGAGCCCTAACAAAATTCTGGAGGTTTACATACAATGGAAAAGCATCCCATTCCAGGGGGAGTAGCATCACTTTTTCTCAATTCATACCAAGGGGATAAGCTCTAACAGAAATTGGCCCCTTAGATCAGACCACTTTTTATGCAATATTAAATAACATATGCAGCTTCCCATCTTTAGTTACCTATTTTTAACAGGTGCACTTATGACCTAATTAGTTTCAATGATCAAATGACTTACTCATCCCAAGAATTGTCACAAACTGCCTCAAACACATCAAGATAATCTGACTCTGGAAGTGGTTTTCCTTTCAGTGATGGCTTCTTGTCCTCTGCTTTACGTAAAGCTTTGCTCATCTGTAATAAAATTGGAAAAAATGCCATAAACATTGGTATGTAATTCAGTCTTTGTTTCATCACACTAAATACACTACTTCATAAGATATCATATTTCTGTAGGCTATTTGGCTGTTTCATCATTACAAACTATTTAAACAGCAAAGAAAAGCGTTGCAGAGATTTAAAACCAAGGATAATTTTGAGAGAAAAATTATTAAGTGCTGTATGTTAAGTATTTTTAAGTTCATGAAGCTGTGCAGCAACCCTAACAGTAGAGTAAAACTTTTATTAGGTAACTATTCATCGCCTACAAATTACATTAGCGGGTATTATATCAGTTCAGCCGCCCTTAATGACAATAGCGTATCGCCACTTTACGCTGGCAAAGGCAACAAAAAAAATCTCGGCAAAGTGTTAAACTAATATTTCACAGTCGAGCAGGTATATTTCAAGAGGACAGCAAAGACTCCTTCAGTTACCTGGAATGCAATCGCAGTGCAAGCATCACACGTCATCTCAAACGACTTCGGTGTGTGCGGTGAGTGCTGTTCTTCTTCATTCATTTTTGGCGTCTCAAAGCGCATTGGTTCACCATCCTGGCCGTGCGCTTTCGCGCTCAGAAGAGCGAAGATGGCAAACACCGCAGCAACTTGAAAAGTCATCTCATTCACGAGTTATCTTTACCAAAGGGAGCAACGTGCTTTGTACAGAAGTGAACGGTTATCAAATGGGTCTAAATTTATCAAAGCATAAATAAATAAGTAGCTCGAAATGGAAAGTTAGCAAAGCGACAAATCGTGTTTTGCCACGAGAAAACAGCAGGCAGTTGTTCTTTAGCAGTATACCGCTGTGCATTTGAACGGCGCTGTTGCAGTTTCTGCTCGGTTACCAAGCAACTTATGCCACGTCGCGCGCATGCGTACGAATAAATTTACGACAAGAAACAAAGATGGAGTACTTATCTCGCGGATTTAAGTCAGTTTTGGGCAATCAACAGGGTGGTTCTCAACCTTCTCCTCACGAAACGGTGCGCATTTGTTTAAATTTTGTAATCTACGATGTGTGACAGTTTCAGACATTTATTTTAACTATCAATTTTATCCAGGTTGAAAGATTATGTGACCGCGTAGCCTCTTCTACGCTGCTGGAAGATAGACGGGATGCTGTTCGGGCGCTCAAGTCTCTCTCGAAGGTAGATTTTTAATGAAAATTAAAAGGCCTCACCAGAGTATTCTCGTAGAAAAGCTCGATCTTAACCGTAAAAATGCAAGGAGTTTACACGAATGTTCCATGTCATACCGTTCTGGGATGGGAAAGAGGAGTTTAAAACCGTCGAGGGCATTAGGAAAGGAAATTGTTGTCCAATAGAATTTCTTTCATTGACGGCCTAATCAACTTCTATAACAGAACTGACCAAAATTCTAGCTTGCGCAATGGATTAGACGTCGCCATTAGCTTAATATTTGTGATCTAAGTATCTCAGTTAAGTTATCCAACGATGGAGTTGTTTATCAATTAAGTTGTCAAACAACTAGTACATTGAATCTTCCTCTCACACAATTCCTATAAAATTATCAAAACTCCAAACTTGTTGGTTAGGAAGTCAACAGTTTCCCATATTACATTCAAACTGATTAGGGCTCACAAGTACAATTGTATATTATTACAAACAAAAGGTTTTCCACTGATTGATGAGCTGAATGCTCTTTTCAATCTGTCTCAAGAAGGCTGCTTTCAATATATGATAATGTTACAGTTAGGATAATCACATTCGGCTCTGAGATTGTGTCCGGTAGTAAGGATCAAGATCTCTCTTTTTTTTTATCAGAAATTCCGCCTTGAAGTTGGAACACAGTCAATGGATCTCTTGATAAATGTGTTACAAACAGATAGGTAGGCTGTGCAGGGCTTCAAGCTAAATTTTTCTCAAATTCCCCATTTAGAAACCTAAAATGATGAAAATAATTGTCACCAAAACATATAATTTAATCAGCCAAAAACTGAAATTAGATAAGGTTAAGACCTTTGCATATCAAGAAGAGATATTTTGCATCCTAAATGAACCGCAAATGACTTCATTTCTTGACAAGGTACATGTATTTGGTTACATGGCATAGTATTCTGATTAACAACTATGATGACAAAATGATTGCCTCTAGAATTTTCTTTAGTGACTGATCAATCTGTACCATTGAGTGCATCTACTCTTTTTCCTTGTTTGGTGTTGACAAGTTTACCCTTGGGGATATTTTGGCAAAAATAAACAGATACAAACATTAACATTTTAACAATAAATTTGAACTGTAATACATGTCCATGTGTTTTTTTTGTCCATTTTACTTTTAATCTCTCTGTTTTTTGTCTTCTGTTTCTTTTTTTATAATTTCAATTTTGAATTCTGTTTGATCTTAAAATTTTAGGAATGACACAGAGATCACAGGTTTAGCCTTACAAACTTTTTGCAACCTGCTCTCTGCTGATCCAGCTCAAGGTGAGATTATATAGATTTTAACCCTCTGACTCTCAAGATCTGATTGTTAATTCTCCTCTCTAGCTGCTACACATTTCCTTGTCAGTTAGTTACAAGAATTTGGTTTTAGATCAAGTTAACAACTTCCACCTGATAAGTTTGAGTATTCTCATTACCTTTTTGCTGGATAATGTATGGATATTATAGGGAGAAGTTACTTATTAATCACTTCTAGGAGTTAAAGGTTAGGATAAAGAATATTGTGGGTTAAAATTTGGATTTGGTTGTTATGTGTAGTTTTTTTTTCTCTAAGAATCACAGCAAATTTAATTTGTCAGGAACAAGAGCAAATACCAATTAGACCAGTTTCCATTGAAAGGAAAATTCATTTTAAACTACTGTAATACTTTTTAGAGTGTGAACCCTGTCACTCATAATATCTTGTTAACGATTCTCCTTACTATCTGCCATTTAATTCTCATGATGTTGGTGTGAAGAATTTGATATTGGATCGACTTAGAATCTCCATAATTTATATTTTATTCTCATCAATTTTCTTCTTAGTGTATTGATATTGTAAAGAGAAATTCTGTCTTGGTCACTCATGGGAGTTAAATGGTTAATACCAATTAGTAACTGTAACTCTAGATTTATAAATAACATACATGTACTATTGATAGTATTAGCAATGAAATCATCCATTATCAATATTTTGTAAATTGACAAATACTTCAACAATTTATTGCCAAAGAAAATTGAGCTCCTTCCTATTTTCTTTTCCAGATGAAGGTGGTCGAGATGCTAGTCAAACTGCTTCTGATGTTGAATTAGGAGTTCAGTTTACCGAAATTTTCATCAAGAAAAGTGATAATGTCACTTTGTTACTTGGGCTTTTAGAGGTACTGTATACTGTATACAGAAGAAAATTTAAAGTAGTTGCTGAATTTGCAGTCAGTGATTTTTGTGCCAATTTTTTCCTCTCTAATCTTATACCTATATGTCTTACTATATTTGTTGATATTAGATGCATGTATAAAACAAGTAATGGGTCATTTGAATTTATGAGCAATTTGCTACTGAGCTTAGAAAAAAAAATGGCTTTTTGGTTTCCCTTGTCTTGTTGTGTCGTCCTGTATTACATATCAGTTGGTATATAAATTGTGCTAGTAATTTGAATAGACTGAGCTGGAAACAAATTTAATGCTGTTAATACTGATAACATAATAAAATTGTCATGCTGAAAATAAGTAAGATGTTTTCCAGCCATTTTGTTCAGTTCTTTTTTTTTGTAAGTTGGTCAAACCAGGATATGTTATAATGTAATCTTTTGAGCACTCCCTTAACCTTATCTGATGAGATCACATTTTACAGGCTTACACTTAGAAACATGAACTAACAAACTGTACATTAATTTTCAGGAGTATGAATTCCAAGTTAGATGGCCAACTGTTAAACTTCTTACTGTGTTACTGACAAACAAAAGGTAAAAAAACTAAAGACAACCTTATCTTGAATTTTCACCCATATACTGTACAGCCTGTATTACTGACTCCTTTTTTGTACACATAGTACTTTACATATACAGTATATTAATAATTTTGGTGCATTTTTACGGATTAATGAACAGTTATTACAATAATAATTTAAAAAATAAGTTGTACAATTGTGTAGCTTACATTACAACTCAAAAATGCATAATTTGACAATGCAATGCAATTCAATCCTTTGAAGATTGAGGCTTGAGGCCAGGTTTGAGCTGTTCAACCAAGTTTCAAGATGCACTATGTTTCAAGCATCTTGAAACCACAAATGGAGATCCTGGAAAAGCTCTTTAAGAAACTCAATCCTTGATTAGTGATCCTTAATTCTCTAAAGTTTCAAGGATCAAGAATCAAGTTTTGAGCTGAGACTGTCTACTATCTTCTGAGGAGTTCTGTTAATAGATCCTTAATTTATTTTGATCGATTTTGATTAAATTTTCAGTTATCAACTGCAGCAGTGCATTCTAGTAAGCCCCATGGGTAAGTTGAAGAGCAACACTTTTATATGCCATTTCACCCCTAACAACATAACCTTTTAGTTCTCTTATTGAAGAATTGATTGGACAGTGTGACTGACCATCATCAGGCCTGCTGCAATCCATATACCGCACAGTACCTGTGTCTGCCACAAGTCTATCTGTTATGGGTGGTTGTATGGAAGACTCATGCACTGTACATTGCACATGAGTGATTGCAACTTGAAAATATTCCAGGACTCCATTGGTTTTACCTTTTGTTTTATTCTGGCCAGTCAGATGCAATTACATCATGCTCACTCTTATTTTCTTGTGCTTGATGTTGAGGCATTGGAGACTCACATTTTCTTGCACTTGCTCTGAGACTTTGATTTTGAGTTCTCACTGGCTTCTTATGATAACTTTTTTCCTCAAATAAGAACACACAGTCAAATAAGCACCCCCCTGACTTAGGCCATAATGTCAAACGAGTGTCCCTCTCAAAAAGTGTCACCCCCTCCCCCCTCCTCTTTCACTATTTTATATACTAGTAGGGATACAAGGAAACATGTTCCTAATGCCACCCTATTAAAACTTTTTAAACTTATACTACAGCTGAACCAGTACAGGAGAAAAGTCTCTTTTTTGTTCAAGTTCTTTCTATCCCCATATGGTTGTATTCCCTTCATATATGTTATCAGTACTTTAACTTTTGTCCTATTTGTGTACCAACTTTACAAATGCTCTCTCAATCAAATCACCCTCTTTGCAATAAGCACCCCTCATTTTAGCCAAAACTTTAAATAAGTGCCCACCTCCTATTCAAGGAAATACACTAGCTGTAGAAGTAAATTGTTTGCAGTTGTTTTAAATACTTTTTCTCTTCTGAATTGTTGATCAAGTCTTCTATTGAGAGGAACTTTGTTTTTATTTCATTTTGTTCTGAAGGTGTATCCAGACTAATGGACTTACTGTCAGACAGTAGAGAAATCATCAGAAATGAGGTACAGCTGATGTTTATTCCCTTATAAGGAATAAGGTTTTTAAAGTTTTTATGAAGTTGATTGCAGCTTCAAGTAGGTAAGGCTGTTTCTAAGGTGTTGAATAAGACAATACATGTATGTAGTATAATTTGTACATGTGCATTGTATTAATTGGTCATTATGGTGCTCACAGCTGTGCTCAAGGAAAGAGACCAACTGGGTGTTTTAAATTTGTCTAATCAAATTCAATTGCGCGATCGTGCTTCATATTCCTATTGTACACGCTCATGACATCAGCAAACATATCCCTCAAGAAAAAATTTTCCATCGGGTCAAAAATTTTATAAAACAATGGGTTCATACATCAGCTGTGCATTCATCGAGATATGAAGCACTTGGGAAGTTTAGAGAGCATTCAAGAAGCTAGAGTTGCTCTTGGCTATGCCTCGAGCAACTCTTATGCATCTTTCGTGCTCTCCAAACTTCCCATGTGCTTCATATCACGATGAATGCACGCTTTGAGTATTAATAATTGTTAATTGGAAGATAAAAACTAAATTGTTATAGTTAAGCACTCAATAACTAGTTCAAGATGCACGTGCATCAATGAATACAAAAATGTACATACATGCAACTAGGAGATTTGTCATCTAATGCATTGTATATTGCTTTTTTCAGGGTCTCTTGCTGCTAATACAGCTTACCAAGTCTAACGCTGCTATCCAGGTTGGAGCCAGATTTCATCGGTTCTGTGAATTGTTTCAATCTTTGCATATGCACAATATATGTATAAAGTACAATCTACAATCTACAAACAATAAGAATATGTTTTTTTTTTCTTTCTTTTGTCCCCCTTCAAATAGAAAATTGTTGCTTTTGAGAATGCATTTGACAGACTCCTTGAAATCATTACAGAGGAAGGTTACAGTGATGGAGGTGAGTGGAGATGTAACTATGGCAGAACATTTTTGTGCCACTGCAGTCGTTTATGGGAGGGGGTTACTTGCAAGAATTTCTAAGGAAAATCCTATCTGTGATAGAAGTTTCATGTACATAATTGGGTCAATCACAAACAGAGTGATTTTAATGTGGAAAAAGTGTTGTTAATGGCCAGGGTGAATATTTGCAGAAACAGCTCTATTTTGCTTTGTTTTTACATTTACATGTATACATATATAAAGTAAGGTATATTTTATAACACAGAAGTGTTCAATTTGATTGCTGAAATGACACTGACTTATCAGTGTGGAAAGACCACAAGTACTTAAATTTTTCTGTACAGATTGTATGAGTGTGCAATGCTCTTTAATAATCCATTGACATTTTAAACTTACATGTGCATCTATGTGTGGTAAAACAGCTATGAAGACATAATGATTGCCCCCAGAATATTCTTCTGTGATTACTTAATCTGTACTATTGAGTACCTCTGAGCTGTTTTTTCATCATAATGTGATACAATGTACATGTAAATTTGAAATATTTCTTGTTCTCATGCATATTGCTGGACAATGACAATAGTTTTTCTCGTGCCATGATAACTTTTCTTTCAGCTTCTGATATTTTTAAAAAATTTAATTACAACAAATCACTATGGGTGTATTGTTCTAAATTATACATGATCAGTAAGCTAAGGTTTTCGTTACATACCAGTAAGAATCCTGTTTGTCCCTGAAAAGCCCCAATGGGAAGAGATCAATAAAATATTGCTAATATTGCATTGTAAGTTCTAGGGTAATTCCAAAAAAATTTCAGTTACTTGAAATACTTCCTTTTTCATTTGCTCTCTTGCAGGAATTGTAGTGGAGGACTGTTTGCTACTGATGCAAAATTTATTAAAATTGAATGTTTCAAACCAAAACTTCTTCAGAGAAGGGAGGTATGAGATTAAGTTTTTTTTTGTTTGTTTGTTTGTTTTGAAATTGTCTGTTTTGTCCCTTTATTGTTACTCACTGTGATGTTGTTGTTGTTCTGGTGGTGGTTGATGTTGATAGGTCTAATTTTTCTTTATGTTTTAGTCTTTTGACATTTTACACCCAAATATCAGTATTGATATTCTCCATATTCGTCTTTATACTTTTCCTTTGGTACTGACAGGGAGAATCCATTTATTTAACAACCACAGTTTCTTAGGTTGGGAGTCACTTCTTTCATTCTCATGATCTTAATGTATGATTCAGCAGTTTTACTACCAGGAGAAATTAGATGCTGGTCATGCTTAGGGTTTAAAAGGGTTAATTTGTTGCTGCAGTTTATTCTTTTTTTAGTGGATGTGTCTGTGCTTGTTTGAAGTGATGTGTTTTTTGTTACCCTTTGTGTGATTCTTTTTGTCTGTTTCCAAATCTTTCTTAGCAACAACTATATAGGAATATGCCATTGATTGAATTTGTTTTAACTTTTCAATGTTTTTCGATTGTTGTTGTTACCAACAGTTATGTTCAAAGACTTACTGCATTCTTTGAGTTGGATCAAGTTTCTTCACCAGCCACTCCTGGTCAGTCTTCTTCTTCTGTATTGGTCAATTTTTTTTTCTTTTGCACACAAAATCCCTGGCATTTTTCAATGACAGTTCTACTTGTAAGAGCCATCCAAATCTTTCACAAATAAAAAATGGCCCTTAAACCCCTAGAAGTTATTAACATGTAGCTTCTCCCTGCAATATCCATATATTATCCATCAAACAGGTAATGAGAATACTCAAAATCATCAGGTAACACTAAATACTTGTAGCTTATTTTAAAGGAAATCTGTAGCAGCTAGAGGGAGAATTTACAATCACATCTTGGGAGTTTAAAGGTTAATAGAATTTAGTAACATGTAAAAGACAGCAGTGGTTTAAGAATTGCTCAAGTCAAGCTTATTTATTTTATGAATAAAGGGGGTAAGTTTCTAAAGAAACTGTGGTGCTGCGTTGGTGGGAGAGTATAGCACATAATTTAGCGTTAACAACTGAGTTGAAAACATAAATTGGCCACTGTAAAGAGTAAAAAAGCTGACATTTCGAAAGTTAGCCCTTCATCAGAGTGATAGACAAAGGGCTAACGCTTGAGACATCAGCTTTTTTACTCTTTGTGATGGCCAATTTTACATTTTCAACTCAGTTGTTAACACTAAATTACCTTATTTATTTTATGTTTGGAGAAAAAGTTCCATGCATTGCTCTTTAATTTATGCAGCAGTTTCAGTGAATTGTTATGTAATTTCAAACTGGCTGTATTTATGATGCCTTATCTTCTTGCAGAAAATCAAGACAGTACATGGTCAACACAGAAAGTGTCAAATATCAAGCTTATGTTGCAGGTGAAACAAGGAAAGACTACATTATGTATAGAAAGTTGTTAGCAGAGCAGGAGGTGGTGTTTAAGTTACTCAGTTCAGGTGTATTTCTCAGTCAGCATCAAACAGAGTTTTGACTGTTGTTTAGCTTATCAGCTTTGTGGTCTAAGTTGACCAAATGAATTAGAACATGCTACTAAAATGGATATATCATGTTAGACATTTTTGCTGAGTATTTTGACATGTTTTGCTGTATGTTGACAAGCCCCCCTAGGGAGAGTTGAAATACAAACAACTAGTAATCAACTTAATTCTAATAATTTAATTATTGATATCAGGGCTTGTATTTTTTTTCCTCTTTCAGCTTGTCAGAGTGTTAGTTTCTCCAGACAATCCTCAACAGGCCACAGCCACCTGCCAAAAAATAATGAACCAATGTGGTGAGTGCCGTAGTACTGCCTGCTTGAAATGACCATCAATTGGTAAAATGTTTTGCACAATGCAAATTTACTGTATAGTTACTGTAAGAGTGATGAACAAATACTCAGTTATAACCTCAGTTGTACTGTCAGTACCTATTTCATATTGGTCTGGATAATTGAGTCTTGTAACATGGATGAGAAACAGCTATGATGACAAAAGGATTGCCCCCAGAATATTCTTCTGTGATTACTTTAAATCCATACTGTCAGTCTCATTGTCTGAGCTGTTTTGTTGAGAGTTTTCTAATTATTCGAATGCTCCTGATAAAACCAGGTCAATTCAAAGACTGGTTATCAACCCTGACTAACTTGAATTTTATTTCACAATTATCTACTTAGAATGGTAAAGTATGTCTTTACCTATTGACTTTCATATTGCTACTCTCCTCCACTCCTCTATTAAAAATAGTCAGTAAAGAAGCCTGGTGGATTGTTCAGGGTTATCTTGTAATCAATAAAAGTTCTTTTCAAAGCAATGGGGAAGGGAATGAAAGTGATAGTGCATAGCAACTTGTGAAATCAGGATATGTTCTCCCAGCAGCTGTGGGAGAAAATTTAAGCAGACTTAATGTTACTAACCCTTACATAAGCTCATGGGTGCCAATTATTAATTTCTTTTGTCTGCATTAGGATTGTTGAGGTTACTTTGTGGTATACTAATGTCAACTGGAATTCCTGCCGACATCCTCACTGAGGTAAAGTACTTAGTGATGTACACTGTATTATAAACATTTACAGTTGCATTCATAAGCCTATGTTATATACCTCCAAGAAGCTAGAAATCTGTTGCACACTGTGTGGTAGGCAACAAATTTTAGTCATGAGTAATGATCTATGTAGCCTTTAATTTGCCACTGAAAGCTAAACAAGTGATCTGCAATAATTGTGGGGCTAGTGGAATATGTCTTTGGGTACTTTCTTTGTCTGGCTTAGATTTTATATCATATTTGCATTTGTGGTCAGATAAGACTGTCTTATGAAATGTTAAGTTGAGGCCGTTTATTAATGCGATTTTTTTGTAATGTTCCTTCATTGAATCAATCAGACTATCAACACTGTATCAGAAGTAATCAGAGGATTCCCAGCAAATCAAGAATACTTCTCTCAAGTGAATGCTCCTTCAAACCCTCCTAGGTAAGACACTGTCATTTTGGAAATGTACCATGTTTTTTCTCTATCTCTTTTTTTTTTGGCACAATTCCACAACTTTCTCATTAATATTACTATGTACGCATTGCATGCTTACGTTTTTTTTTTCTAGTCCTGCCATTGTTGTCCTTCTCATGTCCATGATAAATGACAAGCAGCCGTTCAACCTTCGCTGTGCTGTCTTGTACTGCTTTCAGGTAAGTTCCAATCTAAGTCTTGTGTTAAACATGCTTTACAAGATGTCCGTAGGAGTAACTACTACAATGAAATTTTTAAAAAAAAGTTAGTTGAAGGCCGTATGAATGAGCGCAAAAATACTTATAGGTACTGGCACAGAACAGACGTTGTATTAAGGAAAGCAATTGTTTTGTTACGTGGGCAAATATAATTTTATGGAATGTTCAAATTTCAAATCCCATTTTCCTTAAATCACTTGACAAGGCCACCTCCACTTGCTGGCTCAACTTGTTCCATTGTTTATATATTTTATTTTATTTTATTCATTTACTTTGATGACGTTGTTTTTTTTGTTTCTGAACAGTGCTATCTTTACAAGAATGAACAGGGACAGAATGACATTGTGACAACATTGCTGCCATCTTCAGCTGCAGCTGGTAAATATTAAGAAATATTTACCAGACTCATTCTTACTTTCCTCGTTGATCGCTTTTATGGTTTATTTGAAGTGGACTTAAGAATGGGGTGCATTTCGATTGAGTGTTGCAATGTACTTGCAAATTTGACTACAAAGCAGAAACGAGAAGTGTTATCAATTATTCTCAAGAAAGTACAGGAGACTTTGCTTTTGTGGCTGCTGGTTTTTCTCTTTGTCTCGGAAGGTTGCCCCTCTGAAGATGTTAGGGTTTATTGCTAATGTGTTTGTCCGTTTATGGTTAATGGGCATCTTTTTAATTTCTTTCTTTATTTTGCCTTTAACTACACCTTATTTTGACTTTTGCTTCATTTCTAGCCAGTAACATTTCTGCAGGACAGCTGCTTTGTGCTGGTTTGTTCAGGTAGGTATTGCAAAAAGCTGAACGGAATGTGTGCTTCTACAACGCATACCACCGATAGTCCATGTCAACTTCAGTTATACCAGTTGGTTCCTGAAGCCCTTGAGCTTCAAAGTTGTATCATAAACTTGGAACGCTAGTCTGCACGTTGCCCGAATATCAGGCATATAGAAGTTACGCCCGTTAGCCTTTATTGTTATCCACAATCACGCTTCCAATCCAGCCTTAGCGTTGGATTGCATTGAACTGCGTGAATTTCGTGACTGCCCATTTTTTTTCCTATAATGAAGCGCTTTCTAGACGCAGCCAAATAATTTTAACCAAAGAATCTCGGACTGACTAATATCGTTTCATACTTTCACTATTTCTGTTCAGTCCAGACCCTCTGTCCAACTGGTGCGCGGCAGTAGCTCTTTCTCACTGTCTAAAGGGTAACCCCACCCAAAAAGAACAGCTTCTCAGAGTACAGCTGGCAACCAGTGTGGGTGAGTAACTTGGTTTTTGGTATGACTCAGATGATTCGTATGTTGAATGAGGAATTGATCCTTTCTCTTAAAGTGCAAGTGCAGAAAGTATAGATCGAGAGAAAAGCAGGCTTCGATGGGGTGTTAATCAGTGCTTTCCAGATATGGGTAATGCTCACTAAGCCACGTTTTCATAGCGAGACAGATGTTTAGTTCGTTTGTTTGTCTGTTTGGTTGTTCCCTGCAAGTGACTTTGATCACAGATGAAATGTGAAATGTATTTTACTTGACTTAAGGATAACAAGTGGCGAATGGATCCTGACAAATGACTTTGAAAATCATTTGTAAAAATGTCTTGGTAGTGTGTAAGCTCTAACAGATTCTTTGTCATTTTTAGGAAATCCTCCAGTTTCCTTGCTTCAGCAATGTACCAACATGCTCTCACAGGTAACCATGACTAATGTTCCTATAGCTGGATTTAAGGTATCATTAAGAAGACCGTGGTGGTAAGATAAGGCATTGCTACCCAGAGGTTTTATATAGTTGTTAAAATTTTTTGTTTACGATTACTTGAATTTTTTCGTAGGGTGGAGAGATACAAACACGTGTTGGTTTGTTGTTGTTGCTGTGTTCGTGGTTATCCAATTGTTCCTTGGCCGTGTCTCATTTTCTTCATAATTCTGCCAACATTCCATACGTATCCTTTGGCTACTGAGCTGTGTCAATGAGAAAGTAGAAACTGGAATTGTTCAAAGTAGCTTCATATGTAATCCTCAACAGGAAACGTGTACTAAGGTGACAGGGCACGCGTGTCATGACACGGTGCGTTAAGCGTGTCACAAATTTGCAGATATGTGCATGTTGAATACGCAAAAAAAGACAGAAGCGGTGACTCGCGATAGTCGCTCCCCGCCTTTTGTATTATTTGTAACAGGCTGGAACTGAAAAGGTAAAGGAAGAAAGAAGGTTCAACTTCTGAGAACGCGAGGTATAGTCGGAAGTGCAGTCGTCGGCTTGCCTTTCTTTATTCGCGTCTACATTACGAATGAACAGAGTCCTCTTGACAATGGCGACCACAATTTATCTTGGGAAAAAATTAAACTTCTCAGTAAGCCTGTAAATTTCCTATCATTGTTATCTTCTCAAAGCTATTCCTAGTCTCCTTAACTGCTGTAAGCTGATGGCTCAAGTCGAGGCTCATGGCGAGGAAGCTGACAGACTGGTTGGAGCTCTCTGTGCTCTTCTTTTAGGCATTTGTTTGGATAACAACGACAATTCAGAAGCTACATGTCAGAAGTAAGTCAGCTCGCGCTCTTAACTCTTTCACCCCAACATCAGTATGCATCTTCTCCATACTGTTCTCTATACATTTCCTAAGGTGCGGACAAGGAGAATTTGTTTAACAATCAAGATCAAGAGTTTTTTTAGTTGATGATCATTTTCTTTATTATTGGTACCTTTATGTGTGTTTTAGGGGTGATACTGTAAGGAGGGGCTCGGTGCTAGTCACTCTGAGGGGGTGAAAGGTTTTTTCTTGCTGCAGTGAAGTGTCTCTCACGAGTTATCGAAAGAGATCGGGAAAAAGGGCCGCACAACGAGACAGTTGTATAATATATTAGACACACAGTAATTGTAGACTATACCTTTTCTACAGGGACGATCTTCGAAACTTAATAATCAAGAGAATAGGGAGTGACAACCTTTTGGACAAAATTAGTTTTATATCCAAGTCTGAGTTTTTCACGGCTGCTGTCAAATCTCCTGAGGTAAGATGACTCTGCTATGTTCAGTGATTTTTTTTTTGTTTGCTTTCTTTTATTTTCTGTTCCGCTATTTATTTTTGTTTTGTTCTTGTTATTGTTGTGCACCTGTGCTTCATCACGCGAGCATGTTTCAGGTGGCAACGGGAAAGCAGTGAGAGAAAAAATGACATGATTTCCTTACAAACATGCACGAGCTTACTTTTCAAACAAGAGGGGCACCTAACTCGCCAGTAAATAACGTCACTATCACTCTCAATCCAGCTCTCACGATGCGACCCAATCGGCAGATTAAACGGAAAAAAAATTAAATAAAATGCATAAATAAATTAGATGTAATAGTTTGCCCGGGGAATCTTAGCCAAACGTAACTTTGGGATAGATAAGAGTCAGAGAACTAGAAAAACAACCACGAAAGTAAAATTAGGAAAGCTTCGTATCGGTAAGCCAATATTAGACAACAGGTACAAAAACTGTCCATTGAATCCTTTACAGGTTTCATTATCTTGTTATCTTGGGAAATGTTGATTACTCTCTTGATTGAGGTAACGACCGAATGATTTTGTCTACCACAGATCAAAGTCGAGTCAGAGAAGCACGTGTTATTTGACCATGAATTTACTAAGCTGTTCAAGAAGTTGGAAGGTTAGTTTATTCAGGTTATGAATTAATTCACTCCCCCACCCCTATCCTTATTTTTTACTGTCGCTCACCCCCTTGGTACAAATAACTTAGCCTTCCGCTGTCATTAAAATCAAAGAAGGCGGCTATAATTTTCGCCAAGAAAATATTGAGCACTCACCCGCCAAAATCACCCCATCCCCCATCCTCCACCCCACCCCCCCTCCTTTTATTCCGGACTATGATAATTGTATAATATACAACACCTACATGTAGAAATGTTTTTTATTTACTTTGAAATTTGGCCAGAAATTAGACAGATTTTTCTACCATATGTTTCCGCAAGTTTTATGGACGTAACCGTGCACAAAGTCCTATAGCATTTCAGTCACTGTCATACGAGAGATGAGTGTATTGTGCACGTCTAGGGTGCTCCCAATATACACTGCAGCACCTTTGTTTCGCCGGCTTTGGTAACCAATTTTTCTCAATTAACTCTGACTGGTATGAACTTAAAACTTTTATGATGTATTTTCAGCAAAGCCTCAAAGTTAAGTTTTTGGCAAAAATTAGTAAAAGCAGACTCCTTGAAACTAACTTGAACATTCTCATCTGAAGTTAACTGCACTGGCTTTTTCACAAGAACTTGTGGCTAATTTGTCTTCCCTTCACTAATATTGATCATTTCTTATCTTACTTTTTTTTTTGCTACGATGATGTTGATTTAAGCCTTTGCTCCTTTTTCCCTTGAAGCTGCTGTGACTAAAGCTATCGAAGAGGAACCTTCACACCAGCAACTAGCGAACCACGTGAACGGGAAACCGTCACAGGGAATGGAGAACCATGACTCGATCATATCATCGTACAAAGAACTTATTAGAGAACAGGTGAGTGTCACGTGACCCTCAATCAGTCCGGATAGTTCAACGTTCTCTGTGTGTTGGAGGGTCGGAGAGTTGGTGACTTAGTAATAGTCCATTTTCAAGTTACGTGCTTGGTTGCAAAGCCTTTGAACAGGAGTTAGGCTAAGGGTGACCTTGTTAAGATACAAGCGTTGCTGTTTTTCAAATGTAAATTACCTTGTCATCATGCTAACTAGATACTGATCTCTCTCACGACAAGGTCACCTTCAGCCTCACTCCAAATCAAAGGCTTGGCACCTAAGTTCACAACTGTAAAATGGCCTCTTAGCGCCTCGGTCGCCAAATAAAGATAGCCAGATTCCAGCTCCAGCTAGGGTCACTGTGATGTGCTCTTGAACACTGAACTCACTGAAATATTTTTTCTATATTACCTTTTTATAGTTGTAGTAGTTGTCCAGTGCGCGCCCTTCTTATGTATGCAAGTATATCCTAGTCCTATGTAGGTTGAAAAGCTTTTTTTTTTTATCTGCAGGATGAAGAAATCGGAAAACTGAAATCAAGATACGGTGACATGGAGTCGTCTTACAACCAGGTGAAATGCCACGACTTCTTCAGTCCTTGGGTCGTTTTTTTTTTTTTTTTCGGGCAACCCGCAAGGCTTGCAGGGATATGTTGCATCTTGAGTGACTCTTTAACTCACGGTCAAGCTATCAAGAGTTTGTAAGAGAAGCAAATTCTTTTGTTAGTACAAATGCCAGCCCATTGTTTGTACATTAGAGTAGGCTTAAGGGGGGAGAAATTACTTGATAAAGGTGCAAGTTGTCAACGCTGTCTTCTCTCTGACAGGCACAAGCACAGATTCAACAACAGTCTCAGGAGATCCAGGAGCTTCGTGAACAACTCCTTGTGGCTCAGAGTAAGAAGAAATCTCTTTTCACTTTTGCACTCTCTCGTTTCTTTTTTTTTTTTCCATTCGTGGAGATAATGTCCATATTTTCTGGTTTATATTGCGCAGCTTTTCAGCCCCAGTCTTCGGGCGTGACTGAATCATTCTTCACTGAAAATGTGGAATTAACAAATCTTAGAAATCAAGTCAGTGATCTTCAACTAAGTAGAGACTCGCTACAGGAGGATGTCAAAACGAAAGATGAAAAAATAGGAAAGTTGGTAAGTGCAACCTTAAGATCAAGCTGTCAATTCTGCTTGCTAGCTCTTTTCTGATAGTTTCTTTTAATGGTAAATACTTGTATCCTTGTGTGAAATACAACTTCTGTGTTCCTTTATCCGACGAAGACATTTCCTCTTGGTTTTTCCTCTTCCTTTCATGCCGAACTTTGTTCGAAGCCTTTGCTTTCCCAATACTTACAACTGTCAAATCAGTTTTAAACTGTGCGTTATGATGGAATAAACAATCCGTCCGCGATGTTGAAACTTTTGATATAGAGGTTCTGTGTTAATGTGCGTCTGTTCCGTAATTTATCACAGATGACGTCAAACTGTGTTAACTCTTAAACTCCCATGAGTGACCAAAAAAGAATTTCTCCTCACAATATCAATACAATATCAACCAGATAAGTGATGAGAACAAAGACAAATATCAATTTGGGGATAATTAATTGATCCAATACTAAATTCTTTGAACTACCATTATAAGAATTGTATGGTTGACGGTAAGGAGAATTACAAATTTGATCTGGGAGTTAAAGGGTTAAGAACGTAAGACTGGCACATTAGGCGCAGCTGAGTATGTCACTGATGTTCTTACCACATGTTAACCACGTGTGTGATCTAGTACTACACAGACCCACCGCAACATAGAATATAAATTTTTTTTTATAACAAAGAAGTGAAATTTGTGGATTGTGACGTCATGTATGAGTCTTTCCTCTAATAGATCATGTGAAAGAACCAATCAAATACGTGTAGAATTAAGCTTATTAGATATTTCCGAGAGTTTACAGGCAACCACTAATCACAGAGTACGTAGTAATCAATTTATTGTATAATGAAATGTTGGTCTTTGCTGAGAATTTCGTTAGTTGCTGATATCACTTTATCTTATTTTAGGAGAAAGACCTAGAAGTCTGCCAGGCCTCGTTGGCCGTGGCTCATGCAGCCGCTGAGCTAGCTGCGGGCTCAGAAGCTGCAGAATTCCCATCAGTACCTCTGAGCCTTACAAGTCAGCAACTAGAAGAATTAGAGCAGCTGAAGCGAAAAGTGATATCACAGCAAGAGGAGTTAGACGTGCTTAGAAATTTGAACACAGAACTTGAAAACGAAATGGAAGTGATGGTAAGTAAAAAGACGGGAAAAACTGCACTGACTTACGAGTAATTTTTTAATCGAGAGTCGAATTCATGAACAACACAACTGACACCATTAAAGTGTTTTCTGTGACCAACAGAAAAATTTGATGTGGTCAAAGGAAAACCCATTGAGATGCAATCTCTATTGAAAGTTGCATTGTTTTTCGTCATTTGAATTACATTTAGAGAGAAGAGGGGATCGATACGCCAACGAATAGCACAGATGAAGTGAAAGCTGAGCTGGAGAGGGCCAGAACGGAAAGCCATGACAAAATAAGACTGTTAGAGGAAAAATTAGCCACCACGGAGAATGAAATGAGCAGAATGAAAGAGGAAAAGGCAGATCTGGAAAAGGAACACGAAGATCTTTTGGTTATGCTAACTGAACAAGATAACAAAATTATGAAATATAAGGTAATTTTATATGTGATGTAGATTCATGCCCAGAACTAGAGAATCTTCAAATCTGAGAGTGGTTCGAAGTTACATATCGAAGAAGGGAAAGGCTCTTTCTCCCTTTTTGCCTGAATGGCTTTGACATTATTGAATGAATGTAACTGCATTTGACACCTTCGTTCTTAGATTTGAATGTCAGTTTTCCATACTCTCAGGCATTTATTTTAAACAACTGAGGTTTGAGAATTTGGTGATGAATCAAACGGTATTCTATTCTTGATATTTCGTCATTGCCTGTCTTTTAGTAGCGCAGTGGTATTGTAATGAAAAGTTGATCTTTGTCACTCTTGGGAGGAACAGGGTTAAAAGTATGGAAATCTGTAAAAAGGGCCTCGTAAAGTCAACTCTTACCGATGCTGTAAGGCCTCGTATTAACCCTTTCCACACTGACATCAGTATGCATGTTCTCCACACTGTTCTCTTTACATTTCCTAAGTTGCTGCAAGTAGAATTTGTTTGGCAATCAAGAGTTACTTTAATCGGTGTTCATTTCCTTTGTATTAGTGACCTTAATATGTGATTCAGGGGTGATATGGTAAGGAGAACTTAGATGCTGTCACTATAAGGTGTTAAAGGGTGAAAAACCTTTGTCGTTTCCCATTTGCGCAGAAACTAGCGAAACAGGCTGGACAAGAGGTCAGCGAAGACGACGATGACGGTGATGACGATGACGACGAGGAAGAGGAGGACGACGATAACGCGGAGAATGATGACGATTTTGAGAAGAATGATGAAGATGATGAGAAGAATGATGACGATGAAAATGAAGACGGGTCTGATAACCACGACGAGAATGAAACAAAACAGGACACAAAACAGCCAAACACGGACGACACAGAATTGGACGATGAAGAACTTACGTGAAATACAAAAGAATCTAACTGCATCAGCTTTATTGATGTTAAACGAAAAACTAGGCATTCTAAACAGAAGTAGAATGATGCCCATTTTTAACGATAGTGTATATTAATTTTATTAAGAATTTTAAATTCATTGCATCAGTTCCGGCAACAACGAATGAGTTACTTCGTCTTTGGTTCCTCAGATTACACGTTCTTAAAAATGATCGAACTAAATAACAGAAAATTGAGAAACATTTCTAAACGTCATTTGCCTATATTGAAAAATATTCAGCCAAGAGGAAATGTAGGATTTTGTCTTCGCGTGTTCGTTTTACAAGGGAAACGAGACACTTTGGAAAAAAATCAAAGTTCTTTCCTCCAAAGAAAAAATAATAATAATTTATATACTGGTACTTGGATTTACTGTGTTGTTTGGTAGAAGCTAGCGTTACAACGTTCAATTTTGTTTGTTACCCAGTTTTATAAAAACACGGAATTTGAACAAGATTGTTCGTCGAGCGTAAAAATTAAAGAAATACTTTCTGAAGGAGTTAAGTCATCAGAAAATTGCCCCTTTCAGGTGGGAAACGTAGAATACATTTTCCTAAAACACATTACAGTAACCAATTAGAACAAATGTGGGAGGAAAGAAAGAGGATGGCTATGTTTTGGGTATCTTAAGCTTGAGGAACTAGGACTTTGACGTTTTTCTTGAAGAAGTTTAGTATGGGATTATTCAGGTAAATCTTAAAAAAAGATTTTGTCAGTTGGCACTCAAAAAACGATTGTTGTTTCCAAATTTAATAAGTTCTAATATGAATTGTAATTAAAGGTTATTTGTGCACTTGTTGTGTGAACTTATGCGTAATCATACTGGTCAAATGAATAAAGGGGTAAGTTTCTAAAGAAACTGTGGTGCTGCGTCGGTGGGAGAGTATAGCAGGTAATTTAGTGTTAACAAGTGGGTTGAAAACGTAAATTAGCCACCGTAAAGGGTAAAAAAGCTGACGTTTCGAGCGTTAGCCCTCTGACGAAGGGCTAACGCTCGAAACGTCAGCTTTTTTACCCTTTACGGTGGCTAATTTACGTTTTCAACCCAGTTGTTAACACTAAATTACCTGCCATACTGGTCAAAATTGACTCTCTTAGATTAGGGAAGGGTTTCGCGAAACATTTGAGTTTCCTCTCGCAAGTGCAATTTCGCATCCAGTGGGTCATATTCGATTTGCACCCTCTATCTTGTTTAAGGTGGGGCACGGATAAACTCGAAGGAAAATGGAGAACCGGCGTGTGAAATTCAGTCAATGTTTTCCCTCGTGAGTAGGTTATCAATTTTGAGTGTTTAAGCTAACTCTGATCGGTTCAAGGATTATTAAAGCAATTTTCAAAAGAGTTCCGAAAAAAATCCAGGATTACACTGTTTTGCTTGGCTGCGCTCATTGGCTCTTAAGGTATTTTCCTTTCTTCAGATTGGCCATCCTGATGACTTAAGTTTTGATTGTACGAAACTTCATCGAAAATCCCTTTAACACTGTCTAAGGCTTAATGATAAATCCGCGGCGAAGTGTAAATTAGAGAAACGTGACTACAATATTGAAATATAATAGAGAGAGGGGGGTGGGGGGTGGGGGTAGAGTGGGCGTGAACAATCCTGACGATTGCAATTTAAATTTCAACACCCAAAACCGATCTATATTTCAAGGCTTCCGTCCGTATCACTCATTCTGACTTCTTCGGTCGTCGTCGTCGTCGATCGGGGCACGTCGTAATTTTCATGGAACTCGAGCACTCGTGGAAATTTGCGATCGCCTTTGGTATGACTTCTGGGAACGTCGTAGGTTTCCAAAACAATTTCTGAAAATAGCAATAGTGGATATGAACTAAGGCGTTTGCCTATTTCCGTCATGTCGTTAAGAAAACACGGAGCCTTAACGAAATGGACAACTGGACGAGTCTTTAAAATCAAGCGAGAACCCCGCAAAAAAAAAATCAATGAATAGGTACATGAAAAAAACACTGGGACGTATTTATTGGAGCACTTTCAATAGAGGAGTATATTGAGGTGCTCCTCTCGAAAGTGGCACTTTTCAGGCTAAAAGATTACGAACAGGTTTGAGGACTTCAAACGTCATAGCGTGGAAAATGGTAAGGAAAAGTGCCATTGACGCTCTAGGAGTGAGGTGAGAGGTGGGGGGGGGAGGGGGGGGGGGCAGAGCCCAGAGGGTTTATAGAGTACTTTGAGTGGGTTTGGAGCCGAAGCTATGAATACCCTGACCCTGCTCTTTTTGTTCATTTCACTAATTTTCCATCTAAAACACTCCTTTTGTTTCAAAATGTGATCACATGACATTTTTCAAGGATGTGTTACTTCTCTGTTATAAATAGAGGGGAAAGAAAAGTTAAACGATTGTTACCAGACAGTGAGACGCTCATGTTTTCAGACAGGAGCTGGTTGTTTGACTCGGCACAACTTCCATAGTTGCTGTTAAATGGATCACTCAAGCGTGTCTGTATCTCAGAAAATTCTAAACGCTTTTTGGGATCCTCATGCCAACAATCTTTCATGATAGCGTAGACGAAGTCTGGACAGTCACGAGGCTGGCCCAGATGAATGCCCTGCAATAAAGGAAACCGCTTGCTGTTAGGAATGACTCAATCGTCCCCAAAGAGTACCCCAAGAAAGAACCGCGTGTTGGTGCCCAGATCTCCAACTTAGCGCAGAGGTCAACAGGCGTTTATGTCAAGAAACCAGAATAATTGAATTTACCTTCCCCTTTTCTCGAGGTCAATGTTCGTATTTGAATTTGTGAATTTTAATTACTGTTTACCCGACACAGGGGTATTCAGCACTCTCGCCTAACCTCTCCTTTCATTAGGAAAATTTGCGATGTATTAGAGTAACACGTATGGCTCAGTTGACAAGCACAATAACTTAGGTTTAAAACTTTGAAGCTGGCTTCTTGTTCAATCTGTAACAGAGCTGCAGCTTTACTTAACGACTAAGGACTGGACTGAAAAATCAACTTGTAAAATGAAAGAATTAAAGTTTGCCATATGGACAGAAGACCGTAAATTAGTCCCGCCTACAACATGAACACCTGGGTTACTGATCTATGTGAAAAGGCCCTCAAAAAGGCTGACCATAGAGACGAAAGCTGATCTTGTTGTAAACGATTTTCCGCTTCTCCTGACAACAAGCGGTAAAGTCTAATCATGTAAAGACTACGAAACTCTTTCGTCAGGAGAGAGCTACTGTTTAACCCTTTGGCCCCAGGCCCCTGAGAGTGATAAACATCTCATTTCTCCCAACGTCACCCCCCTGAATTCAACTACAGAAGCTCTTGATTTTTAGACAAATTCTCCTTATAAGCACCATAACAATTGCATAGAGAACAGTATGGAGAACTTGCCACCTGTGGTGTTAGAGTAGAAAGGGTTAAATATGTAAAAAATTGAGTCCTATATCGTAGTTTTAGTACCCAGACCTACCCCTACCAAACGAGTTGATCTCGCGGTGAGTTTTGTGATTACCTTTTGTATAAAGTGTATCACTTCCTTGTTGCTATAGCCGTAATACGGTTGAAGAGCAAATGTGAAAATCTCCCAAAGTAGCACGCCATATGCGTACACGTCTGACTTGAAGCTAAATTTGCCGTAATTTAATGCTTCAGGAGCAAGCCAGCGGATGGGCAAAGCAGTTTCCTTGCTCAACTGAAAATCAAAGAACTGAAATGAAAGGTCCCTTCCGTAAAATTTAAAAAAGAAAAAAAAAATCAAGCATGTCTCTTGTAGATGGAAAGAAGGCGGTAAAGTGGCCTAGAACATGGTGACTTGATCATTATCTTGTTTTCTGTATCATAAGTGTTTTAATTAATCTTGAACAACACAGGTACCTGCTTTATTTTCATTCATTGCAGTTTGGTATTGTAAGAGTACCTTGTAATAATCTGAGGTGTGAATGTCGCGCGACATCCCAAAGTCCCCAATCTTCACCACAAGGTCATTCCCGACCAGACAGTTTCTCGCTGCCAGGTCTCTGTGAATAAACTTCATCTTGACCAAATACTGCATGCCAGCAGCGATCTGGGTCGAGATTTGGAGAAGGTCTTCGTGGGCAAGGTAGACTGGTGAGAAAAATAAAGTGAAATTGCAGTATTAATGGAGGATTTTCTCATACCGTTAGACAGATGGATGGATTGGAGGATAAATGGATGGAAAAACGGATGAACGGATAGTACCTTTATTTGGTTCCTGTGATTCCAGGGGGGTTTCAGCAGCCGGAAAGGCATTCCTCAGATAATGGTTCAAATCCCCACTACTCATGAACTCAAAGACCATGCCATAAGGTTCCTCCTCGGTTGATACAGCCAGGAGTCGAACAATGTTTGGATGCGTGAGAATGGACATTAGAGTCACTTCTCGGAAAAACTCGTCTTTCTGTTCCTTAGATGGATCATCTTTCAACGCTTTAACAGCAACTAGAATCTCCTTCTTGGGCTTTTCTGTAAGACCAGCTGCACGACCTAGAAAACACTGATATAATGAAGTATCTCGTATGTTCTCATCTGTAAATAGCGAAAAAGGTTTTCGATATCAGCTGGACTTGGTCGCTTACGACAATTTGGCTCACGTGAACAGCCACTAGCTGTGCATAGTCACTGACGGGAGTTGTTTAGCCAACTTTAACAATATACCACACTTTCTATCGGTTTGCCGGCGTAAAAATCTACGCGGGTAGTTGCTGCGCCGGAACTCGAGAGAGTTTGTCAATCACTAACAGGAGGCAGATGGACCTTGGAGAATAGAGTAATTTGAACTCAAGTGTTACTCGAAACATTTTGTGAAGAACGATTAGCAGCTGCCTGGTATATCCACGTTAAAAACAATCTCAAAAGGGTGTAGATGCAGCGTGCACAGAAAGGTGAGCTTACCTTGAAAAACTTTGCCAAAAGAGCCTACTCCCAGGTCTTTTACATAATGTACGTGGTCCAATCTGTACTGCCTTAATCTATTTGGATCAAAATGCCGCGACAACAATGTATCAAAACTTTTTAAGGACTCTGCTCGTAATTTATCTCTCATTGAAAAAGCCGGCGGCTCGACCAATGTCTCCATGTCATCTCGGTGTCTTCGCCAAAGCAAAAATATAATAATGCACACCACAATGGTGAGCAAACTGACTGTGACAGTGGGTAGAAAGATGCGAAGATTGTCGTCGTCACTGCCTTGGTTCGTCTCTTTCGTTTCTACACTAGGCTTGAGTTTTCGTTTTTCTTCGAATTCTGCGAATTTTAATAATAAATCTATTTTAAACAGATTTACCATACGTAACCTGCGCATGCGCGCTAGAATATTCCATAGAAGTAATTTCGTTCGCGGCAGTCCTGACTCTAGTCCAATTGAACGGTTGCCAAATGCTCCTGTCAAGTCTAATATAATACTTAATTGGCTGGTAAAATCACCGAAATAAATTGAATATGAGTGCCTGCGTAAATTCGTATGGACAAATACAAGCAGAGCCTAACGATTCGTGGTGCTAACCAATATGATCATGGTTCTGGTAATGAGATTTAGGATTCTCTGATATAATGAGTTTGTAATATAAACCAATGCGAATTGAAACCTGCTCGAAGCGTAGGAAAACGCGAGTGACCAAATTGGGATTGGTTTTACTTTGCATCTGATTGGTTTAAACGGTGGCGTTATTTTGGACCAATCTCAGAGCAAAGTGAAGAAAAAAAAGTAGTCCAGTATCACTTTCGTTACTCAAATTAGATTTTCTCTTAAAGACACCGCTCCTTTTCTCAAAATTAAAGCAGTTTCACTCACTGAAAAATCCAGAATTGATACAAGTCTTGTTCCCAGGCAAGTGCTCGTAATACGACCGAGGATGATGTATGGAGCAGTTAGGAATTCCTCGATGTATAAAGTCAATATGTTCATTATGCACATAGAGCTTCACTCCCCCAATCACTTGATTTATGGTTACGCTACACTCGTTAAAAATTTCTTCGCAGTCTTCCTTACAAAAGTCGAGTATCGTGCCATCTGAGTAACAAGGCGGTACGGTGTAATGGCACAGCATGTTCACCATAATGTACCTGCATTTTTCATTGTTACCAGCGAGGTCATTGATGATGCCAATAACTTTTGCAAGGAACTGCTCGGTCCCAGATAGTCCAAAACTGTTGTCAAAGAAACGCTTGGTGTCCCTGTACTCGGGTAGTGTTGTAAAGGAGTCGTTACAAACTGTTCCTTCGTATTCAAAACAGGCGCCTCCCCTAACAGAAATACAAAGCCAATATTAAAACTACTTGATGGTAAACAAAAATTTTTGTGCACATAGCTGCTTTGTGCACACAGCAAGGCGGGAAATTTGCTCCCGTAATTGTAGTAGTGATGATTATGTTGAACTGTTCCACGGGGCTTAATTAGCAAAAATTAAGCGAATTAGTGAACAGCACGATGGTAGCGCGGGAGCGAAAATGGTAAAGGTTCGGGTCGGGTCGCGTACGGAACACGTTCATTACGCGACCCGACTCAACACTCCCTCGTTTTTTTCACTCCTCCGCTTCTATCGCGCCGTTTACTTCGGGACAGGTTATGATTATGTGAGCTAATAGATATTATGTGTATCATGAATACGTATATTAAGAGAATGTAACATTCCTAATGACGACCTTAACACTCAGAAGTTACACAAAGTGCGCTTGCGTTGCTTGTGTGCAACCACCCCACCAACCATTAAAGTTTGATTTCATTACAGCTGCTATAATACCATCATAAACCATTTTTTTAATAATCCAGCAACGTCATAATATTTGCAATTTGCTCGACGTGTTTTTCCTGGCCCGATATATGTTTGATTTATCTAAGCTGAGCTGAGTTCATTTCCTCCTAGTTTTTAATTAATTCTAAATTAACAAATCTGATAATTACATTTCAAGAAAACAATAGTGAAAAACAGGGTCAGAGAAGATAAAAAATAAGAAAAAATTTGAAAATGGTGCTGGACCCACAAAAAATCTACTGCGAAATGTCTGAGGGTCTCCTTGCAAAGTCATAATGACTCTACAGTGCGGGTTTTCATACAGAACTCGATCTTTCTCAAGAGGAGCAGTGAATTTTCATCAAATGGAAGGGAAAGCGAGTGATAATGGTGACGACGATGATTAAGCATGGAACTTACCGCTTTGTATAGCATTTGTCTGTAGCATCGGCCTGGGTATCATTCCAGCAACATCCAAGATACATGCACGTGGTAGAGTTTACATATTTTGGCACCATACATCCAACTGTCTCATTAGTAGCGATTGCAGAACAGTTCCATCTAGGCCTCTGAGGTGCTCCTTGGAACAAAAGAAATAAAGCAATCGACAAATTTAATGTTGCCTTGACCACATTCCTCGACAGTCTTTTTTTTTTTTATCCGATAATGAAGCAGAAAATAGGGGTTTATTTTATAACTTGTTTTGGTTGTTTGACCAATTTTTCTCCTTCTCCACAACGATCCCTTACTGGGTGATCCTTATTTCTTCTTTTTTCTCTCAGTCTTTTGTCATTTACCAGGGTACCTCCCTTTTTTAAGGCCATTCCTTACCCCCTTCCTCTCCCCCTTTACGAATACTTTTTCCGAAAAGCTACGATGTGTATCTTGATAGACGAATCACACTCGTAACCAGCTACTCCTGTGAAGCGTTTGACGAGAAGCCTTTGCATTATAGGAAGTCTATATTTCTATATCCTTTACGGCATAAAGAAAAATTTTCCCAGCTATTTTAAATGCTCATAGGTATCATTCCTACATAATAAATAATTCTATTTAGCTGAAGTAAACGCATTAGGTTTGCGTTAATGTATGTAAAATGAACATTTCTCAATGGCATAGAGAGCTTTAAAAAAATATGCCTCTAACAATTGTGATCGGAGACGGATTTAGATTTCAAGCGTCGAAAGTCTCAATAGGATCTCCATACAGGCGCCGCCTTGAAACTGAAGATTCAAAAATAATCAATGATTGGGAAAATTTGTAGTGGTGAAATACAAAGAAGGCTCATCGGTTTGGAGCGCATTTCGATAGAGCGTCGAAAAACTTAAACAAAAATAAAAAAACAATGGCCAATCACGTGAAAGGAAATACTTTAAAGAGCCAATGAGAATCGAACTCAAAGTAAAAACAACCAAACTGCCTTAAGCGCGGGAAAACGCGGGCGACCGTGACTCGAATTGGTCCTAGTTTTGCATGTTATTGTTTGAGAGAGTGGCGCAAGTTTTCTGGATCAATCACAGATGGAAGAAAAGTGAAACCAAAGGAATATCGATCACTATCGATACTCAATTGAAAATTGCTCCAAGAAAGACTAATTATCTCGGCCATTATCGTGTTTTTCGTAGACAACACCTAAGGCTTAGAAAATGAAAGTTGCAATGTATCCAAGTTTTGATTGAGATATTCCGATAAATGAGGTTGAAAAGCTTAAAACAACAAATAAAGTTTCAATTTAAAAATTATTTTATGCCTGTTTTTCTACAATACAGTCATTGGAAATATTCTTGACTTCAGAGTTCGTCCACATCCTAAAACAAATTTGCTTGAATACAACCGAGACATTCCTCTATGCCACATTTCACTTCGGATAAAAATAATGGTAGGAAACTCATTTATGATTAGCCAGCTCGAAACCATAGATTAACTTAATTCGATCAATACTTTCTTGACTCGTGCCCAATTATGAGGCTTAGTTTCACTGATTTAGCCCCCATACACAGATGCGAAGATACTGAATTTTTTATCGGCAAAATTTCATAACTTTCAACTGTTCAATAAGGGTTTTTCTGCTGAAATATAAAACGAAGATCGATATCTATCGGCATTTGCATTAGTTTTTCTTCCACTTGGAATGGATAGCGGAACTGATCAGAGCAAAAGTAAAAAATTTCCTTTATGGTAACTTTTTAAGATACTGGGTATATACTTATGATAGCCAACTAAGTTTCGTTCTGATCCGCTTCAAAAGAATGAAACCAAGTCAATAACTTTAAATCTTTCTCTCTCTGAAAATATAAGGCGATGTGTGTAAATGGAACACATGAGTTATTCGCGTACCTTGGCCGAAACTATAAATATTCAGTTTAAACGGAGGATTCCCATGTGACTGACAAACTGACAATCTTTAAATTGAAACGCGTATCGATTTAGCAGCTATCAAATCACTTTGATTACTTCAGGTAACCCTTGGCTATCGAAAGGTTAATTTACTTGAAGTATTTTTCTAGTAAACTAATGTGTAACGTTACAGCTTACCTTGTTTGCTGTCAACGACCCCAAGCTTATCAAAGAATCGAACACAAAGCAAGACTACACACGGAAATAAAATGTGAAACATGATCGACAATATCTACAGCTATGGCGAAAAGGTCTCAAAGTTTTAATTTATCAGTCTCACTTCTTTTCCACTTTCCAGCGAAACTGAATTTGTTATGTTAATAATGATGTTTTCAGAAATCGCATATTAATGATCACTGTAGCGGCTGTGAATTGGGCAAGGTCAGTATTTCGCTTTCCGTTGAATATGCATATAATGAACACACTGTTCATGCCACCACGCCGTTCTCAAAATCTCTTTATATACAGTCCAACCTGTATTAACGCTTTAAACCCCACGAGTGATTTGTAAATATTTTCTTCTGTTACTATCACCCCTAAAACAAATATCCAGGTCATGAGAATAAAGGGCATGATCACCAACTAAAGAAGCTCTTGATTGTTAAACAAATTCTCTTTGTCAGCACCTTAGGAAATGCACAGAGAACAATACGGAGAAAATATATACTGATTTTAAGGTGTAAAGGATTAAGTGATCGCCCACGGGGCATGGTGGGTAACCACTTAATACAGGTTCCACAGAATAGGGGCCAAACGCGATCTAAACCCGGCGACATTTCGTCTTAACGGTCCTTAGAAGAAAGATAATGCACAATACGTTGAAGATATTTGAACACAAAGGGCTAACATTGATTTTAGAAGATAAATATGAAATAAAATTGACTTAAGTTTTTTTTTTATTTTTTTCCCAATGTTTCCACTTTAACTGACTGTTCAATTCAGGGGGAAGGCAATATAAACAGGCCTTCGGGACTCAGTAAGGGGTGACGACGATAGCCTTATAGAGGTGAAACTTACAGTAATTTAGGGGAGAAAATATTGGGACTTTAATAACCGACAGGGTGACCGCCTAATACGGTGCTCACTGCAGGTTCGTCCGTATGTACATTCCGCCTACACCTGCTGGAGATCTAATGTGAGTGTGGCTACCACTCGCCCCGTTTCGGAAAAAAAAAGGTAATCAATCGCACTGTCTTCCTAAAATAATGTTCCTATTCAATACTTCTGACAATACAATTACTATACTAACATACAAAAATGTTTTACACTTGCCTTATTTTTGAGATCTAATTCATATTTCAACTATCACAGAACAAGATTTGACAACTGTGGAGGTTTGAATAAAATATTCCAAAAGAATTACTTAGCTAATAGTGATACGCTAACGTTTTTAGGTATGTTAATGAAGTCGTTGGTCAGTTTGATTTCATGTCTCTACAACTACGTCCTGATAGAGAATACAAAGTGTTTAAATGTCTTCTTTAAATTCTCCATCTATTAGCTTCCTTTATGATCTTCATCAAGTTATAGGAAATAACAGAAATTCAAAAAAGACCGCACTAAATGATTACATGGATCGAATTTTGATCACGAACCTAGTGCAAAAATTTTATGAAAGAACAAAATCTAAAATTTTACTTGTGTATGATATTACCTTAGGCCTGATAATACATCGTTAATTAATAAGAGAAAGAAGAAAAACTTGATAAAGTTTGCGAATGTTTTGACAGAGAAACGATTCTGTTGCACTGTAATTCGAGATTTTGATATCAAATAAAAAACAAACTGTTAAGGGTGGCTGGAGTTGAATTTAATTTCAAGGTAAATATATGAAATTAAGAGGCAATCAATTCCTCGAGATGAATTTTAAGTCGATTAAGACAAAACAGGTAGAATTTTTGTCTGTTGATTTTGCAAGATTATAAATATTTTTTTGGAAATTACGTGAGGGTTGCTGACTGATAAATCCATCAAGCATGAGAAAAGCCGCATTAAAACGAGCAAATTCTGTTTGCCAATGCACTTGTCAAGCTGGAAAAAAATACCCTTGTCCTCAGCGTTGACCAAGCTTATTGAAGTAGGATTAAATTTCTCTGAAGTCCTCTCCATTTTCCTTGTCAAGTTATCTACACTGACAAATTGCGTCTTTGAAAAGTTTCTCCTTGACAAGAAATTGCCATGAAAAATTTTTCAACGAAGTATTGGTTCAGCAAAGGCAATTTTTGCAGGTGCAGATGCGGCTGAAGAGAGATCTAGAAGGCCCCACGGAATCTCATAATTTCAGTCACCAAAACATCACTAAATATGGGTAGATATGACATACAAGATACGACATATTGCAAAAATGATGTCACCGTAAACTGCGTCGAATTTTATAATTCCTAAAGCAACTAGTCAAAAAATCTAACAACGTAGTTTACATGCCTCGTGTGAATTCATTTATGGTCCATTTGATAGTTGTATAACGACGAGATTGTTCTTATGTGGTGGTAAACAAATCAAACTGGAACATCTTTCGGAGCTTCTTTGTCCTCGTCGTCGTTGTCGTCGTCGTCGTCATCGGCAGTGCTCATTCGAATATCTTTGTTTGATCTCGGCACGTCGTAATCTGACTCTAGCGTTTTCGCACGCGGGATGTCGTAGTTTCCAGTGTCTGAAATTAGGACAACGATAACGTAAGTGTATCTGTTTGCGCGTAATTTAAGGAGACGCAACTTCCACTAAAGGTAGAAGAATGTTACAATAATAGTTAAATAACTTAAAGACACACATGGCTCATGACTCCAAGTGCTTAAATCCGGTTTTTGCGGCGACAGCAGTGTCCTCTTCCTCCCCCCCCCCCCCCCCAATTACTTGAATTGCAATATACCTGATGACAAGATCTCGTCGCCTTCTTTTGCTTCCTCCCTTTGCTCGAGTTCTTCCTCAGATTCTGAAGCGGGAGGCATGTTATAAACGTGGTAAGGGTCTTTTAGACGCATGCCTATAGCTGTAAATTCCAAACGCTTCTCTGGTTCTTTTTTCCAACAATCTTTCATTATAGCGTATACGAAGTCCGGACAGTTGTCTGGTTTCTCTAAATGAATACCCTGTTCGAAGGAACAAGTTAGTAACTAAATCAGTTAGTGGATAACGAGCTGAACAAACGGAAACGGACGATCGAATACACGAACAGATTGACAAACGGATAGGAAGGCAGATAGACAAGCCGACTAACAGACAGATGAATGGCCAGACGGACACGTAGACGGACAGATAGACCTGCAGAATGGAAAGACAGACTGAGTGAGATAGACAGACAGGACAGACAGACAGATAAAAAGACTTACAGATAGACAAAGATTCATAAAAGAGGTAAATGTAAGTCCGTTGGTTGAATGGTTGGGTCAGTTACAAGAGTGATAGATAGCGTGGTGGTCATCGGAAGCAGCAACACCAAAAAAGTGACAATTTCAAATGAAAAAAAACTTTACGGTATTCCTCTACATTCCAAAAGGAACTAGCGGAACGCCCCTACCTCATGGTTTACAAACATCTGTTTAAAAAAATGCAGCAAATTCTCATAGAAATGAAAGGTTTTTTTCCGATGAGTACAATACCTTTTGAATAAATTCCATCACTTCTTTATTAGTATACCCATAATACGGCTGAAGACCAAACGTGAAAATCTCCCAGAGTACCACACCATATGCGTATACGTCCGACTGGAGACTAAACTTGCCGTACAGAAAAGCTTCAGGAGCCAACCAGCGGATGGGCAACAATGTTTTTTTACTCATCTGAAAGTATGCAAAGATAAAAAAAAACTATCTAAGACACGAGACTTGTGAAATATTTTGAAAGACTTGGCGAAGAGTTTGGACTAATTCTAACAAACATTTCCGTCAATTTCCCATGCATTCAGAATCAAACATGTTTACATTTCTTCCAACACGCCACATTTTATGTTTTTCCACCGCAGTGCAAATATGTGAATTTTCATATATCTAAAAAAAAAATTTCCGTCAATTTCCCATGCATTCAGAATCAAACATGTTTACATTTCTTCCAACACGCCACATTTTATGTTGTTTCCCATCCTTGCACCAAGTTAACTACATATCTCCTTATTTTTTCTGTTGTTTCTTTTCCTCGCTCGGACTAGTTCATGTTCCCTGCTTGGCTTTACTTACCAAGAAAAGTGGATCAACTTAGATTACAGCAGGCTTTGTTAAATGATTAACAATGACCGTATAAGGCCACTTTGGAACAATGGCGGAAACAGCTTCAAAATACACGCGGGTTTTCAAAATTTCCGATTATCATACTAGCGGCAGATTTAAACCATGGTAATTAACTCATTCTTAACTTGTTTTACAGCATTTAAAATAAATTAAATAGAAATAGATGAACGTATGTTTTTTGTAACCATTTTAACACTGAGTTTCAGATTCTAATGCAGGGCCTCGCTCATAATTCCCTTGAAATTTTCGACAATAGAAGTATTCGGTAAACGTGTTTACGTCCTTTTGCCACCCAGTTTAGATCTTAACCCATTACATCCTAACATGCATGTTCTTCAAATTATTCTCCATTAATTTTTATGGTGCCTACAGGGATGATCTCTTTAACGATAAAAAGCATCTTTAGTGAGTGATCATTTGCTTCGTCCTCCTGACCTCCATGTGTTACCTCAATGTGTGATATTATAAGGATAAATCAGATGCTAGTGACTCGTACAGATCAAAGGATAAATTTTACGTTGATTCCTTTGGGATGCTTAAAATGTGCAATTTGACAAACACCTCTGGTTAAAGAAAAATAAAGGGAAAACAATGGTATCCTCGTGAATGAATCATCACACGATCTGGATTGGGCATTAACGCGGATGTAAACGCTTTAGCTGAAACCGTCTAACAACTTTAACTCTCTCTAATTCTTTAACGAGCTCAAATCTAAACAGCTTTCTTATTCTATATATAAAATATGACGCTAATGACATTGCTGATCCTAGCAGTATGCAGGACCCATGTCATATATAAACTTCATAATGTGCCTTGCTCAATATAGAGTCTCCGTGTCTCAGTGGTAGAGCATAGGAGTGCGGGATTCGAAGGTGTGAGGTTCGATTCGTCATGAGAACTCAGAATTTTTTGCTGGTCCTACGCTCTTGACAAGATGAGAAAACATCTTTCTCTACAAGAAAACTTGTTTGTTTAGCATACCTTATAGTAATCTGTAGTATAAATGTCACGTGACATTCCAAAATCTCCAATCTTCACAACGAAGTCATCTCCGACTAAACAGTTCCTAGTCGCCAAGTCCCTATGAACAAATTTAATCTCGGCTAAATAATGCATGCCAGCAGCGATCTGGGTTGCGGCAGACACAAGGGATTCTTGAGAGAGAGATAAACTGACGAAAAAGAAGACAAGAAGGCACAGTTAAGTTGAAGATCTACCGTTTGCAAGTTCTTAAGTTTTTCTTGCCGGTTTTGAGTTGTTGCCACTATGTGTGCATCAAAAGTATACCAGGCAATTTGATCACCTATTCGATTACGATTATATCACAGGGAATAAGAGTTAGTCCGAAAACCGGAAATTCGATCGCCTGAATCTCGAAATTAATACCGGTATAGACAAAGATTTCTATCGCAGTGAAGTCACTAGACCCGAGCAAAACCAGTTTTGATGTGTGTGCTCGCTGGCGAAAATAACAAATGTATTGTCCCATTAATTTAGCGCAACGTGAACGCAGCACATCGAGTTACTAAAAGGCAAATTACCGACCTTTTGAAGTTCGCGTTAAATCATATTTATCGCGTTAGAGTTGTGGTACATTTGCATTCTTAAACAGCAACACCTCTACGCAAGACAAGGTAGGCTTGCTCCATTCCCTTCGACTGGGTCAATGGCAAAACCTACCTTTCCCTTTCTCGCTGGATTCAAGCGATGTTTCCGCTGGTAGTGCATTCCTCAAATATTGATTCAAATCCCCGCCACTCATGAACTCAAACAGCATTCCATAGGGTTCCTCCTCAGTTGACACAGCTAGAAGCTGAACAATATTTGGGTGTGTAAGAATGGACATCAGAGTTACTTCTCGGTAAAACTCTTCTTTCTGTTCCTTGGACGCTTCGTCCTTCAGCGCCTTCACCGCCACAGGAATAACCTTTTTGGGTTGTTTATCATTCAGACCCGAAGCGCGACCTAAAATGTAAATGGAGAGTCGACATGAATCTCTAAATGCCTAAGTTAGGAAAGGAATTTGCCTCCAAAGAGTTAAGTAAAGGTGATGAAATGAACAATTCCTAAATTTGTGATTATATTCATTTCGAGTTGATTGGAAACATCCAAGTAAGAAATAACAGTCATATATTATGCCAAAGGAAAAAAACCCCCCCCCCCCCGTGGGACTCGAACCCACAACCTTTGAATTAGAAGTCCAACACGCTAGTCCATTGCGCCACGAGGGCTTCAGATACCAATGACCTTCATTGTATTAAAGCTATTTCATCGTGTTTTTCTTCGAAACAAAAATAATCCTCGATGCTTTGATTTTCTACAACAATTGTTGATTGCCGTGACGTAAACATCAGGTTGATTTAATGTACCTGTTAACATGTGGCAATAAATTGTAAAAAAACAAAAATGCTTCTTTATCAATACGACTCTACATGCAATGATATTATTTCTTCCCTTTGGGCAGTTGAGATAGTTTTATTTGATCATTTTGCGTAACTTGACCATTGCGAGATGCTAAGATTCATTTCGAGGCAGAATCACGAGTATCGTTTCTATAGAAGAGTTTTGCACAAAGTGAGATTAAACCCTTCCTATCTTCTCACATCGTTCTCAAAAAATTGTTCTTGTTTATTGTGTGACTATCTTCCATTTTTTTCCCTTGTTTATTTTTTGTTTTGTCCTTTATCTTCATTCTGTTAATTTTAGTTCATCGTGTTTTTCTTCGAAACAAAACTATTCCTCGTTGCTTTGTTTTTGTTTTTGTTTTTGGTTGTTGTACCTTAAACATCGTTTGTGCTTTACAAGACCTCTCTTTCTGCTGTCTTAATGTCATGATTTGAAAACCAGATGTGATCCTAATCGGCATATTGAGTCATACTACATCTTCGATTTGAGTATTTCAATGTTCTGTGACATATCCTGTCCTCCTTAAGTTCAGGGCCATACCTCACGTCCCCCGTAATATCTGCACAACATATCAATTTGTCTCCACCAAATATTCAAGGAGTAAAACTGATATGCGAGTGAACATTCATTATGAAATTGCGTTGTTAAGGTACAATACTCTTTAAAAATTTTGAGGAAAAAACTTGAGGGGACTGGGGATATACGCCTCATTCTCACCTCCAGCTCCTCACTCTCGTTACACATTCAATGGGCTAAAAATAACTAATGAATTGATTCCAGTTCTTAAGAAGAGGGTATGTGGAAGACATGCGCAAAGAGTTACACAGAGCCAAAGGATGAAATAAACTTGTAGAATTTTAATTAGGTAGAGATTACCTTGAAAAACTTTTCCAAAGAAACCTTCTCCCAAATCTTTCACGTACTGTACATGGTCCAAATTGTATTGCCTCAGTTTTTTCGGGTCATAAAGTCCTAACAAGCGCGAGTCCAGGCTCTTCAGGGACTCCGCTCGTAACCTGTCCCTCATGGTGATGGAACCTTTGTGGGATAGCGCATGCCCATTATCCACAGCGTCCCTCATTTTCTGACGTCTTCGAAGAAGAACGACCACGATGACACATAGCAAAATAATGCAAAGGCCAACTATGACAATTGGAAGGATAATTTCCAGTTTTCTACCAGGTTGTGGGGTTGTTTTCTCAGTGTTTGCACTCATCGTGGTCTCTGTGTAATCTGAAGAGAAGAAAAACACAGATTAGGCCGACTTATTGGATCGGTTGAAACGAAAATTGTCTGTAATGAAATAGTTGTACTGTAGCAGACTAACATCTGTATCTGTAAATTAACATCATGATGTACGAGAAGGCGCTTTTCTATCGTACCTATCGTTCCTCCTTTGGGAGGGGGGGGAGGTTAACTTCTATGGTTGAATATTAGTACTTGCTCTGAGAAAATCAAAATGACTTACTATAAACATTTTTAAATAACTGCCAGACTCTGCTCTCTCTGCACGGTTAAAATATCACTATATATTACTCCGGAAAAATCACACAAAGCTGAAACATCAATGATGGTATTTCATAAAAGCGAAAAAACTGCAATTTAATTTCTGAAGATTCAGTGCGAGCAGGCCCCGCGGGAAAGTATAAGGCCCTGAGGCGAGAGGTCTGCCAGGGGTCTGGCACTGATAATAAGGCTTTTTATTAGTGCCAGGTCCCTAACTTTTTTCAAATCTTTCCACGGGCGGCAGCCCTATTAACGAGGGCTTGCTCACAGGCTATAGATTCAGCTTAACAAATTGACCACAACTTTCCTTTGTCTACAACCCTATTGATCATAGAAAAGAATTCAACAATGTTCAAAACTAAAGTGAAACCACGAAGGGCAATCGAGTTGTTTCACTGCACAGTTTTGAGTATTGTTGACGTCATTTCTATGACTAACAAGGTTATAGACAATGGAAAATTGTGATCAATTTGTTTTTTACAATAACACTGAAATTTTTGTGCCAGCTGAATACGTCAAAGTTTTCGAAAAATTACGCGCGCGTGACATGATCGACTCTTGCTTTGTTGTTTGTTTAGCTTGAGTTACGTAATAACTTGTACAATGCAATACCAGTATGAAATGGATGGTAGTAGACTCTGTAGCCCTGAATAGCCGTTTGCTATGGTATCAGCAAGTATTTCTACGAGGTTGTCCATCTATCAACTTTGCGAACAGAGAACTCTGAAGATTTTCCCCCGCTTTTTCTTCCATCTCGACAAGTTCTTCTTCAAACATTTTTCTAAGTATATCGATCTTAAAATCCGGAAGTTTCTTACCTTCAATATCTGAGAAAATTTCAATTGCTTTTACGAGATAAGTGTTTTCTCCGACATGGCGAGGATTGCCGAGCGTTGCGTTACATGCCACGTCATTTTTATCGCGTATAACCTTATTTACAATAATTCTCGACCAATGAGCTTGCGAGAATTTCTACAGTTATGGAAAATATGTAATAACCACTTGCCATGGTTGCACAATATTCGAAATCTTAAGAACCACTTTGCTTCTGCTTGACTTTCACGAAATATTTTCTTTTGCTCTCTAAAAACACCGCTATCAATGGATTACTATATTATATAAATTTTTAGTAACGCATGATAGTGGGCGCTGAAAAAGCCTTAGGGAATTTATGAGACTGCGAGATTCTGCCAAATTGCTATATATTTCCTTGTGCAACACACAGAGAAGTTGATGTCACACCAAAAGTTTCTTATTACTTAATAAATGTTCACTTACTGAAAAAGCCTGTCTTGATACAGATCTTTCCTGGTTTGTCTTCAAAATGTCCTTCCTTATGGTGCCCGGAACAGTTCGGTAGACTTGTATGTATAAAATCAATCTTTTCCGCTGCCACATGCAACGTCACGGCACCAATCACTTGATTCAGGGGGGTTCTACATTCCTTGAAAATGGCCGCACAGTCCTCCCTACAGTACTTCATGTCTGTGTCATCTGAGTAACATGGAGGCACAGTGTAATGACAAAGCATATTTATTAAGATGTATCTGCACTTTTCGTCGTCCTTCACAAGCTGGTTGATTATTTCTACACCCCTAGTAAGAAATTCTTCGGTGGCTGGCAAGCCAAATTTGTTGTCAAAGAAACGTCTACTGTTGCGGTAAGTTGAGAGGGTCGAGTTGAATGACACTTGGCAAACTTTTCCTCGATAAGGCATGCAGGATCCTCCTCTAAACAAAGAAAAAATAGAAAAAGGTTAGTACTGAACTTCTTATATCTTGATCAAACCGCCATTTTTACTTTTTATCAACCGAGTACTGTAAGTTACGGACCCAATTTTTTTGTCTACTAGAATTTATGGCCCAGGTTCGAAGCGCGCGGGCCTTAAATCCGAACGGAAAAGAATGGGTCCAAATGGAGGATAGAATTTCAATTTACACAAAATTTGGAATTCAGCGGGCCGTTCTGTGAAATATGGTCAGCTAAATTGACCATTAAATTAGGGGAAGTACAAAGAGAGATACAAAAACAAGTGTTAATAACATCGTAGTCAGTTCTTTGTAATATTGCTTTTATCGGCCCGCCAAGGGACAAATAATTGACATGCACCACTCACAGCTGTTGGAAACCAACCAATCCCAGCGGAGAATAATACTTTATAAGGTAATGCGTGGAAAGTCAAAGCCATCGGAGTAAGAAGACCATGAATATGCGCTCAAAAGGATTTCATCGCAGCCACTACATCTTGAGAACAACAAAATTCCTTCATGAACATGGAATTTCGTTGTCTAAACAGAGGCCATCAACAGGCCAATGGCAACGTATCCAACCAGCACGCGCAAGACTATTTAGAATATTTTTGGTATACAAGTCGCAGAATTTCCCCTCTAAAATACCACTCGGTGAGTCAAGGAAAGAAATTTTGGCTCAAAAAAGTTGGAAAAATTGGCTAACTCGAAATTCTAAATATGTTATAACACTTACTTTCAGGGAAAAATAAAAGGTAATCCACCCCCGGTGGGACTCGAACCCACAACCTTTGAATTAGAAGTCCAACACGCTAGTCCATTGCGCCACGGGGGCTTCAGATATAAAACATTGTCATTCTATTATCCTCATTTCATCGTGCTTTTCTTCGAAACAAAAATATTCCTCACTGTTTTCATTTTCTACACCAGTTGTTCATCGATATGACGTAAATATCTGGGTGGATTTAATGTACCTGTTAACATGTGACAATAAATGTTTTTTAAAAAAAGAAATGCTTCACCATCAATATGACTCTCCGTGCAATAACTTTTCTTCTTCCCTTTGGGCAGTTGAAATGTAATTTCACTGCCAATTTTGCGTAACTTGACACTGAATTGCGAGATCGCGTATCAACTGTGCTAAGATTCATTTTGGGGTAGAATCATAAGCGTGGTTGGTTTTGAACAGTTTTGCACAAAATGAGACCAAACTCTTCCTGCTTCTTCATGTCGGAAACAGGATAATTAGTATTGATTTAAGCTAAAGTTGTAATGATTGTAGAATATCTGGCCGGAAATCAAGCGTACGTTCTGTCTGCTCTAATGAATGAGTTTGTTTATCTTTTTTCTGAAAGATTTTCATAGCCAATCAGCTTACGCGTGATCAAGGCGTGACCATAAGATAAAGAAACAATTGATTGGAGCTTTTTAGTCAGTCTGAGATATAATTTTTTGTGTATGCGAGAGGATTAAAAAAAATGGATATCTGGAAGAGAAAAGCGAAAGTGTGGGTTCCTTACTAATATTCCCCACACTCACACCGATTTAAAAAAAATATATTTTTGCGAATTGTGTAACCATCTCCACTTTTTTTATTGAGTTTGTTTATTTTTGTCTTTGCTTTATTTTCGTTCCTTTTCTTGTTTAGTCTTGAATTAAGCCTTTACACCCCAACATCAGTGTGCATATTCTCCATACTGTTCCTTGTACATTTCCTACGTTGCTCACAAGGAGAATGTGTTTGACAATCAAGAACTTCATAAGTTGGTGATCATTTCTTTAATTCTTATCACCTTTATGTGGGATTCAGTGAGTGAAAGGAGAAATCAGAGGCTGGTCTTTGTTAAAGATGAAAGAGTTGAAAGGGAACAGGACAAATTTACTTATTTCATACCTTCGATTATGGAACGTGTCTGCCGTCTCTTCTTATCTAAAAGTAACTTTGTTTTCTTTTACCTTTTGGTGTAACATTTCTTTGCAGAATCTGCTTCCGTATCATTCCAGCAGCATCCAAGAAAAAGACACGTGGTCATGTTTGTATTTTCCGGTACTAGGCACCCCACTTTCTCATTCGGAGCGATATCTTTACACTTTACCCGTGGCGGCGGAATCGTCCCTAAAAACAAAATGGAATGACACATGCACTTATACATTTCCAGTATGTGACAGCAAGAACGGGAAATGCTCGCGATATTTTTGGCGCGCGAATTCGCCAACAGTGGCCTAAAATATTGACCTACCCGTTGATAGAAACGTTTTTTGGTGCTGCTGTAAAAAGAAACAGGGCTTAATGCTGAAAATGTACTTTCCACCCGCACAAAAAAAAATATTGGTTATTTTTCTACAACATACTTCTAAGAATTATACGAAAAGTGAGTCAAATCACAGTTCATTTTTTTTTCCGTTAACGTGATATCTCACTTCATTCATAACCTCTCTACAATGGCCAGAACATGCAAGTCACTGACTGACGAACGTTGTAACAAAATTCGCTGAGCCGCCCACATAAGCCGACAATCTACTCCTCCACAGTCGCCTATTCGCCTTTGCCTTTGAGGCGACCTTTTTAGAGAGACTTGACTAGATCTGTCAGTAATAGGCACGTAATGTATAAATATTCAGTTTAAACGGAGGATTCCCATGTGACTGAAAAACTGACATTCTTTAAATTGAAACACGTATCGATTTAGCCGCTATCAAATCACTTTGATTACTTCAGGTAACCCTTGGCTATCGAAAGGTTAATTTACTTGAAATATTTTTCTAGTAAACTAATGCGTAACGTTACAGCTTACCTTGTTTGCTGTCAACGACCCCAAGCTTATCAAAGAATCGAACACAAAGTAAGACTACACACGGAAATAAAATGTGAAACATGATCGACAATATCTCCAGCTATGGCGAGGTCTCAAACATTAATTTTTTAGTCTCACTTCTTTTCCACTTTCCAGCGAAACTGAATTTGTTAATAATGATATTTTCAGAAATGATCACTGTTGCGGCTGTGAATGGGGCAAGGTCAGTATTTCGCTTTCCGTTAAATATGCATATAATGAACACACTGTTCATGCCACCACGCCGTTCTCGAAGTCTCTTTACATACAGTCCAACCTGTATTAACGCTTTAAACACCACGAGTGATTTGTAAATATTTTCTTCTGTTACTATCACCCCTAAAACAAATATCCAGGTCATGAGAATAAAGGGCATGATCACCAACTAAAGAAGCTCTTGATTGTTAGACAAATTCTCTTTGTCAGCACCTTAGGAAATGCATAGAGAACAATACGGAGAAAATATATACTGATGTTAAGGTGTAAAGGATCAAGTGATCACCCACGGGGCATGGTGGGCTGACCACTTCCATTGGGATGACCACATACAGGTTCCACAGAATAGGGGCCAAACGCGATTTAAACCCGGCGACATTTCGTCTTAACGGTCCTTAGAAGAAAGATAATGCACAATACGTTGAAGATATTTGAACACAAAGGGCTAACATTGATTTAAAAGATAAATATGGAATAAATTTGACTTAGTTTTTTTTTTCCAGTAGTTCCACTTTAACTGACTGTTCAATTCAGGGGGAAGGCGATATAAACAGGCCTTCAGGACTCAGTAAGGGTGACGACGATAGCCTTATAGAGGTGAAACTTACAGTAATTTAGGGGAGAAAATATTGGGACTTTAATAACCGACAGGGTGACCGCTTAATACGGTGCTCACTGCAGGTTCGTCCGTATGTACATTCCGCCTACACCTGCTGGAGATCGAGTGTGAATGTGGCTACCACTCGCCCCGTTTCGGAAAAAAAAAGGTAATCAATCGCACTTCCTAAAATAATGTTTCTATTCAATACTTCTGACAATACAATTACTATACTAACATACAAAAATGTTTTACACTTGCCTTATTTTTGAGATCTAATTCATATTTCAACTATCACAGAACAAGATTTGACAACTGTGTAGGTTTGAATAAAATATTCCAAAAGAATTACTTAATTAATAGTGATACGCTAACGTTTTCAGGTATATTAATGGAGTCGTTGGTCAGTTTGATTTCATGTCTCTACAACTACGTCCTGATAGAGAATATAAAGTGTTTTAATGCCTTCTTTAAATTCTCCATCTATTAGCTTCCTTTCTGACCTTCATCAAGTTATAGGAAATAACAGAAATTCAAAAAAGACCGCACTAAATGATTACATGGATCGAATTTTGATCACGAACCTAGTGCAAAAATTTTATGAAAGAACAAAATATAAAGTTTTACTTGTGTATGATATTACCTTAGGCCTGATAATACACTGTTACAATTTGTATAGTGGTCAAGAGGGGTTTTTGTCCAATATTTTTGGTCAAAACTTGTAATTTAAATGTTAAAACAAGGTATTTCTCAGGTCCATGCTAAGTGAGCTCACTTACTAGGATTTAACTGCCATGGAAACGCATCGTTTCTGTATGCAGTTAACAATGTATTAGGTCCAAACAACACGAATCATCAGAAGCATCTATTCATAACGACTATAATTAATAAGAGAAAAGAGAAAAACTTCACAAAGTTTGCGAATGTTCTGACAGACAAACGATTCTGTTGCATTGTAATTCGAGATTTTGGTATCAAATAAAAAATAAACTGTTAAGGGTGGCTGGAGTTGAATTTAATTTCAAGGTAAATATATGAAATTAAGAGGCAATCAATTCCTCGAGATGAATTTTAAGTCGATTAAGGCAAAACAGGTAGAATTTTTACGTCTGTTGATTTTGCAAGATTATAAATATTTTTTTGGAAATTATTTATTACCACGTGAGCGTTGCTGACTGATAAATCCATCAAGCATGAGAAAAGCCGCATTAAAACGAGCAAATTCTGTTTGCCAATGCACTTGTCAAGCTGGAAAAAAATACCCTTGTCCTCAGCGTTGACCAAGCTTATTGAAGTAGGATTAAATTTCTCTGAAGTCCTCCCCATTTTCCTTGTCAAGTTATCTACACTGACAAATTGCGTCTTTGAAAAGTTTCTCCTTGACAAGAAATTGCCAGGAGAAATTTCTCAACGAAGTATTGGTTCAGCAAAGGCAATTTTTGCAGGTGCAGATGCGGCTGAAGAGAGGTCTAGAAGGCCCCACGGAATCTCATAATTTCAGTCACCAAAACATCACTAAATATGGGTAGATATGACATACAAGATACAACATATTGCAAAAATGATGTCACGGTAAACTGCGTCGAGTTTTATAATTCCTAAAGCAACTAGTCAAAAAATCTAACAACGTAGTTTACATGCCTCGTGTGAATTCATTTATGGTCCATTTGATAGTTGTATAACGACGAGATTGTTCTTATGTGGTGGTAAACAAATCAAACTGGAACATCTTTCGGAGCTTCTTTGTCCTCGTCGTCGTTGTCGTCGTCGTCGTCATCGGCAGTGCTCATTCGAATATCTTCGTTTGATCTCGGCACGTCGTAATCTGACTCTAACGTTATCGCACGCGGGATGTCGTAATCACTTGAGGCAGAATTTCTGGGGATGTCGTAGTTTCCAGTGTCTGAAATTAGGACAACGATAACGTAAGTGTATCTGTTTGCGCGTAATTTAAGGAGGCGCAACTTCCACTAAAGGTAGAAGAATGTTACAATAATAGTTAAATAACTTAAGGACACACATGGCTCATGACTCCAAGTGCTTAAATCCGGTTTTTGCGGCGACAGCAGTGTCCCTCCCCCCCCCCCCCTCCCCCAATGCCCCAATGACTTGAATCTTGAATTACAATATACCTGATGACAAGATCTCGTCGCCTTCTTTTGCTTCCTCTCTTTGCTCGAGTTCTTCCTCAGATTCTGAAGCGGGAGGCATGTCATAAACGTGGTAAGGGTCTTTTAGACGCATGCCTATAGCTGTAAATTCCAAACGCTTCTCTGGTTCTTTTTTCCAACAATCTTTCATTATAGCGTATACGAAGTCCGGACAGTTGTCTGGTTTCCCTAAATGAATACCCTGTTCGAAGGAACAAGTTAGTAACTAAATCAGTTAGTGGATAGCGAGCTGAACAAACGGAAACGGACGGTCGAACACACGAACAGATTGACAAACGGATAGGAAGGCAGATAGACAAGCCGACTAACAGACAGATGAATGGCCAGACGGACACGTAGACGGACAGATAGACCTGCAGAATGGAAAGACAGACAGACAGATAAAAAGACTTACAGATAGACAAAGATTCATAAAAGAGGTAAATGTAAGTCCGTTGGTTGAATGGTTGGGTCAGTTACAAGAGTGATAGATAGCGTGGTGGTCATCGGAAGCAGCAACACCAAAGAAGTGACAATTTCAAATGAAAAAAAACTTTACGGTATTCCTCTACATTCCAAAAGGAACTAGCGGAACGCCCCTACCTCATGGTTTACAATCATCTGTTTAAAAAATGCTGCAAATTCTCATAGAAATGAAAGGTTTTTTTCCGATGAGTACAATACCTTTTGAATAAATTCCATCACTTCTTTATTAGTATAACCATAATACGGCTGAAGACCAAACGTGAAAATCTCCCAGAGTACCACACCATATGCGTATACGTCCGACTGGAGACTAAACTTGCCGTACAGAAAAGCTTCAGGAGCCAACCAGCGGATGGGCAACAATGTTTCTTTACTCATCTGAAAGTATGCAAAGATAAAAAAACTATCTAAGACATGAGACTTATGAAATATTTTGAAAGACTTGGCGAAGAGTTTGGACTAATTCTAACAAACATTTCCGTCAATTTCCCATGCATTCAGAATCAAACATGTTTACATTTCTTCCAACACGCCACATTTTATGTTGTTTCCCATCCTTGCACCAAGTTAACTACATATCTCCTTATTTTTTCTGTTGTTTCTTTTCCTCGCTCGGACTAGTTCATGTTCCCTGCTTGGCTTTACTTACCAAGAAAAGTGGATCAACTTAGATTACAGCAGGCTTTGTTAAATGATTAACAATGACCGTATAAGGTCACTTTGAAACAATGGCGGAAACAGCTTCAAAATACACGCGGGTTTTCAAAATTTCCGATTATCATACGAGCGGCAGATTTAAACCATGGTAATTAACTCATTCTTAACTTGTTTTACAGCATTTAAAATAAATTAAATAGAAATAGATGAACGTATGTTTTTTGTAACCATTTTAACACTGAGTTTCAGATTCTAATGCAGGGCCTCGCTCATAATTCCCTTGAAATTTTCGACAATAGAAGTATTCGGTAAACGTGTTTACGTCCTTTTGCCACCCAGTTTAGATCTTAACCCATTACACCCTGACATGCATGTTCTTCAAATTATTCTCCATCATTTTTATGGTGCCTACAGGGATGATCTCTTTAACGATAAAAAGCATCTTTAGTAAGTGATCATTGCTTCGTCCTCCTGACCTTCATTTGTTACCTCAATGTGTGATATTATAAGGATAAATCAGATGCTAGTGACTCGTACAGATCAAAGGATAAATTTTACGTTGATTCCTTTGGGATGCTTAAAATGTGCAATTTGACAAACACCTCTGGTTAAAGAAAAATAAAGGGAAAACAATGGTATCCTCGTGAATGAATCATCACACGATCTGGATTGGGCATTAACGCGGATGTAACGAGCTCAAATCTAAACAGCTTTCTTATTCTATATATAAAATATGACGCTAATGACATTGCTGATCCTAGCAGTATGCAGGACCCATGTCATATATAAACTTCGTAATGTGCCTTGCTCAATATAGAGTCTCCGTGGCTCAGTGGTAGAGCATAGGAGTGCGGGATTCGAAGGTGTGAGGTTCGATTCGTCATGAGAACTCAGAATTTTTTGCTGGTCCTACGCTCTTGACAAGATGAGAAAACATCTTTCTCTACAAGAAAACTTGTTTGTTTAGCATACCTTATAGTAATCTGTAGTATAAATATCACGTGACATTCCAAAATCTCCAATCTTCACAACGAAGTCATCTCCGACTAAACAGTTCCTAGTCGCCAAGTCCCTATGAACAAATTTCATCTCGGCTAAATAATGCATGCCAGCAGCGATCTGGGTTGCGGCAGACACAAGGGATTCTTGAGAGAGATAAACTGATGAAAAAGAAGACAAGAAGGCACAGTTAAGTTGAAGATCTACCGTTTGCAAGTTCTTAAGTTTTTCTTGCCGGTTTTGAGTTGTTGCCACTATGTGTGCATCAAAAGTATACCAGGCAATTTGATCACCTATTAGATTACAATTATATCACGGGGAATAAGAGTTAGTACGAAAACCGGAAATTCGATTGCCTGAATCTCGAAATTAATACCGGTATAGACAAAGATTTCTATCGCAGTGAAGTCACTAGACCCGAGCAAAACTAGTTTTGATGTGTGGCTCGCTGGCGAAAATCACAAATGTATTGTCCCATTAATTTAGCGCAACGTGAACGCAGCATGTCGAGTTACTAAAACGCAAATTACCGAGCGTTTGAAGTTGGCGTTAAATCATATATATCGCGTTAGAGTTGTGGTACATTTGCATTCTTAAACAGCAACACCTCTAGCAAGACAAGGTAAGCTTGCTCCATTCCCTCGACTGGGTCAATGGCAAAGCCTACCTTTCCCTTTCTCGCTGGATTCAAGCGATGTTTCCGCTGGTAGTGCATTCCTCAAATATTGATTCAAATCCCCGCCACTCATGAACTCAAACAGCATTCCATAGGGTTCCTCCTCGGTTGACACAGCTAGAAGCTGAACAATATTTGGGTGTGTAAGAATGGACATCAGAGTTACTTCTCGGTAAAACTCTTCTTTCTGTTCCTTGGACGCTTCGTCCTTCAGCGCCTTCACCGCCACAGGAATAACCTTTTTGGGTTGTTTATCATTCAGACCCGAAGCGCGACCTAAAATGTAAATGAGAGAGTCGACATGAATCTCTATATGCCTAAGTTAGGAAAGGAATTTGCCTCCAAAGAGTTAAGTAAAGGTCATGAAATGAACAATTCCTAAATTTGTGATTATATTCATTTCGAGTTGATTGGAAACATCCAAGTAAGAAATAACAGTCATATATTATGCCAAAGGAAAAAAAAAACCACCCCCGGTGGGACTCGAACCCACAACCTTTGAATTAGAAGTCCAACACGCTAGTCCATTGCGCCACGGGGGCTTCAGATACCAATGTCCTTCATTCTATTAAATCTATTTCATCGTGTTTTTCTTCGAAACAAAAATAATCCTCGATGCTTTGATTTTCTACAACAATTGTTGATTGCCGTGACGTAAACATCAGGTTGATTTAATGTACCTGTTAACATGTGGCAATAAATTGTAAAAAAACAAAAATGCTTCTTTATCAATACGACTCTACATGCAATGATATTATTTCTTCCCTTTGGGCAGTTGAGATAGTTTTATTTGATCATTTTGCGTAACTTGACCATTGCGAGATGCTAAGATTCATTTCGAGGCAGAATCACGAGTATGGTTTCTATCGAAGAGTTTTGCACAAAGTGAGATTAAACCCTTCCTATCTTCCAACATCGTTCTCAAAAAATTGTTCTTACGAAATTGTGTGACTATCTTCCATTTTTTTTCCTTGTTTATTTTTTGTTTTGTCCTTTATCTTCATTCTCTTAATTTTACTTCATCGTGTTTTTCTTCGAAACAAAACTATTCCTCGTTGATTTGTTTTTGTTTTTGGTTGTTGTACCTTAAACATCTTTTGTGCTTCACAAGACCTCTCTTTCTGCTGTCTTGATGTCATGATTTGAAAACCAGATGTGATCCTAATCGGCATATTGAGTCATACTACATCTTCGATTTGAGTATTTCAATGTTCTGTGACATATCCTGTCCTCCTTAAGTTCAGGGCCATACCTCACGTCCCCCGTAATATCTCCACAACCTATCAATTTGTCTCCACCAAATATTCAAGGAATAAAACTGATATGCGAGTGAACCTGCATCATGAAATTGCGGTTTTAGGGTACAATACTCTTAAAAAATTTAGAGGAAAAAACTTGAGGGGACTGGGGATATACGCCTCATTCTCACCTCCAGCTCCTCACTCTCGTTACACATTCAATGGGCTAAAAATAACTAATGAATTGATTCCAGTTCTTAAGAAGAGGGTATGTGGAAGACATGCGCAAAGAGTTACACAGAGCCAAAGGATGAAATAAACTTGTAGAATTTTAATTAGGTAGAGAGTACCTTGAAAAACTTTTCCAAAGAAACCTTCTCCCAAATCTTTCACGTACTGTACATGGTCCAAATTGTATTGCCTCAGTTTTTTCGGGTCATAAAGTCCTAACAAGCGCGAGTCCAGGCTCTTCAGGGACTCCGCTCGTAACCTGTCCCTCATGGTGATGGAACCTTTGTGGGATAGCGCATGCCCATTATCCACAGCGTCCCTCATTTTCTGACGTCTTCGAAGAAGAACGACCACGATGACACATAGCAAAATAATGCAAAGGCCAACTATGACAATTGGAAGGATAATTTCCAGTTTACTACCAGGTTGTGGGGTTGGTTTCTCAGTGTTTGCACCCATCGTGGTCTCTGTGTAATCTGAGGAGAAGAAAAACACAGATTAGGCCGACTTATTGGATCGGTTGAAACGAAAATTGTCTGCAATGAAATAGTTGTACTGTAGCAGACTAACATCTGTATCTGTAAATTAACATCATGATGTACGAGAAGGCGCTTTTCTATCGTACCTATCGTTCCTCCTTTGGGAGGGGGGGGTTAACTTCTATGGTTGAATATTAGTTTAAAAGTACTTGCTCTGAGCAAATCAAAATGACTTACTGTAAACATTTTTAAATAACTGCCAGACTCTGCCCTCTCTGCATGGTTAAAATATCACTATATATTACTCCGGAAAAATCACACAAAGCTGAAACATCAATGATGGTATTTCATAAAAGCGAAAAAACTGCAATTTAATTTCTGAAGATGCAGTGCGAGCAGGCCCTCACTTTTAGCGCGACCGCGGGAAAGTATAAGGCCCTGAGGCGAGAGGTCTGCCAGGGGTCTGGCACTGATAATAAGGCTTTTTATTAGTGCCAGGTCCCTAGCTTTCTCAAATCTTTCCACGGGCGGCAGCCCTATTAACGAGGGCTTGCTCACAGGCTATGGATTCAGCTTAACAAATTGACCACAAGTTTCCTTTTTGTCTACAACCCTATTGATCATAGAAAAGAATTCAACAATGTTCACAACTAAAGTGAAACCACGAGGGGCAATCGAGTTGTTTCACTGCACAGTTTTGAGTATTGTTGACGTCATTTCTATGACTAACAAGGTTATAGACAATGGAAAATTGTGATCAATTTGTTTTTTACAATAACACTGAAATTTTTGTGCCAGCTGAATACGCCAAAGTTTTCGAAAAATTACGCGCGCGTGACATGATCGATCCTTGCTTTGTTGTTTGTTTTAACTTGAGTTATGTAATAACTTGTACAGTGAAATACCAGTAAGAAATGGATGGCAATAGACTCAGTAGCCCTGAATGGTTTTTTTATTGCCCACTTAGTTTAAAAATTTTGCGCCGTTTGCTACGGTATCGGCAAGTATTTCTACGAGGTTGTCCATCTATCAACTTTGCGAACAGAACTCTGAAGATTTTCCCCCGCTTTTTCTTCCATCTCGACAAGTTCTTCTTCAGACATTTTTCTAAGTATATCGATCTTAAAATCCGGAAGTTTCTTACCGTCAATATCTGAGAAAATTTCAATTACTTTTACGAGATAAGTGTTTTCTCCGACATGGCGAGGATTGCCGAGCGTTGCGTTACATGCCACGTCATTTTTATCGCGTATAACCTTATTTACAATAATTCTCGACCAATGAGCTTGCGAGAATTTCTACAGTTATGGAAAATATGTAATAACCACTTGCCATGGTTGAACAATATTCTAAATCTTAAGAACCACTTTACTTCTGCTTGACTTTCACGAAATATTTTCTTTTGCTCTCTAAAAACACCGTTATCAATGGATTACTACGGCAATAAACCGATATAAATTTTTAGTTACGCATGATAGTGGGCGCTGAAAAAGCCTTAGGGAATTTATGAGACTGCGAGATTCTGCCAAATTGCTATATATTTCCTTGTGCAACACACGGAGAAGTTGATGTCACACCAAAAGTTTCTTATTACTTAATAAATGTTCACTTACTGAAAAAGCCTGTCTTGATACAGATCTTTCCTGGTTTGTCTTCAAAATGTCCTTCCTTATGGTGCCCGGAACAGTTCGGTAGACTTGTATGTATAAAATCAATCTTTTCCGCAGCCACATGCAACGTCACGGCACCAATCACTTGATTCAGGGGGGCGCTACATTCCTTGAAAATGGCCGCACAGTCTTCCCTACAGTACTTTATGTCTGTGCCATCCGAGTAACATGGAGGCACAGTATAATGACAAAGCATATTTATTAAGATGTATCTGCACTTTTCGTCGTCCTTCACAAGCGTGTTGATTATTTGTAGACCCCTAGAAAGAAATTCTTCGGTGGCTGGCAAGCCGAATTTGTTGTCAAAGAAACGGTCACTGTTGCGGTAAGTTGGGAGGGTCGAGTTGAATGACACTTGGCAAACTTTTCCTCGATAAGGCATGCAGGATCCTCCTCTAAACAAAGAAAAAATAGAAATAGGTTAGTACTGAACTTCCTATATCTTGATCAAACCGCTATTTTTACTTCTTATCAACCGAGTACTGTAAGTTACGGACCGAATTTTTTTGTCTGCTCGAATTTATGGCCCAGGTTCGAAGCGCGCGGGCCTTAAATCCGAACGGAAAAGAATGGGTCTAAATGGAGGGATAGAATTTCAATTTACACAAAATTTGGAATTCAGCGGGCCGTTCTGTGAAATATGGTCAGCTAAATTGACCATTCATAGGGGAAGTAATAAGAGAGATACAAAAACAAGTGTTAATAACATCGTGGTCAGTTCTTTGCAATATTGCTTTGATCGGCCCGCCAAGGGACAAATAATTGACATACACCACTCACAGCTGTTGGAAACCAGCCAATCCCAGCGGAGAATAATACTTTATGAGGTAATGCGTGGAAAGTCAAAGCCATCGGAGTAAGAAGACCATGAATATGCGCTCAAAAGGATTTCATCGCAGCCACTACATCTTGAGAACAACAAAATTCCCTCATGGACATGGAATTTCGTTGTCTAAACAGAGGCCATCAACAGGCCAATGGCAACGTATCCAACCAGCACGCGCAAGACTATTTAGCATATTTTTGGTATGCAAGTTGCAGGATTTCCCCTCTAAAATAGTGAGTCAAGGAAAGAAATTTTGGCTCAAAAAAGTTGGAAAAATTATAACAAATTCTAAATACACTACTTCAGGGAAAAATAAAAGGTAATCCACCCCCGGTGGGACTCGAACCCACAACCTTTGAATTAGAAGTCCAACACGCTAGTCCATTGCGCCACGGGGGCTTCAGATGTGAAGTTTCGTCATTCTATTATACTTATTTTATCTTGCTTTTCTTCGAAACAAAAATATTCCTGACTGTTTTCATTTTCTACACCATTTGTTCATCGATATGACGTAAATATCTGGGTGGATTTAATGTACCTGTTAACATGTGACAATAAATGTTTTTTAAAAAAGAAATGCTTCACCATCAATATGACTCTACGTGCAATAACTTTTCTTCTTCCCTTTGGGCAGTTGAAATGTAATTTCACTGCCAATTTTGCGTAACTTGACACTGAATTGCGAGATCGCGTATCAACTGTTCTAAGATTCATTTTGGGGTAGAATCACGAGCGTGGTTGGTTTTGAACAGTTTTGCACAAAATGAGACCAAACTCTTCCTGCTTCCTCATGTCGGAAACAGGATAATTAGTATTGATTTAAGCTAAAGTTGTAATGATTGTGGAATATCTGGCCGGAAATCAAGCGTACGATCTGTCTGCTCTAATGAATGAGTTTGTTTATCTTTTGTCTGAAAGATTTTCATAGCCAATCAGCTTACGTTTGATCAAGGCGTGTCCATAAGATAAAGAAACAATTGATTGGAGCTTTTTAGTCAGTCTGAGATATAATTTTTTGTGTATGCGAAAGGATCTAAAAAAATCAAAATCTGGAAGAGAAAAGCGACAGTGTGGGTTCCTTACTAATATTCCCTACACTCACACCGATTTAAAAAAATTATTTTTGCGAATTGTGTAACTATCTCCACTTTTTTTATTGAGTTTGTTTATTTTTGTCTTTGTTTTGTTTTCGTTTCTTTTCTTGTTTCGTCTTGAATTAAGCCTTTACACCCCAACATCAGTGTGCATATTCTCCATACTGTTCTCTGTATATTTCCTACGTTGCTCACAAGGAGAATGTGTTTGACAATCAAGAACTTTCTTAAGTTGGTGATCATTTCTTTAATTCTTATCACCTTTATGTGGGATTCAGTGGGTGAAAGGAGAAATCAGAGGTTGGTCTTTGTTAAAGATGAAAGGGTGGAAAGGGAACAGGACAAATTTACTAATTTCATTCCTTCCATTATGGTACGTTTCTACTGTCTCTTCTTATCTAAAAATAACTTTGTTTTCTTTTACCTTCTGGTGTAACATTTCTTTGCAGAATCTGCTTCCGTATCATTCCAGCAGCATCCAAGAAAAAGACACGTGGTCATGTTTGTATTTTCCGGTACTAGGCACCCCACTTTCTCATTCGGAGTGATATCTTTACACTCTACCCGTGGCGGCGGAATCGTCCCTGAAAACAAAAGGGAATGATACATGCACTTAAACATTTCCAGTATGTGGCAGCAAGAACGGGAAATGCTCGCGATATTTTTGGCGCGCGAATTCGCCAACAGTGGCCTAAAATATTCACCTACTCGTTGATAGAAACGTTTTTTGGTGCTGCTGTAAAAAGAAACAGGACTTAATGCTGAAAATGTACTTTCCACCCGCAAAAAAAAAATATGTACCCACCACTGGTATTTTAAATGGGGCTTCTTCGCTTTGTCTGGTTCAGGATTGCCTTTTAATCGGAAAGACACCTCTCCACTTCGGCAAAAATTCGCTAAAACGCGTTCTCAATGTCAAAAACTGAGAAGTTAAAATTACGTTTACTGGAAACAGCAGCCGGCAGAAAAAAAGGGTACTTTTTGCCAACTGCATCTGGTCGTTTCGCAAGCTAGTGATGATATTTTTAATTTACTATGAAAAAAATATTTTTGGTTATTTTTCTACAACATACTTCTAAGAATTATACGAAAAGTGAGTCAAATCACAGTTCATTTTTTTTTCCGTTAACGTGATACCTCACTTCATTCATAACCTCTCTACAATGGCCAGAACATGCAAGTCACTGACTGACGAACGGTGTAACAAAATTCGCCGAGCCGCCCACATAAGCCGACAATCCATATTTTTGCCACCCCTCCACAGTCGCCTCTTTCCCTTCGCCTTTGAGACGACCCTTTTAGAGAGACTTGACTAGATCTGTCAGTAATAATATGAGATTTTGTCGGTGGAAATATTTTGGTTCACTTCATAAAACGTGACCTTAGCCTGAGTTTTAAAGCTCCAAAAGAAGTTGAGTTTTCATGCACGTTTCAACTTCCAAACAGCCTTGCTTGTTTTGATCTTCATTGTGTAATTCATTTAACAAAACAATGTGTCTGTTATTCTGCATAAATCAGTGCTTCATTGCCCGAGGGTCTTGTTGTTATGCAAAATAAAGTTCTGTTTGTAAAAGGAACCAAAAAATTGTGTCGAACTTAACCAAGTGTGACGAAGTTGAGTTAACTATGCCAGTTGGGCGAAGAAGCAACGGATGATATTGTTTAAAACGCGCACAACCTTGAGATGACTTAAATAAGAATTCTTGATGGGTTTCAAAATCTCGATGTATTCCCATAGAGAAAAAGTTGTAACACAACCAGTTAACGCTTAACAATACTCATTGAATTGGTGCCACACGATTAGTTTGTAATAGTTTTTCTCGCTTACGTTACTTGATTAATATACCACTTTTTACATAGTCGATCCTGTCCATTTTACCTATGAAGCTTCAACTAATTCTTCCGTAATTTTTTTTTCTTTTCAAAGTCACTCGCGAACTCATGTACAGTTACGTTGTCTTACAGTTAAAAAACATGCAAGTTTCGAGTAACTTCGATTCATGTCAGTCAAGCGCGAATATCGAGCGACGCCGACAGCCTACTGTTTACAAAGCGGTCTTAGATGATCAAGTCATAAAATAGTATTCATCTTCTATTTTCAAAGACAATTATCATTGAATTTTCAAGGTACCGGTCTTCTTCACTTGACCCTGATGGAATTTGAGCAAGTTGCACTCGCGGAATAATCGGTAATCGAAAGTCAGAAATTGCCTCGGCAGAAACATAAAGCCACATGTTTAGTCTACTCTGTTGGACTGATATTATGTTCTATGAAGGCACAAAGAAGCATACATTTTACATTTCATATTTTCTTTAAAAAACGATTTCAAAATAACTAGTTAATAAAATTCACAGTTTAAAGCCATTGATCATTTACCGATGAAGTTAAACGAATATTGTCTCACGTTCCCAACCAATCTATCATATTTCGCTACGCAATGAAAAAGCTTTCCAGCGCAAATTACAACATATGTACAGAAAATTTAAACCTTACCTTCAGATACAGTGGTAGCGCATATGAATAAGCTCAGAACAACAAACACAACCACTGGACTCGAAATCTTTTCCATACTGTGTGTGATTGATGATGAAGTTGATTGTGTTACGGTTCGTGAAGTTGCGAAGTCCTATATTTTCCTTAAACGCAGTAGCGATAATTTATCCACCAAAAAGATGTGTTATTAAAGTTCTACCATTTTCGTCCGATAAATTAGTAAAGCTATGTGCAAATCGTGCTCCAAAGTGGCGTGATGACTCGACGGTTCGCAGAACGGAAACGCTCGCATGTAAATCGTTAGTGACTAACTAGAATATCAGTCAACCGGAAATAAGAGAGGAGGACTGGATGCAAGTTAAACGAAAAACTAAGACATGACAATTTATTACGTGGGAGTTACGAAACAGTTTCACGTAACTCCTGTATTTTTATCATGGTATTAATTGTGTTCCACGTTTACCTTCGTTTCTCGCTCAGAGGACGACCTCACAAATCAAAATATTTAAAAAAACGTGAGGGTTTAATGAAGGACTCGAGAGCGAGGACAAAAAAAGTATCGAAAGTATCGTTTACCAGCTGAGATTAGACAGAAATCTGTCTAATCTCGTTCTGTCTGTAACGTCATCACCTCAAGCCCGATTATGCTTCAAGTCTTCTTAGACATTAATATCACCCTGTGTAACTCAAACCAGACCCGATATCTATTTCGTTTTTCAAACAGCATCATTTATAAATTTATATCCTGTAAGAAGTGAGAGTGTAATGGCCTCCCACATGTAGTCAGTAGATATGTCACGTTATTTTCAGCCATTTAACAACTGCATTACATCACCTTCAACATGAAGGGAACTTGAACTAGGTTGGTATATGGACGGAAAAGATCGACGGAGAAATTTTGCGTGATGCATAAATGGCAAAACGCCAGAAATATCATGTTGAATTAAACCTCAAGCGATGAAGCGTAGGTTGCAGCTAATATCCAAATTGCAAATATAACATTTATTGCCTCCACGCCTTTTACATTCTTGTGCAACTTACAGTCATGATTCAAAATACTCTACATGATACGTTTCTCAAAATAATCCTATTTCTTGTTTGGAAATTGTTAGCTCTTGATTTGGAATTGAGATCTAATGTATCATTTAAAGGGAAAAAGATAGTTCCCTTTGGACATCACGAGCGAAAATCAACGCTTAGTGAGAAATAATGACTGGAAGTGTGGGAAGTAAGTTTCAAGAATAGCACGAAATAATTCATTTGGACATACCTGCAAAAACTGGAGTGCGCCTTTTTGTAGGATGGATCGTAGGAACTTTTATTGGCTGTTTTGCATCTGAAAATGGGAAAAGTTTTACGAAAGAGAAAAAGTGGTCTATACCAACAGAGCTTCCTGAGTCATTCAATGGTCACTTATGTGTCCATCAATTAATCAATTAATTTTTTCACTCTTTTATTCATTTATTTATTCATTCATTCGTTCTTTCATTCATTCATTCATTCATTCATTCATTCATTCTTTCATTTATTCATTCTGGAAGCCAATGCCATTTTGTGTTAATGACAAACGCTGATGATAATATCAGCAAAGAAGTAAAAAAGAAAACACTTATTTCACTTAAATTTTTATTTTCTGAATACATTTTAATCGACGAAAAATGGATCAAGCCCCTTACCCACCAGCCTTCGTCTGTCTCAAAAGTTAGAATAAGGGCTATTTTACTCACCCAAGGTAAGCCTAATACATGTCCCATTTTCTTCTTCACTTTGGTCGGTGCTGTTCACCCCAAAACAACCTGGAAATGACAGTTCGGACTTCATTCCACCCGGTATGCGATTCATGGCAGTTTCTAGTTGATCCACATAATGTCCACACTTTGAAAACAACTCTTTACAAACCCCGACACAGAGCTGTGTAACGCCGTTGTTTGTGTGACATGGTGGCATAGTGCGATGGCACAGCAAGGCAATCAACGATTCTCTGCATTCGGAATGCGTGACAGTTTTATTGATAATCGTCACTGTAGCTTTTAAAGGGTCTTCAACAAGGTTATTTTCCACGTTGTGAAGTCTTGGTAAGTGGCTCAATTGAGAGAGAGTTGCAGAGAAAGCTTTTTTGCAAACTTGGCCCTTGTAATAGGCACAGGTAATTGTGGTATTTTTGATGAGAAATATGTCGTTACTGTGGAAGGAATGGAAAATTTATTCAAGCTCAAAATAAATTGTTGAATTGACAAACATTTATCACATAATTACGGATAAAATAATGAGTGAATGAATCTGTCATTTTTGCAACGATTGGCCACAAAGTAACAATCAGTGATCGATTACTTTCATCAACCCAAGAGCTAATCAGGATAAAAACATGGACTTAACTCGTAAACTTGCTTTATCCAACAAATTTTGATTCAAATCTATAAATCAGCTGTTAGTTTATTTCACGCAATTTCTAAAATTTGCCTTTTTCAAAAGTGAGAACTGATGATTAGTTTTACCTTTTCTTAAAACACTGCACAGAAGAATTAAATTCGCGTTCATTCCAGCAGCAACCAAGCGTGGCACAAACTGTTTGGTTGACATGTCCACATGACAGCCTAGCATCTACAGGGATCTGGGCACAAGTTCTCGCTAAACAGAAAAACAATACAAACAAACAAGCAATAAACATCACATCAGGGGGACAGTCAGAAAGAGGGTAGGGATGACTGAAATTTTCCCCTCCCATGAGACCTGTGGATATTTTTATCACTTGTCTGAAACCAATATTCTTCCAAAGACAGGATCACATATTACTAATATTACTACTGGACTTGAAATATTTAATATATGCTTATCCTTAAGTATTTCTAAGCTTATTTAGGCCGTATTGAAAAAATATTATGTATTCAATATCTGGATCCCCCACCCCCACCCTATAATTCTAGGATTTGCCCCTGAATATGTTCATTTTTCAGACAGTAAACACTGCAAATTGTGACTGATTTCGCACCGATTAGCAGGCCTTTCTTTTCTCCTAAGACGAATTGTCACCAGGTTGAACTGATTTCCACCAACCTTGTAAAAATGGTGAGGTAACACGAGCTAACGGGGCGGGTTATTTAATTATTTTTTGATTCATTAATTTAATCACGTTTTTATTAACTTTTTTCACACATTTACTTAGGGTGGCTTTACGATCCCCTGAATAAACAGAAATAAATAACTACATCCATGCGGCATATCACTTATTTTAATTTTCTATTTTGATTTATTCGTGACTTCCTTTCCATCTTTCGTGCGCCGCAAAATACACTTAATACACTAGTGATTCCGATTTGTTTCCCCTTCGGAGATTTTCTCGAATTTCAGCGAATTCGTAGTAAGTTAAATCGAAAGCTCCAAAATTTTAACTTCCGTCATCGGTGACATAATATTTGACTAAAACTTAACGGATTCCCACACGAGAATCCAGAGCAAAGCCAAACTGAATAAGATATATGTGAATTCTTTTGTCAGCTAAAATGGTCAGGGAAAAGGTGCGATAAAACCGCAAAAGAAGACGCTCCTTACTGCAAGTAAATTGTACACGTAATGTGAATCAACTAGCTGTGATACGATCGGATCCCTTTCACTCAACGACGTTAATCTGACAATGACCTATGTTTTAACCAAAATGATTTTAGACTCATGGCGCGTTACTCAACTACTGTAATATTTGGGAATGTGCAAATGTTCTACAAACATTTAAAGAGCTATTCATAACCTCTAAGGTCAGTTTGGTTAACGTTCAAAAAGGGAACCGGTAACAACAACTCACGATTAACCCAGTTCCTACTTCTACAATTGATTATGAAACGAACAAAGTGTGTCTCTGAAGCCAAAATAAAATCATAACCCAAGTAACATACCTTGAACATCACCATTCACGAAAGCAAAATGTGTTAAGACATAAACCGACAACAACAACAACACGTTCCAAAACATTGTGTTGCTCGTTGATCGACTTCAGCGTTGCATCAGTAAGAGTATACACCGTCAGATGTCTTCAAAATGCTTAACACAGACGATTTCAAGGTTTAAGTCAACAAATGTGCGATAATGTGTTCATAAGATGTGTAAGCGCTTCTCAGTAATCGTGTCGCTTACCTCACGTGATAATAATAGTTAATCTGGGCGCAGCAGGAAAAACCTACTTAAATTTCAGGATGTGCGATTCTGTTAAATATAAACTCCTTGGTTTTAACCAGGGAGATCTGCTGATCAAACTTTATACTAGTTGATTTTGGAGTTGGTAATATTCTTTTACAGAAATTTGACCATTAAGTCTAAGGAGATGATAATATTTGTAAAACTTTGTTTGTGTGATATGATAGGACCCAATGCCTTGGAGTTTTCCAGTGTTTGTAAAAACATTTTAGTTAGCAGTACTGAGAACTACAGAATGCTCTTTCTACTAATGCTCTTTCTTAAACAGCGAGACACCAGAACACATTTACTGATCTTAAAATAGAATTTTCGTAACACTTCCTAAAGTACCCAGAATTTCTCTCAAAACCAGAAACACCTTATACTCGTCTGAATCATAATCTGGTAGACCTCATAGCCGACAGAAAATGTGTGAGAGACGGGCACAGACCCCTGTACAGGCGTTTCTGGTCAGCCATCGAGAAAGCGTCTGTGACATGGGCTGAAAAATTTAGGCCATCTTTTCTTCGTACTCTTGCTTCCCTAGATGATTTTCCCATTGATGTAGCTTTTCTGTTCTGAGTGTGAGGGGAGGGGCTAAGGTGAGGCACCTTCCGCGAAGTTTTGGTGGGGGTGTGCCAACTGAGGGCTTCAGACCCTGACCCCTTTTAAAGACATGAAAAAAAAACCTTGCCGCTTATTAAGCTGAGTCACTTCGCTATGTTTAGACACGATCTTGGGAAGGTAGGTCGAGAATTTGATGTCGAAGCGATCCAATAAACGTCCGGCAAAACAGTGGTAGTGAAACCCCTCATCAACGCTGTTGTTTTTAGTAGTAAAATCACTTCTCGTAATGACTAACGAATCGGGAAACCACAAAAGAAGATCTCCCTTTCGGCCAGCCAGTATTTATTGCCTTGAATGAGAGGCTTCTAGAGGAATCACGTGATTTTCGGGGAAAACAGAGAGGATCAGTCGTTGCTCAGAGAGTGTTTAAGAGGAGACCGCTGAAAACCGACTGGTAATTAGTGGGGTCATTTGAATATTGCATACTGCAGAGGGGGATTAAGGGGATTAGGGGGATAAGTCAGGGGAATTAGGTGAGTGCTATCATGACTTCCCCCCTCCTCCCCCACACCGTGAAAAGAAGGAAGTTAACGAGCGAGCTCACGTCGTCACAAAGATAGTAAACTCCAAAACACATTATCACAAAATTATCCAAAATTGCTGATACAAATATTTTAATATGATCATTAACCCAGTTTCCTGTTTAACAAGAAACTAAGTCCTGCAATCAATAATCTAAGAAATTATTCTCTATTATCGTTTCGCTACATTACGACTCATATCCATTTTATTGCGACTTATAGCTCATTTCCATCGAGTGTCGTAGATTTTTCTTTCTTTCACAGAATTTTGACTGTGGTATCAGCTTACCTTGCGTTCTTTCGTGATAACGGAGAGCACTAATGATTCGCAAAAAGAATTCCTTAATTATTAAGTGTATATAGAAATTATTTCCATTGAGTATCATTAAACCAAAACCGAGGTAACGACATCAAGCAATCAGAGAAAATAAAAACATTACAAGAATGCAAAGTACAGACAAGTAAATTTCATTGATTAAAGCGCGGGAAAACGCGAGTGACTAACTCCCGTTTTCTACATCTGATTGCTTGAGAGGATGGAGCGAGTTTTGTGGACCAATCACGGTGAAATAAAGCAAAATCGAAGCAACTTCCGACACTCGATTGTAAAGCGCTCAATAAAGCGTATATTTGGAACAACAAATTAACTGCATTTTCATGGATGCCATAAAACAAGTGTCTACATTAACTGCAAGGTAAAGTTTCATGAAGCTTTTTAGTGTTTATCATTTAGCAATAGCAGGCGATGAAACTGTAACACGTGAAATTTTATCAAAATTTAAAATCTTTGTTCCTGGTACATGGGACAATAGACTGATATGGAATTATAAACAGTTTGATTTGGAATTGTAAATTGTAAACAGCGTTCAATTTCACCCTATCAAAAGAAAAAGTAATATACAAAGAAACGCCCTGATTCAAAGTGGATTGAATCTATTCTGGCAAACTTATAGCAGTTTTAACATAGTTAGCCTCCCTCCCTCCCTTATTTCTACTCGCATTGGACAAAACAAATCATATGGTGAAATTTATTAGGCGGACAGAGTGGTCAAACGTCGAGCATGCGCGAGCAGATTCTGGCCGGCCGCACGCTAGTTTCCCGCGAAAAATTTCGAACGAAATCATTGTTGAAAGTTCACAGAAATCTGTGAAAGGAAGCAAAGAAGACCGAAGAGGGAAAACTCGAGACTTCTCGAACAAGAAGGGCATTTAAGTACGGGTATCCTCTTTATTCTGTTTTGAGCTTTACTAAAAAAGTTATACGTTTTTTAAAAAAAAAACCGTGTTTTGCTGGCTTCTGTGGTTGTCCGTAACCCGTGTGAGACAAGTTGGTTCTGAAACCTTGAAAGCACGCCACAAAGTTTGCACATGCGCAGGCGTTTGACCAAACGCGGTCTGTCAATCTTATCCCTTGTTAGATTTCATCGAGGAAGAAAATCATCTGGTGGGTAAAAATACTAACATATTGAATCATTTGCTGGGTTCTTCATCTGGTGGAATCGCTTTCAATTCCCCTTACCAGTTCGCGTGTATAGATCCTTGAAAGTAAGTTTAAGTATGCATACTTTTAAGTATGTATATAGGCTTGAAAATTCCCAAAACGATTCTATTACAGACTCCATGAAACGAAGTTACGTATATCAAACCAACTTAAAGGTCATCGTTCCTTTAACCGAACAAAACTTTGCGTCAAAGAAGTTCGCGCCGTTCTTTCAGCAACTTCCTTTTTAACGACGTTTCGTCATTTTACAACTTTTAGGATGCATTTTTCGAGTTCCTTATTGACGATATCTGTATTTAACAGAAGTCTGCGAGCATAAGTCGCAGCACGTTGTCGTTGGACGGCGCATTTCAACGGGAGCTAAATTTATCCCGTCTCATCGAATATCTAATATCGAATAACTAAGAGAAATTGGATACCAGCTCAAGAAAATCAGAATAGAAAAAACAAAATAGAAAATGAAAATCAACTCTCGCTTTGCAGTTCCTTAGTTTGCACTTATATCTGTTTTAAGAAGCAACGCATGATGTGCTTAAACAATCTTGGAAATTGCGAAAGGCTTAAGATACAATAAATTCCATCCTAGTAGATCGGAAGACAATGCTTTAACTGAAAGCTATCCCCAAATTTTCCAAGTTTCCTTCGAAGCTACCCCTTTTGGCCCATCTGTCATTTCCTGGTTGTTTGTTAACTTTCGGTCTTTCGGTCACACTGTTTTTTTTTTTCGACCATACTTTTAATTGGACTAAGGCATAATGCGGTTGTGATATCAACCAGCCGCATGTATAGGGGTATTGACGAAGTTAACGCCTTAATACATAGGGAACCTTTAGTAATAATTTTTCAAGTCAACTGATTAAAGAAACGTACGATAATCAGTAAGCTTCCTGCTCAATATCTAACTCAAAAAAACCTTCCTCCTCGTCACTATGGAAACTGAGTTTGCGTACGACGTTCTCATAAGCTGGCCCAGGTTGGTGCATAGAAGGAGGTGGAGTATCTGGGGCCTGCTTGGAAATTTCCAGGGTGACTTGGTGGGTAGGAGTGGCAACTTCTGCGAAAAGGAACATTTAGCTGTTAATTTGAACACACGTGATTTTCGTGCTTTTTCCGGGGCAAAATAACAGGAATAAGACGACAGGCTCGTAGATTAGATAACACTATTTATTATATAAACACCAGTGAAATACCAAGTGAGCTTTCGCGCGAAAAGAGGATATCTTCACGCGTGAAGATAACTTGTTATCTCACGTGAAAAGATCATTGTTGCTATGGTTTCGTATGTACGCGCGGCCATGCAATATCCTCTATGTATTTCATGGTGTTTGTATAATAAATAGAATATTACAAACCGCTTGGAATTACGAAATTTCTCTACGAGTGTTGAAAAATATTTCACTCGTTCGTTTCGCTCACTCGTGAAATATTTTTTCAACATTCGAAGAGGAATTTCGTACCTCCGCACTTCCATATAATATTCTCCTTTCACCATATAAATTGTCATCCAAGAAATACATGTTCTTAAAAGAACATGAGCTCCTGAACTCTTGATGAAGAAGTGCAACAATAATGTCTACTCTGTCTGGCGAATTGCACCACGGCACGTCTTCCGAAGCGCAAGCGCTACGAAGCCAACGTCGAACGACCGATGAACCTGGCTTTTGTCGTTTTCCGGCTCATCTTTTGCGGCATCGCTACTAGTGCTGAGCACCTAATAGAGCCTGTTTCCAGGCAGATGGACATCGTTATCCAGCTTTCACAACCGGGGCTGAGGGCACTGGGAATGATCAGAGCCAGGAGGACTTAGCTGGGGCGAACAGTAATAATAATCGAGAGGGGTTTTGTATCCTTCATGTCTTACTGAATGTCGCGGCACTGTTCAAAAGACTCAGGTCCAGAGGAGATAGATACTTAACTTTTTTAAGAATCCACCTTCAACTTACCTTTTAGTTCCATTATCGGGCTGCCAATTCTTTGGTACAACGGTTCCTGGTCAGGAATTGATTGTGAATAACGCAATGAATCATAGTCTGACGTCATTTTCGGTTTAAGCTCCGCCATTATCAGGGTAAACTTTGGTCTTTCTGAAGCCTCTTGGTTCCAGCAACTCTTCATTATTTCGAACACATGATCAGGGCAGTAATCAGTTTTTCCAAGGTGGACACCCTGTGGAACATTCCAGCAATTTTAGTGACATCGCTTCACACTCTTTTGGTTAATCCACAGGGGACCCTCGCGCTTTGGTACACCCATAACAATTTGGGCGCAACCTGATTGGTCAAAAACGTTTCGTCGCTTGTACCGATAAGCGCATAGCTGTTTTATAAAATCGTCAAACTTCTCAATAACCTGCTACGGATGTTGAGAAGATAGCGTTCGAGAAGTCTGAGTTCTGCTCATTACTTTCAAACGGTTTTAATGCATTCACGGCTGACATCCTAAGTGCATCCTTGAAAAAAGGTGCTCTTTACTTCTACGCGAAGGGAATTTTTTCTTTAGACTACAAGTTCCTTTTCTTTCCAACCTTAATCCGCAAAAAGAAATTTCGTGCCATCGCATGATTTCTGACACGGTGTATAGGGTTCCACGGAAAATGTTTTACATTTCCGTCTTTTTACTAACCTCTTTAATGAACTCGATGACTTCCTCGTCACTGTACCCATAGTAAGGCTGTAGCGCCAGTGTGAAGATCTCCCACAGAAGAACACCAAACGAGTAAACGTCAGACTCCAATGAGAATTTTCTCAGAAACAAGGCTTCAGGAGCCATCCATCGGATTGGTAATGAACCTCGGCCCTCCATCTGGGGAATTTAAGGAAGGAAATTGATCAAATTAAAGTTTCGTAGTCCATTAAACTCTTTACACCCTTACATCAGTATGTATATTCTCTATACTGTTCTCTATACATTTTCTAAAGCGCTGAAAAGGAGAATTTGTTTAACAATCAAGAGCTTCTTTAGTTGGTGATCATTTCCGTTATTCTCATGACCTTAATGTGTGATTCAGGGTTGACAGAGTAAGGAGAAATAAGATGCTGGTCATCCTTAGAGGTCAAAGGGCCAACTGATTATAGATAGGTTTATAACCAGGTTTATGCAAACAAAAATTAATAAGAATTCAAGTTAAGCTATCTACGTTTTAGTCGCTCGCGCAAAAATATTAAATTTTCGCGAGTTTTTTCTCTTTTTTTTCCTGTAAAAAAGATGTAACTATTTTGCTATTGGTTGATTTAAGGACCAGAGCAAAAAGGAAAATTATATTGGGAAATTTTTGTTTGCTTTTGAAGAAACGTAGCCTCCAAACTAATGCCCCATTCACACCAAAGCTTAAACATGTTTAAAAGTTGTTTTGTTAAACACAGTTTAATTTTTTTTTTCTTCATAGAAACTATTTAACCGAATATTTTTGACTTGAATGTAGCACATCGGAAATGCAAGTTAGCAAGTACTTGAATCCTATGGAAAATCAAGTTTTTCAGTTCTCTGTTTATAATTTTCATTCAATGAAAACCAGTTTAACAAAACATGTTTTGCTGGTGTGAATGGGGTATAAGTCTGTTGTAATAATAATAATAACAACAATTCTAGTATTTCTATAGCGCTATATACACAGAAATGATCAGTAGTGCTTTATAATGATTCACCTATAAACTATTCCACAAAAATCAAGTTTACCATGTTAATAAAATTTCTAGTCTAAAATGGTTAAAGAAAAACCAAAAAGGTAGGTCTTAAGATTGCGTTTAAAAATTGTCAATGATGGGATAGCATGCAATTCGGCCGCCAAACTTTTCCACAGACTCGGTGCAGCGGCATAAAAGAATCTAGCACTAAACGTAAAAAGCATTTTTTCTTTAGGCGGCTCCAGCAACAAGGTGCCATTGATTGGAAGAGGACTTCGCCCTAACATTGATTAAATCACTAATATAATAAATAATCCATGATTTGCCCTAAAGGCTTAAACTAAAATCTTAAAATGAATACAAGCGCGTAGCCAGTGAAGATCATAAAGCGCTGGTGTAACATTGGAAAGCTCGCCGATGTTCATAGGAAGTCACGTTGTAATTTTAAGATCTATGATTTAGGTAAACCATACAACAGACTGTTGCAATAGTCTGTGCGACTAGTAATTAATGCACGTGTGAGTGTCAGTAAAGAATCACAAGATAAATACCTCTAAATACAACTAATGTTAAGTGAATAATAGAGGGCTGCATAACAAAATTTTGGTAACGTGTGTTGACATATTTAACTGATTATCAAACCACACACTGAGATTTATAGCGCACAGACCTGGATCAGTGTCATGTTCACTAACAATAATTCTACGCAGTATTAATCTTGGTTACTTTCTCGTTCCTAGCAATAAAAACTCTGTGTTATCATATTTTATGTTTCAGACTGATGCATCATCTGATTTAATCTGATGATTTCCAAACTTCTCGAGATTGTAATTCTCAAGAATCAGCAAGTGGTAAAAAATTTTGTGCTTTTTCGGCGTAGCCCCCGTAGTACAATGGATTAGCGTGTTGCACTTCTAATTCAAAGGTTGTGGGTTTGAGTCCCACCGGGGTGAATGTCCTTACATTTATGTGGTTTGCAACAAAAGAAAATATTTCGGAATGATTTGTCAAAAGTTTTTTAAAAGGAAAAAGTTTAAGCCGTCCATTAGGAATTGAGCGACAGACCTGCTTATAAGCGAACGATCAGAGCAGATGGTTTATATGTATAAGAAACTCGCACTGTAACTAAGCCAAGTAATAAGATTAATAGGTTGAAACAGTTCAATCTTGAGAATCTCTCGCAACCCCTATTTAGATCAAAACATACCCAACTTGAGGTAAATAAATAGTGATACCTCTTATCATATCTTATAATAATCTTTTTTTTTTTGGAAGGCCGTATTTCGCTGTACGTCCCTCTACATCGACCAATCATAGTGCAGGCACTAACTGAGGCATATCATAAAATGTATGACTATGGGAAATATATACCTTATAATAGTCTGAGACGTAAACGTGTCTGGCCATGCCAAGATCAGCAATCTTCACAGTAAGCCCATGACCCACAAGGCAATTCCTTGAAGACACGTCACTGTGAACAAATTTTAGCCTCTGAAGATGCTCCATACCAGCGGCACATTGGAATGAGATGGAAACCAGGTCCTCTTGCGTAAGATAGACTGTTATGACAAAAATTAATTATGTCACTTCAATTAAACGTACCATTGCACAAACATTAGAGTATAGAATTAAACTACTTTAGAAACTGAAGTTATTTCACGACGCAGTTTTCTTTTTTTCTTTCTTTAAACTATTTACCTATTGCAATAACTGTGTTGGCCTCTCTTTCCACAAGTTATTATTAAGCCAGTGGCTAAGGATAGCACAACGAGTCTCGAGCACGATATCAAAGGAGGGTTCACAGATCGGAAATGGATCCGGTATATTTTGATTTCAAAACATGGTTATTGAATTTCCAGCCTCCTGATTGGCTGGACGGAGCCATATTGTGAAAAAAAATATCAGTTTACTCAGAGCTTACAACTAAAGAAATAACAGAACTAATAGAAAATGTGACTCCCATATCCACCCTGGTAGAATGACTTTTAACCTTTAACTCCCAGATCAAATTTGTAATCCTCCTTACTGCCAACCATACAATTCTTATAATGTTAGTTCAGAGAATTTTGTATTGGATCAACTAATTATCCCCAAATTTGTATTTTTCTTTATTCTCATCACTCGTCTGAGTGACATTGTATTGATATTGTAAGGAGAAATTCTGTCTTGGTCACTCGTGGGAGTTAAAAGGTCAAGGGAACATCAAAAGGAAAATGAATATCTTTGAGGATAAATAGTTCCAAGGGTAAAGCTAATAGTTTACTATCTTACCTCTCTCTTTTTCTTCACCCTCAAAGCCAGGTCCAGCTCTCCTCAGGAATTGAGCAAGGTCTCCTAATTCCATGTACTCAAATATCATTCCGTAAGGTTCCTCCTCGGTAGAGACTGCCAGCAATTCCAAAATGTTCTCATGGTGCAAAAGAGACATCAACGCAAGTTTTTCGATGAAACTCTCCTTTGTCTCAGTTGAGCTTTCCTTGGCCAAAGTCTTGACAGCGACCCTCATCCCTGCATCGTCTTTTCCTTTGATCAAAGTATGTGCTCTTCCTAAAAAAAGGGAAAAAAGTTCAAATTATGAAAAGAATGTTTTAATAATATCTCACCCTTTCTTTTCACTCTGCTTCTTGCCTTGCTATACATCACTGCCTAAGCGTCGGTGAGCACTATTTCCTTATTTGGACAAACAAAGGACGCTGGGATGCAATCCAACCTCCTCTCTCTCCCTCTCTTTTTTAAGGAATCGGGAAATACTTTACGACAACAATCAACCTGACTATCGCAAGAAGTTTATCCTGAGAGACCGTTCGCCATTTATCGAATGGTGGGGCTGAGGTCAGGGAAGTTTGGTTGCGTCAAACTCTCCCCTGATCCCCCACGTAAGGCTCTGCAATATTCTTATGAAACCACTTCCCTTCCCTTCCCTCACTGATCCCCCTTCAGTTCCCCTGACAACCACGTGATCCTTCTAAAGTCCTCCGCACCCCCTTCTCCCGATAAATATACGTACCCAAAAATACTGAGCCGAAGTTCCATGATCCCAGGTCCCTGATATACTCTATTCTTGTCAGCGGTATTTGTTTGACGTCATCAGGCTTAAAAAGGCTCGCGATTTTGTCCTCTTCAGAAGCCCGGTGCTTCTCCACTTGAACTCTGTTCTTTATGGACACAACTTTGCCTCGCCTCTTGGTAACAATAGCGATGATCAGGATAACTACAGCTACAGGTACGATTCCCACGACAGCACTAGCTAAAGCGATAATGTTAAGCTTAGATGATGTTTCCTTCTCTTCATCCTTGGCTTCTACAGTTGGAGAGAAGGCTTTGGGAGGAAATATAAAGAGAAATTCTGAGCCTTTTTCCCATAGAGAAACTATATCAAAGTCAGCACAAGAGCGAGACATGGCGAGATGGCCAACATCAATAAAGTTGCGTGTCAACTAGGACAGTATAACAGCCAATAAAAATTCAGCAACATATACTACCAACCAATGAGATATAAACACAAAGTGCAGGTTAACCAACCGAAAAACCACAGAAAAAAAATTAAAATGATACAATTGTCCTTTTAGAAGGGAAAGGAAATGATATATTAGCTCCAATGTAGGCGATGATAAAACTAACCTATTAAGGGATTATATAAGAGTTTCCTTTTTACTCCAAAATTTAAAAATCAGCTTCTCGTATTCCAAAAATCACTTAAAGGGGTCTGTATTGGTAAAATTGGAGGGTTAAAAGAGCGCGTAAACTCATGCACAGTCGGAGTCAACATTGTTATGCTTATCAACATCGTTATCGTCTAGTCTTCATGGCGACTGTTGTCATTTTCGTTGTCGTGATAGTTGTCATCATCTTTATCGATTTCGTGATCGCAACCGTGATTGTGATCGTGACCGTGACCATGACCCTGATTGTAATCATGATAGTTATTGTAACCGTGACCGTGACCGTGAAAAAGAATATGAGTGTGAACTTGATCGTGATCATGATTGTGATCGTGACATTGACGTTCTTCGTTGTCACTATCGTTATCAGTATGATGAGAGTAGCAATTGGAGTAGACTTACTAAACAATCCAAAGTGAACACAGGTGGAATTCTCAGCCTTATACTCTGCAGAATAGCGATGTTTTTCACAGTCAGGAACCTCAGCATGCCCTAGATTATCGCCCAGTTCTTCGACAAAGTATTTTGCCGCTCCGACCAATTCCGTTATAGCAGTATGACATGTTTTGAAAACAGCTTCGCAGTCCTCTCTGCAGAATTTGTACGGTTCATTTGCTTCGTTACATGGCGGCAGAAAATATTCACACAAGAGGGTTTTCAAAATTTCTCTACATCTTTCCTGTCCCTTGATCCTTCCGATTACTTTCATGAACTCTAATATCAAATTCTCAGTTCCATTCAGCCCGAATCTGTAATCAATAAATCTGGGTGTCCAGCGGTATTCCAGCATCGTGTAGTTCAACCATCGATCACATGCTCCAGCACGGTACACTTGGCAGAAGCCTTCATGTCTGAAAGTAAAATAAGGAAAAATTCAAAACGAAGGATCTAAAATTCACTCTGTTAAAAAAAGTCAATCAGTAAACTTCTGTGCTAAGTAAGCAACTGTAAGAAGAGAGAGGAATGTCTGAAGGCCATGGTCCCTTTGCATAATTCAGGGCGTGAAATTGCGCCCAATACAGGCGCCAATGCGCCTAAATTTTTCACTTTGGCGACTAAATCCAGAAAGTTAGTCGCCAAATTGGCGACATCATAATCTTACCAAGAGATATAATGAATTAAAAAGATTTGCGACGATAAATCCGCGGCAAACTTCCTCGTTAAGTTTGTTTCCAAAATGTAGCACATGCATCTCGATCGATAACTAGACGCCATCTTGGATTTAGATGATCCTGAACGTTGTATATTATCCATCCTAGTGTCCATTTTGTAGCACGTTAAAGATCTTTTCCCTAACTTAATTTTGGAGGGTCTATCTAGAACTCTGACAGCGTAAAGAAAGATTTTGTTTGTCTTTGAAAATGGCCACCAACTTTTTTTGAATTGGCTACCACTTTGAATAATTTAGGAGCCAAGTGGCTATCAGAAAAAAAAGTTAATAAAGTCAAGTCAACGTTACACGCTCGCGATCATTTATTCAACCTGTCACGTTTGACTAGAGATGGAGTGGACGGCAGGGGGAGCAGGTGAGGTCAGGCGAGAAGAATTTCCCCTCTTCTTCTTTTTGATCGTCTCTTACCCCCTTGGTACAAATTTCTTTCTTTCCCCAGCTGTATCCGTACAAAAAAAAAATACTGAGCAGTCTCTCGCCAAAATTACGCCAGCTTTGCAGGCTACAGTGTATGTATTAAGACGTACTCAGCTGTTGCCACCCAATTCAGATCATGTCATAAATCCGTTAGCAGGTTGCAATTGTATAATTTTAACCCCCGGCTAAGTGCACTGGAGTAGGTGCAATTAGAAGAGTTGTAACCTCTCAGATTAATCATCGAATGACCTGAGTTGGCAGTAGCAATAAGAAGGTAAACACGTTAGCCGAATGCGCCCATTTCGCCAAAAACCTCTAAATTATTCGATCAGTATTTTGGAATCACAGTTATAAGAGATCCTCAAAAGCGTCTTTAAAAGAACAGGTCAGACTTATGAATACGATTTCTACATACTTATCAAATACTGGATCATTGGATGATTTGATTCAAGAGTTTTCATTTGCTTAGCCATCATGGGTTATAAGCCATCATACCACGCGCACGCAAGAAGACAACTTAAATCGAAAATGTTTTTAAACATTCCAACATTCCGTTTGTTCTTACAAAATAAAGTTCGGAAGATTTACCTCTATTTTGAGGCATTGTTAATAAAACAATTATCCCGCTCGCGCACGTTGGATATGAGGTAATTATAGCCAACTCGGCTCAATGGGCCTCGTTGGCCGTCAATCATCTCATATCTAAAGAGCGCTCGTGGAACAATTGTTAAATATCAAATTGCTTGTTCCCGTTATGCATTTATTTTTCTTTACTTATTCCAAACGTATTAATTGTTGGGCTAATGTTCAGCGCCATTTCTGTTCCGGATCTAGAAGTCTGTATTCGAGTCTTAACTTGATATTGTGGTACGCTTCACTATAACAGTGTCTCCAACGGCAGAGGTTACTCGGCAAGGGCTCGTATTTCGCTTAATTGTAGACACGGAAAATACTTCAATTAAAACTAATCTACATAAACCTGTGTAAGTTCCGTCAGTAATGAATCATTAGACTCTTAGTAATGAAAACTTACTTATCTACAGTAGATGTGTTTACTTTGGTCAGTGGAGTCTTGACTGTTGTCATGGGAACCGTTGCATTTACCACTGACTGATTATTTGCGATCCCATAACACCCTGTGGCGTTAGCATCGGAAGATTCGTTCCAACAGCATCCCCAATTCAAACACTGATCTTTGGTCGCGTTTAGATGGCCACAACGCACCAAGGTTACGTTTGAAGAAATTTCGGGACATTTGCTTAAAACTGTGATAGAAGGAAAAAATAAGTTAGTAAATGAATAATTAAAAAATTAACCAAAACTTAAGAAATACTTGACAAAATTCAAGAAATATTGATCCAAATACTTCTCATATTTACTAACTATTTGGTCTGGGCGGGAAACAAATAAAGCAAAAGTATCTCTATGAAGAATTTGTCAGCTATTATCAAATGGCCCTTACGGCCTCCAGCATGCAATCCCATGGTAGTTGATGTGTGCAGGGCCGGACGGTTTGACGAGAGCCGGTCACGAACAAGCCGTTAGGTTCTGCACTGACACGACTCTTTTGCATTTACCGTGAACTCCAATTGAAATTGTGGACTCCAACTCAGAATAAAACAAACGAGGAAATGAATCGCGTTCCTCGATCAGTTGGAGTATCTCGTTCCGACTCGAGGAAAAAAAAATAAGTTTTCATTGCTGAATCTTTTTAGCAGCTGTCCAGTCGCGTTCTTCTTTTGAATGCATGCACGTCCTACAACAAAACGTTCGTAATTTTCAACACTTCGCGAAAAAAAAAATATTAAAATGCTTATTGAGTGAGTCAGGTCGGGCCGAATGGGAAAATATCTGGCCTCGATCCTCAACGCACGGACCTCACTGCTGTCGGTTCGTACGTCATGACTTCGAGCCGAAAACATCCTTGGCCGGCCGTCCCACTCAGTCAATAAGAGCATATTATCTCCTTACGCAATTGATGCAATTTCAAGCTAGGTGGAACTTATAGTTCATTACAAGTCTGTAGAAAATTTACTGTCATCAATTTGTGCAACTGTATTTTGTGTTCATCCTATTTTGTTAATGGAAAGAGCACGAAAAGAAAAGCCAACAATTTATTGTTGGTCAGTGTTAATATAATAACTTGTTTCCCAGAGGTAGCTCAAGCGCCCATGTAAATCCTTATATTTCACCCATTGCACAACGTAATCATATTTAATCTTTACTGAAGCCTGTTGCAAAAGCTTGGGCTACCTGTGGTTTCCCACATCTGGCAGAATCATCATTAATTGCAGAAAATTTTTTGACTGATCAATGACAATTATCCAATTAAAAAATTGGTTTATAGAAAAGAAAATTAATCATCGCACATCTCGATACATTTGTTTCGCAAATAGAAAAAAAAATGTTCGTATACTATTGTTCAGCATATATTTTTAAATATTGGACGTGCGGATCTGATTGATAGAAAAAAGATAAAGAATCATTCTGTCAGCAGAATGCATGACCCCATGTCACCCCACCAGGAGTTAAGAACCAGCTAAGCATATTGTGTTCCTCTGATACACTACACCGCCTGTCCTCAATACGTAATCTGCTTTTCCCTCTATATGATAGAGGGCGAGAAAACCGAGCTCAACGGCCTTAGATCAGCCTACAAAACCCACGCAATGCAAAAGAACGACCACTTAAGCGAGGTAAGTTTCTTTTTCTTTCAAAACTATTTTAGACATTTGGGTTGAGATTTCGACCATTTATTTCCATAAAAATCCTGATAAATCCCAATTGCGCAACGAGAACTGACATACTTGCAGAGGCTCATAGCGCGAGCTTGGACGACCTGTGGTATCATCATTTCAATATTGACAGATTTTCGATGTAATTCTGAACTTTTTATTTTGATTTTAAAGACTTTAAGATAAAACAGAATTTGAAATGAAATTTTGATGTAAAGGGCTGTTAAAAAGTAAATTTTTTTTATCCCAGTTTGCCAAAGGTCGACAGAGGACAAAAGTACTAAATTTGAGCTTTCGTATCACAATTGGAACACGAAGAGAAGAATACGAAAAATGGTAAGTTTTGAGCTTGGTAAAGAAATAAACAAAGGTGTTTTTATTTAATTTTCTCTACCGAGCTCAAAAATGACCATCTTTCTCATTCTATTTACAAACAGACGCTATCGACATCGCTGATCCTAGCAGTATGCAGGACGCGTGTCACGTAATAACTTCGTAATGGCCTCACTCATCATAGAGTTTCTGTGGCTCAGTGATAGAGCATCGAATCGCGGAATCCGACGGTTTGAGGTTCGATTCCTCAGGGGGACTCATTGCCCTACGCGCATGATGAAAAATATCTTTCTCTATGTGGAGAAGACTTATGAAATACCATTATGAAATATCATTTTGTAATGTCGATCATTAAAACGAGATTTCCTTTCCGCGAAAAAAAAGTAAGTAAATAATCGGTTGGAAAAACAAGGTTAGAAAACAGATTAAGGTGGATTTATTAATATCCGTCAGAAAAGTTTTTGATATACACACAAGGACAAAATAAACAATGAATGCAAACCGAGATAAAGTAAAAAAATTCGAAATATTTTAAAACTGTAAAACCATATGTCTGTCAAAACAAGACTTTCCTAGAAGGTCAAAGTCGTGTTGTGACCTGCGAAACATTCTGCAAGGATTTCAGTGGATGGTGGGCAAGATGCACGTGATTTTCACGCCTCAAAAGACAAGCTTCCACCAATCAGAAAAGAGTGCTCACATGCCCAGGCCTGACGACGTCAAAATAGTGCATAGGTTTGCATATTATAATAGAAATCTTGCTCCTTCATTTCGTAGGAGCGTAATTACTCCTTTTTTACTCTTGGTTGGTTTTCAATGACCTTTTTCCTTCGCGACAGCTTGCTGACAGCTTTTCAACCTACAGTGATAAGTTAAGTACATGTTTGACCGAATGCTAGTTCTCGTCGCTATATATTCGAAATACCTCGAGATGGAGGCAGCAACTCTCCTTCGTAAGTATTGGTAAAATTTCTCTGTCGGCGTTCGCAGACATTCAAGCGTCCTGGGATTCGCTACCATTGATAGTAAGTTAGAGAACTTTAAATTGTTTTTAAAACCTTCATTTTCTAGTCCACGTAGCTTGTGACAACAAAGTTTAAAACACAAGAAAACTCTCACTAGTACTACTGCCTGTGCAGTCAGTCTGACGAAAGCATGAAAAGATTCATCCACTGACATAGAATTAGCGGGGTTGGTGCAGTGATGAGAGCACTCACTTCCCGCTACTGTGGCCCCAATCCAAGGCGTCACACGTGGGTTGAGAGTGCTGTTGTTTCTCCGAGGGTTTTTCTCCGGATCCTTTGGTTTCTCTCTCCCCTCCTAAACCAACACTCCAAATTCCAGTTCGACCCGGAAACAGAAGACAAGAGGAGCCACCCAAGGAAATGTCCACCGCCAAATTCCCATTTTCTCCCATTCATTACCATTTAATTTGTAAGAAGGTGACTTTTTACAGCAATAAGCAAGAAATAAGGTTGAATTTGATGTTAGTAGAAGTAGTTGCATAACTTGATGACATAACTGATCACAAAAATCAAGTAACAGCAAAGCTGATCAAGTCGTCGCGTAAGAAACCGAACAAGAAATGCATTACAATAAATTTTGATCCTTAAAAGCCAAAAACTGAATCTAGTTCAATGGAGATCACTTGGAGAACGATTCGCATGAGAAACGAAAGTGGAAGATATTCAGCGAAGAATTCGTCTACTGTCATGCCCGGGCATATCACTCTTGTTAACGTTTCCAAAAATGTCAACAAACTAGTGCTAACATGTTTAGTCGAACAGGTTTAATTGAATAAAAATCAGAAACAGAAAACTGAAAAAATGAATTTTCAATAGGATTCAATTGATCACAAACTTATATTTTCAATTTCCTACATTTCAAGTCGACAAACATCGGGTTAACCTGCTGTTAACCTGTAAGAGTATCTAATTCCCCTATAAAATATCACCCCCACATCGCACATAATGCCACAAAAAAAAAGGGAAATGATCACCAATGACAGAAGCTCTAGATTGCTAAACAAATTCTCCTTGTCGGCACCTTAAGAAATGTATCGAGAACAGTATGGAGGATATGTCTACTGATGCTAGTGTGTAAAAGGTCAAGCAGTATCGATGACGAAATTGACAAAACACTTAAACCATATCTAACAAAACAGCCTCACAACACGTTTAAGCTTTGGCCCAGAATGGGAATAGGGTATAAGTCATTTGTAACAAGTTCGTTTACGAAAGAATTCCGCTTAGACAATTTTCTTAGCAGCCCTAATATCTTAACATGCTCTCTAAAAACTTTCGATTTGTGTCCAAAAACATGGTAGCGTCCTCGGCCTTTTGTTCAATATGTTGAGGGAAAACCATTTCTTTTGAGTTAACCTTAAAGCTGGGTGCATGCAGCCAGTCTAGGCAGCAAATTATTTAGGCAGCACCCATGTTGTTTGGGCAGGCGCCGGGAAAATTGGGTCTAGTTCACGAAATCGAGGCTTAAGGCTAGATAAGTAACCACAGGAAATATAGCAGCACAAACAAACAAACAATGCTTTTTGCAAAACTTTTTCCTGACATCTACGTCTATTTTTTTCCACGGAAAGTTTGCTGCCCAGGTCCTACAAAGTGCACAAGAATATATGTTATCGATGATTTCTGAAAGAAACCTGCCCTAGTTATTAGAGAGGTTCTGAGTCCTCTGGAAATTCCCTCAGTGTGCTAAGTAATTGTACTGCTTTCAATTCATTCATTCAGTATTGTAAGAGCCTCCTCTTGGGGTATCACTTATAGTTTCTATTTTCATGAGTGTAAATTATTTGTCATTTGACGCTTAAACATTCGCTGATGATCTGTTCATGGTAGAACCCGCTAATTTGAACAACATTCGATTTTGTTTGGATTTGACCCCATTTATTCAATCATATACTATCAGCTGACTCGAATCTGGTTAAATCGAACTCCATATTGACTTGAACTAATTTCGCTTTCCTTCGGCTCAAATTTACCCTGATAACTCAAAAACGTCGGTCTTGAGGCACAGAACATAAGTGATTGACACGTCCTAACCTTTAATCGCAATTGCTACTAATAAGATAAAAAATGTAATCTATTTAGCAAAATTTCACAAGTCAAGCCTTCTTTTAAAAAGCCCTTGAAAAACAAACTAGATGTTCGAAAATGACTGTTGATTGTGCAAGAATGGTAAAAAAATATTATGCTTTATTTTGATAAGGAATGTTCTGAAGAAACTATTGATAGGAGGGTAGAAATGTGACACCAACCCATAAAACTCGAATCCCCACCAAAGACCAAAAAATCTTTCATCAGTTCAGTAAGACAAATGCGCCCGGTGATTTTTTGCTTCCAAATTCTGTCAAGCTTTCACCTTCAAAGGCGCCGTCTTCTTGCCTCGGAACAGGACAAATTTTTGTCGGACGTGAAATCAGACAGATTTTTCAATTTACTAGCCACGATTTGGAGAAATTGTGCAATCAGGAAAATTGATCTCTCTTTTCAAATGCAGGTCCTTCAGCTAGAAGGCCGCCAAAATAGTTGGTTTTACATGGCAATCAAACGGTGAAGATGGAAGATTCGTTCCTCGGGATGTGGCATGACGATCAGTTTCAGGATACTCAGAATACAACTATCATAGCTCCCAAGTTTACGTTTAAGCTAAATCTCCAAGTCCAAATACTGCTCAATTTGTATATCCATGTGATTGGCTGACATTGGGTGGTTAACAAATATTTTGCTGTTTTTCAGTGCGCTGCAATTGACAAATCTAAAATTTGTCAGCCTATTGCGCCCAGGCTCTAACTCGATCCATTTTCTGTTTCCCTTGAGATTTCTAGCTAGCGGGGTTCTATCGTATTATCATATCCCATCATGCAATGTCTTCAGCCATTGGCGGATTTATGTCAGGAAGGGACTGGGTAACCCATATTTTCAGAAAAAGACCAGAATCCACTGCTAAATGCACTAAGATCTTTTCCACTGAGCACATGTTATGAGAAGAACAACGACCACGACTCAGACTTAGGATTCGAATTCATCGCTCATAAAATCAAGTTGATTTCTCAGTTTATCCAAAATGAGTGAAAAACAAAGAACTTTGCGATTACAGCCAACTCTAACAACGAGCAAGAGACAAGGCTAACCACTGGTAAGGTCTAAATGTAATAGGAAAAAACCTTTAGCTCCTATGGTGTGACGTGTATGATCAGGTTTGCGCTCCCCTCCAGATTTTCTATGTTGGATCTTTACCAAAAAGAGGATTAAGTTAGAATTTAAGCTCACTTTTCTTAAATTTGATCTGTGTTTCTTACCGATCAGGGATCTTTTGCCAATTCTTTCCAATGTGGTATATTAAATATATCACATGTGAAATTAATGTTTAAGTGAAGATAAAATTGTTTTTAAGGGTTTATACTCGGATAATCCAACTGCGGCACAGCTTTATTTGTTTTGAACCATACTGGGTACGCTTTGCTTTTTTAAACAAAATTTGGGTCGGCCATAAAGAGTGAATTGAAACACGGGTTTCAACGTGTTTACAAAAGTGACCTCGCAGGCTGCAAGGTCAAATGGATCAAATTTGCTGTAAAAAATTGTAATCAGTCATGCAAGGGAAGGCTCTAGTTCGATTTCATGGTGCGGTAAGTTTTTAATAAGTGCTTGGATCTCTTTCTTCCAATTCGTATGCAAAAAAAGAAAAAATTGTTCGACTCGAAGGAAGTTGAACTTTGACCTATCGGCTACTTTTCGTTCCATACAGACATAAATAATTTGAGTGATTTTTTTTCCCGTTGATTCATGGAGACTGCAATGTCAGGTCTAGGCGAGGCAACTTTCCACCTAAAGTATAGCTGCTTTCGTTCTTTTTTCAATTTTTTGATATTCATTTCATCTGCTTTCTTTCACAATTGTGTCAACACGATTGAAAACTTGTCGACCAATTAGAAAAGGGCCCCCCGCCCCCAAGTTCACTTTCAACACTTTCAGCAAAGAGGACTTACGCGAGACGCATGCATCTCAGTCACGTTGTGTTATGCTCTTTAAATTAAAATTAAAAATAGATTTTCTTTTTTTTTTCTTTTTTTGATGATGTTAAATCGAATGAATTACGTATGAAATGATAAAATTTGCGCCTTACGATGAAGCCATTTTGAGCAGAAATTCGAGAAGGCGAAAGTGAAAAACCTCCAAATTCAACAAGGGAGATTTTCGCGAGGCGATTGTCACGTTTTTTGGTGCGCTTTAAGTAAAAAATGGAGAAACCCAAAGAACACTCTAGATTTAAATTGTTTGTTTTTTTTGTTTTTGTTTTTTTGTAATGTTCAATCTGATAAGTTAGGTTAGTAGCAATGATGAATGACGATTTATGATGAAGCCACGGGAGAATTCGAGTAACGAATACGACAAACATACCAGTTTTTTTGTCACAGAGGACTCCATGCACATGACAGCTTTTCATTATTATTTGTTTCTACGTGCAATTCTACATAAGCGGCTGAGGTTATAGAATGACTTACCCCTAGGGGAAAAATTTAACAGCTGACATCTGGGCTTAAAATCCTACATTACGCCAACGAAACCACCTCCGGTACTCAAAGTGCTTTTGTTTCGCCATCGAAACACCTCTGGTTTTTAAATTTGATGAAAGAATTTGAACTGTTCAGAAGGAAATCAGACCTTTGATTCCCAAGAGTGATTTATTGTTACTCGAGCTAGTAATACTATGTGTCAGGCTCATTTGATATCGCTGAAGATACCTTTTTGGGAATTAAACAAAGACGTTTATTGTACTCGTATCTTTTTAACAAGAAGAACATGGACAATGTAACCATTTGTCTTCTGATTCATTGCTATATTTCCCCATAGCATGACAAGAGACACGAAAACTTGGCGGAAAAAATACAATAGTTTCAAAGGTCATTTCAAAGGAAAACAAAATATTCCAGATCTCTATAAATGGAAACTCCATTACTGTCGCTCAACCTTTTGGCACTGCCAATGAGAGCGCACGTACTGTTTACGTTTCATGGTTGCACTAATAAGCAAAATAACATCAAGTTTTACAGCCAATATAACAGGAAATAACTTCCTTTTCCTTTTGATTAATTACATAACATTAGCGAATTACATAATCCGCAAATTTTAGCACAAACTCGCTAAAGAGTGCTGATCTTTGTGCTTAAGAGGTCTTAGTTCTTAGGTCGCGAAAATTACGAGCACGTTTCATGATTCATGTTAGCGGCTTGAGGAAATATGCTTTTACCGAGACGAAGATACAATGGAAATTTCAACATTGAAATGCTTAAAATACTACTTAGAAGAGATGTCTCACTGATCACAAACTATTGAGAGAAATGAACGATCCGACTTGATCCCAGCGTACGGTAACTTAACTCGTGTTGTCAACGGGCCGGATCTTCCCAAAAACTAATTGGCGAATATCAATCATTCTCGTCCTGGAGAAATCGAGGACGTGGTAGATTTTCAAAGGCACTAGTAATGATTTTTAATATTTAGTAATTATTGTGGACATACTCTTCTTTGCAATTATTATGACTATTTCCTTCAAAGAAAAAGTTCACGTTTTTTTTTAATGCCCATCTAAGTTCGAGCAACTTTCATCTCCTACTGCTCAATCTGATCGTGGCACGCGCGCTATCATGGCGCTAAATTTGCAGAAATTAGCCCCGCTCGCGATCATTTTTTTTACTCACCTGATGTAGTAAAACAGGCCAAGGCACAAATCGAAAATACCGTTATCGTGTACTTTAAATCCATCCTGACGAGGCAAAGCTCACGAGAAGTTCACTGTTGAAAGGTGTGCAGAGATGACTTTTGACAGGCAAGATGATACACTGTTTCTTTTAGACACGAGGCGATTTCAGTAACTCGAACTCTCCGTAACTTGAACCTAGTGATAATTTGAGCCACAGTGTTGACTTCCTCTGTAGAGTATTTTTCTCGGGAATCTGTTACAAATCTCGACTTGCTTGAAGTGATATTTCCGAACTTTCTTTAATTTTGACAAGAAAAATCCGGTTCACTTCTCCGACCGCTATTCTGGCATACGTAACAACGAAGCCACATTTCTGAATGATTGACAATTAATGTGGCGTTTGACCCTATGTTGCAAGTTCTCGTTTACATTCAATTCTGTCCTATTGGTTTTCTAGTTTTTGTCTCCTACGTGTACCTCTCGTTTTCTTTCCCTACAAGAAGCCTAATTGAAAAAAACAAATCATTCCAACAGCGAATACCGGGGGGAAAAAATCTCACATAATGTTCGCGGTGCAGCCTTGTATCAAAGAATTCTTTCGATTCCAAATCGGTCTGATAATACAAATAGTATTAAATTATTTTTCCTACTTACTTTCCTTTGTTTAAGAACCAAAAACTTACTAACATCTTTATTGAATTCCATAACTCCAGTCTTATCAATAGATAACTTCTCCTTACGTCATGTTAATACTATATCACTTTCAATACTACATGCTAATACTATATTGATCAAGTACCAACCTCTCCTATTAAACTAGTTTTGCAGGAAAATAGCGGCTAACAGGGTTAGTAAACAGTAAGATCTTGGGTTTCCTTTAGCCTGGGGGTAGCATTTCGTTTACAAACACTGACGAAGTTATACCACTCAATTTTGCCCTGAACATAGTTGCAAAACCTAATTTTATACCGGAAACTTCACCCCCATCACACCCATAACAGTCCTCGAAATATATGATTGTCGTCCATTTTAACTGTGGCGCGTGTCGGTGAGATTCAATATGTCTGGATGTTATCCAACACGCAGCTAAGGAAACGAAACTGATTGAACACGTGTGCATGACCAGGCAAAACATTTTGCTTACCTGTGGCTGAAACCCACAAATAATTTGCCAATTAACAGCATCTATTTTGCTTTGCTTTGATGTTTTATTTATACTTCCTCAGTTAAGTTTATTATGTAAAATTATTATCAACATGTCTCCCAAAGAAGCGAGCCACAACTGCGTCAAACAGGTCGCCCCGCAGGAATGTAATTAGAGAGCCACCCAAGCGTTCAAAAAAAGCGGACAAAAGCGGGGAAGACTAATGACTTAAGCCCCAATTGGAATTAGTCCAATAAAGTCGAGGCGTTCGATAACTGTTACAGTTCGGAAGAAGTATGATTCTCATGTTATCTCTTCACGAGGTGATGCTACTAGCGTCTCTTGTTGTGGTTGTTGTGCAGCAAAGTTATACCACACCGTAACACTCAGAACGAAAGTACACTCTCACTTGTCCTAAAACAGGCATGTTCAGTCCAACATGGGATAGACTCGAGGTCTAGCGTCCTAACCATAGAGGGAATGTTATTACATGTTTTGAATCTGTTGAAAACAGGATTTCTCTCTCGACGGGAAGCCTCGGTCAGAATGTGAGAATGTGGTATCGCAACTAAAGGAACTCATATTTTCGCGACTAACAAGTAAAAATGGAATTCTGCCAATTCTGTCTGATAATGCTACACACTACGACAGTTCTAAGTTTCATAGCTTTGCAGAAAGTTCCCCTGATTACATTTCATTTCCTATGATCTTTCCTTGAACCCAAAAACCTGCTTTCATCCTAAATTAGCGTTAATCCAATTTTGAACAACGGGCGCCGTCGATACCCAGCCGAGACATCTCACTCGACTTTTCGGTATGTAGCATCGCTGCGTATTTCTACGAGTTGTGGTATATTTTTACAAGCCCGCTGGGTGCATCAAAATACAAACAACGATTAAAAATACTCGCCAATACTATGCAACAAAATTCCTAATCAGTATTTGACTATCCATCTGCCTTATTTTATGTACTTGGGCGACAACAGCGAAGCAAAAAGAGAAGCGGTTTGTGACAGGTCTTGCAAGGCGCTCGTGTGGAACTAATTATCTAATCGACTGAGATTAACCTATAATCTCCCCCTCTATAACCCAAATTAACCAATTCTGCATTCTTAGAAGTCTAATGTTTGCGTGTAAATTGCTTCATGGGGACTGAACAGTACTTGAACCTTAAAAAAATGTAATAATACGAAAAAAAATAAGTTAAAACAAAAACAAAAAATGGAAAGTGCATTCATGTTCACTCTTGGTACAAACTAAAGCCCACATCCTTTATCGAACTTATATCATCCTTTATCATATCTAGCACCATGTAAGTAAGTTTACTGAAACCAGTCACAGCTGAAAATCACGTGTTTTGGTATGTCACAAATTTATCTTGAAAAAGATGTAGAACCCCCGCGGTGGAATGGATTAGCGTCTGGGAATTCAAAAGTGATCTTTGCTAGAAATCATTTCTGGCAAAGATAATTTTTGAAAACAAAAAAAAAATAAAAGTGGGCTGGAAGCTTTATAAATATGAAAGATTGACTATATAAATACAGAAAAACCAAATTAATAACAACTTAGGTGTATTCTCTCCATCTACAATCGGTGGGTTATGACCTACACATCTTGCAGAACGACATTACGAAATCGCGCATTCTGCAGGGTGTACACTTATCTCAGACGTCATCCTCAGGGTGCGGATACACGTAGGCTACGTCTAAGGTCCGTGTATCATTTGTCCATTCAATTTTCGTTTAAAATTAAAGATGGAAAATTGATGTCAATTTTTGATTTTCGTTATATTTTATCGTAAAAAATACGAAAGTGCCAAATCGAATTTTTTTTTACTTTTTTTTCCTTTTGATAGAATATTGAAACATAACTTATATTTTTACTTTAGTCCTGTTGACAATAAAGTGAAAAATGAAACTGAGCGACAAGTTTGCTTTTCCGACAATTCTGCAGTCTGTGGCATAGCTTAGTTTTTCTGTTTTCGGCGGAAGTCTAAAAATTGAAAATTGAAAATCGCAATCAATTGTCAATTTTTGTTTTTCGGCCAAAATACTCAAAATCGTTGTCAGAACCACCCAAGAGGGTATTACCCATTCGCACGGTAATTTTGGCCCCCAGTGCCCTCTCCCCATGGCCAGGTCCGTTTCCTTGCTTAAGGGGTTTGGGAAGGAAGTGAGAGTTTAACTGTCTCCGCGGTCTTTCACGACGTTTTGGAGCGTCTTCCTCAGTTCTGTCCATTACAGCGAGCAGCCAGACTTTGGACGTTAGCTAAGAAGTTAAAAAGATCTTAGACTTCGTATTGGAGCATATTGGAGCGGGTGATGTAGCCATATCGACTTTTCAGACGCCATACTGTAAAACATGGTTGGAATGAAGGTGAGGGAAGAGGGAAGGAGTAAGGCACTTTTCGGTAATGCGAGACGAAAAGGTGGCGCTCTTGCGAAAATTATTCCTGCGGAAATAACACACAAGAATGTGAAGGGACCTCCCACGTTCCAAGAACTAGTGGCAGACAGGCGGTGTGCGCACTCTGATTGCGTTGCATCATGGTCGTAAAACGAAAAGCGAGTCATTTACATCCTGTCGCGGTTGAGTGAACATCTCTGGTGGCAGCAAGATAGCGCGAATAAACGTGGAATGTCATGGGGATTCACTTCCTTTTGCCATTCCTTCGAAAGTTAAAAAGTGTTGGCAGGCCAGCGCGACTCCTGTTATTCCTCCGTGACAAATTCGTTGTTAGGAGGCAACTGAAGAGATTCAGAAAGAATCGAAACTGCAGCCTTGCCCAAGAATCTATTCATTTGGCAGCAGTTACACTCACAGCCGATAGCTGTGTGAATAATATCAAATTCGCGAGTTATTTAACAGGGAATCAACCCTTGACATGCAAACTCATTACAAAGAGACAGCTACCTTCTTATACACAAATTATTTTTCATGTCATACACTTAAAGGCGTAAATACGGGATTCGCAAAAGGAGAAGCGTTACGCCTCTAAGACCAAATTCGTCACGCTCAACGTTTAATAAAAAAACATACAGATTTTCAAATATGCTTAAAAGAATAGAGAATACTTAAAATCAGGTTTTGAAAACCGTATCTCTGGAGTTATCTTCCGCAGTAGAGACAGTATACTTGAAAACAAAGAAAATAGCGCGCACACGTGAAAATATTACCTTTTGTAACAATCTCATTCGGCTTTGTATACAATAGTAACGCTGTGTAACGCAACAATAGGCCTTTTCTTGGTCATAATAGGTCTCAAACACTAGCACTTAAAATGCGCGAAACACATGTACCGTTGGAGAGCGTATGAGAGCGTTTAGTCAGAGCTGTTGACGAAGGATCAAAGCGGCCATCCAAATCTTTGAAAGGCTCCAAAATACGACGTATATCAAATTTGACCTTCTCGAAAACTGGTCTCAAATTACATACTAAAAAACAGTGATTGCGTTTGTCCTTGAAAACCATAGAATACGCGACAAATACGTACAAAAAATACTTTTACACATTCAGAATAAATCAGGTTATATTTACCTGTGGTGAAAGAAAAAGGAGCGGCCAAACTTTTACAGAATGTTCAGTCAAAATCTGCATCACCGCCATATTGAAAATGAAAGGTGACGCTATATCGAAGGCGTTCGTCGAGGGTAAGAGTACAGGGTAATTTTGGTCAGCGGGGACATTATGAAACCCGCGAATATTGCGAAAGCCCGCGTAAGGATGACATCTAAAAACAGAAGACAATTTTTGATTAAGCACTAGAATGCGTAATGATGGCGGCGACTAATCATTCTTCTTTAAATAAATCGGAGATTGACTTCCTTGAGGAAAACCTTGAAAATTGTTCTGTTGAAAACCAGTACTTCTTGGGTTATTTTGACGGGAAAAGAGACGAGTCCGAGTATATGCTCGAAAGGTTTCTTCTTATTAGTTTCACATGCTTTGTAAAGAAGGCCTTGCACTCAAAGGAGTTAAATCACAAGAGGTTTTCGAAAAATGGTGGGCAGTTTC